AAGTCATAACATCAAACATTGATGATATGAGATTTTTCGCTCAGGTTTCCTATCAGTAGCAGGTTGCTTGTAAACATCTGAAAGGATCACTCTAGCCCTAAAACTAAATAAAAAAGTCTTTCTTTCTGTGTATGTCTGTTAGAATACAATTATACTCTATGCCTTTAAAGAAGTCGAAAACATCACTTCATTTCCAAACATACAAACAAACCGAAAACAATTCATTTTCTTACTAAAACATTTTAACCCGAACAGCGAAGAAAATCCACGAAATCCGGAAATAACTAGAACCATTTACCATTGTAACTGAACAAAATACACATCGAAAGTTAGATACCTTTTTACCGAACCAAAACGAAAGTAGTTTTTCAATTCAAAGTGATCGAAGCTCCCTCCAAAAAACGTATAACAACACATTATTCATGCAATAAAAAATCGGTCGAGGGGTATATTCAGTCAAATTTTAATAAAAATCTCGCGGATGTGTCAAACAGCAACAGAGGTATGTGCAAGGGTGGGCTTTCATACTTTTTGGCACCTTGTTTTAAACTGAATCATAACCGATCACAGCTGTTCATGCATTCCAGCAATTGATTTCAGACCTCAAAAAGCTTCATCTGCACACTTTTCGGTTGCAAATATTTCTGGACGTGATAGAGATTTTTTTTGTTTTTTAAATAATATATGGTGTTTTGTGCTACGATAATCTTTCATACACTAAGCAACACTTTATTTACAATATCAAAAAGGAATGAGGTGACGATAACGGCTCCGCTGTACTCTTGAGACGAGGTCCCACTGAACAAAAATGTATTCAGTTGTTGTAATATTTTTGTTTAAATATTTATCAATTCAAAAACATATACCAAATTCTCTTTTAGAATTGGATGAATAATGCACTTTACAAGTACTTCCTTGCTCTAAAGGAAAGCTTGCAAGCTAATGATTAGAGTGTAATCACTAGCTAGTAATAGAAGAGGAGTACTAGAAGTCCTTTAAAGGGCGTTTCACGAGCATGGAAAGTTCCTTTTTCAGAATTGAAGAATTTCGTTGTCTTTAGACACTTAAAGTATCTTTAATATAGGTGGTATTTCTTTCAATAATTATATTCTGATACAGAACAAGTCCCTCATCTTTCTTATTCTGTATGTTTTCCAGATTCATTTTTGAGTGCAATCAGGAATGCTATTGCGATAATAAACAGCGCTATAGTAACAGAGGAGTGAAGAAACGACTGAGGTTTGGCTCGGTTCGTGTAAGACTCACTCGCCCTTCCACTCCTCCGCTTCCATGATCGCACCGTCTCCTATGCCGTTCTGTGTCATCAACTGAATGCCTGGATAGGCTACTTTTCGGAATGAAATCCAACTCCCACAGAGTATCACTATCTTTCAATTTCCTGCTCAGGCAACTACCTCAATTATAGCAAAGACAGTCAAATGTCTTCTCCTCACTGACCCAGGAATATTAAATTATTTTCATCGGGAACGTGAAAATTCTGAGCGCGCTTCGGCTGGCTGTGGTTATCGCTAAATTCCTCAACTATTTTGCAATTGATGCCGGTGAATCCCTGGAGACACAAACAGCGATATCCACTCTCTGAAACACCGGTTTGACAGGTAGCATTCAAATGACAATGACTAATGGAGCAGCTTTTCTGTAAAAGAGTTGGTAAACAATTAAACAACTGAAAGAAACAACCAAAAAGAAGCGGACACGAAAAGAAAAGAAAAGGAAAGGAAAAGGAAAACAATAGACAATTTTTCGACTTCTTGTTTTAGGCCATATTTCACAGACAGCTTCATGTAAAACTTTTCCTCTGGGGAGCTATTTAATGAGATTAAAACATAGAAGTTTGAAGATGACAATCACTTTTAGTTGCGGGTTACTACGTGTTTGATATCTCGCTGACGGAAAAGTAGATAAGTAAGTTAACCAGAATTAAAAAAACGTCGCTCGCTACTTCAATTATACAAAAAGGTAAACAGTAGTATTTTAGTTAAAAAAAAAAAAAACTAACAAACAAAAGACAGGTATTACTAGCTATCTGCACCACAGTTTCGAAAAACGTTTCCGTTGGATTAATCAATCATATAATTAACAAGCTATGGCGAAGCTAAGTTCTTGCAATTAAAAAGTTGAGTTGTTTTCATGATTTCGCTTATCTTATGTGGCTGAACATTAACCAAATATATTCAACCTGCAGAGCTCATTACTTTGAGAATCAAAGATAACCAAAGAAATGAAAAACAAGAGCGCTGGGTAGACATGACAAATATAGAGGGTATAAAAAAATAAAGTTCAATAGAAGTCTCTCCTAGGCTTTTCCCTTTACATTTCACAGCCTGCGTAACTGAAAACAACTGACATGTTTTGTCAGAGTGCTTGCTTACTAAAACAAATACCTCATCATGGTCTAATTCTGTTTCCGCAGGGGTCCCCTTCACTTTAATAGAATATGGAGATCTTAACTTTCGATGTGTATTTTGATTAGTTACTATAGTAAATGATACTAGTTATTTCCAGTTTCGTGGATTTTCTTCGCTGTTCGGATTACGATGTTTTAGTAAGAAAATAAATTGGTTTCTTTTTGTTTGTATATTTGGAAATGAAGTGATGTTTTCGACTTCTTTAAACGCATAGAGTATAATTTTATTCTAATTTTTAGAATGTTTCAATTTTCTAACAGACAGACACACAGAAAGTTAGACTTCTTTATTTTATTTTAGGGCCAGGATGGTCCTTCCAGATGCTTGAAAGCAACTGATAGGAGTTATTGACAGAAGCCCTGAGCGAAAAGTTTCACAATATCGATGTTTGCATGGACGTGAAATTAAATTGTATGCATTAACTTAATGTTTACACAATATATCGTCTTATAGAAAAATTCTTAAAAGCAATGCATCCCTGGTAACAAAAATATCTCTCTCCATACACGCGAGTGAATCTTATTGTTAAAAGTAAAATAGTTCTTAAAATATTGAGAGAAAACGCCCTAAAATACATTTCTTTACAAGCTGAAAATACGCTCCTGGCGTCTTCCTCCCATCGCAGGCCACCTGAGAATCTCCGTGGTAAGGCTGCTGCGAATTGTTCTAGTAACAGTTCCACCTGCCCTCTTCTTCAAAGCCTCTAATGCCTAACTCTTTCATAACCGCAGAAACCCCACAGAGTATCATTGTAATCTAGAATTGGTTTAATTAACCAGATGTAAACAGCATTGGCACTCTGAGTCGTCAAGTAACCGAGGGAAGACGGGCTAACATGCCTATGCGCTTACCCGCCTTAAAATCATTTGCTTTACATGACTTTTCCAACAAAGGTGACCATCAAATACCACGCCTAAGTAAGTAAACTCGTGAACCCTGTCACTTGGTTTGCCATCAACATGAATATTAAAACAGTTTGAGGCGGTCCCAAAATGCATGGTTTCCGTCTTACGCCAGGTTCCCAAAAGATAGGCGTTTTTCGATCCACGGGTTAAACTGTGTACCAAATCTGAAACTATTTATATCTTATACTTTGGTGTTCTTCTCATTTACTTCCCCACCGGGAGTAAAGCATATACAACAACCTGGACACAGGACTACCCAAATTTCTGTGTTTTCCCAACTTTGAACATACATTTTATTCCTCAGCATTATTAAGGATATAGGGTAAAATTTGCTAAAGGCTCCAGGAAGACGTTATTAGTTATCAAGAAAGCTTTTGAAGGATTAAATTTTTGAAAAGTTCACAATTTCATCAATATTTTAGAATGTTATTTTTCAGCCTCGATGGGTCAACTCATTCTGCTAAACAATGTCAGAGAAGAGCCTTGGTGCTTAGAGTCACTAATAAACGAAAAAATCTCATGTAGAGAAAGGAATATCATTCTTTATTATTCCAATCATAGAAACCAAAACTAAGAAGTGATAAAAGTAAACAGAAAAAAAATGACGAATTGATGGAGAATAAATTAAGTTTTTAGAGCATAAAAAAAATAATGTGGAGGAAAAAAGAAAATACATCTGCCTCTGCTACTTACGTGAAATGAGAGGACTCTACGTTAACTTATAACCGATTTTTAAAGTTCAATCAACCGAATAGTTCCCAATACCAAAACTTCGATAAGCTATGCCCAGAAAAGACTTCGTTAATAACGAATCCATGCTGTGCAGCTAGACTGAAAGGAAAGATAAAAAAAACACATTTTCAAAGTATATGTTATCAGTTATAACCACTCGGGGAAAAGCTTGTCTGAGACTTCCCTCTATATAAGTCATGTATTTCCAGCGCGGAATATATTCTCTATTACTTTGTTTACCTTTTATACCAAGAACAAATGGCTTAACAGGTTTGAAATTGATTATTTTGTGCTAACTATTCAAGATCGAAAAATCGATGACGACAACTCAGCTAATCAATCAACAGAAAGAAGCTTTACTGTAGCTAGTTAAAATTTTTTGTATAGGCAACCATAACAGTTAAAAATTTGATGAAATCCAGTCAGTAAGTAAGTTCTGTCCTAAATGATATCGCACGACCAATGTAAGCGAGGAAAATTGGTCATTTTCATACTCATGATACAACACAATGATAACGATCCGTTTGGAAGATGTCTCCAGCACGAAATGTTGCAAAACTGCGGAATATTTCTCTAGTAATGCTGGGTTTTAACATTGACCCGGAATAAAAAACTGTTCGCATGAAATCTTCAGGGGAAAAAAAGACAAACACGAATTTGTAAAAAAATCAGATTCTATTCTCATCAAAGAAAGTTATTCGGAATTGGGGTATTACTGCGAATTTCAGTTATCAATTTGTTTTGTTTTGGTTTGTTTTGTTTTTTACCCACGGTTTGGAGAATTGGCGCCTAAACTCTGGCAGAAAAAAAATTCAAACTACCGCTGAAGGAAAATTTATGTTAAAATACTACTGGTCGGTTAAAATAAGTTTTTTGTGACGAGTGATTTTGTGTGATCTGTCTTAACTGCATATTAGCTTCGTGCGTAGTTTGCATACTTACAAAAATATCATCTCAAGTGATTGCTTCCCTAAAAATTTATTCGCTCTTTCAATATCCTTCCTTAGAGCCATGTCGCAATTTGGAGTTTACAGCGACCAGAAGGTACAAGGGCAAACGCCTTTCGAATCACGTCTTACGTATGGCTGACGTAGAGGACCAAGAAATATGCGAGATGCAGTGCTTCATAGAAAACAACTGTTTCAGTTATAACATTATGACCAGAAGTGATAGTGGAAAGCAAAGATGCGAATTAAATAATGCTACACATGAAGGGCACGAAAGAGACCTGAAGACAGACACGGATTACGTATACCAGGCCGCTGAGGTATGAGGTATCTTTTGAAGATTAAGGTTTATGATGACTTTCTACAACAAGCGAATTCTGAGCTTATAAGCTAAACTTGAAACATGATTTCTTCTGTTCCTTCCAATCTTTTGTCAACTAACCTTTTTTAATCATTATCGTAAGGGGCAACTTCTTAACCTAATGGATCGAATTCAAGGTTAAGAGCATGGCCCATGGAACAGAGATATATGTTTCGCCAGCAGTTTTAAGTATTAACGGATAGCAGTGATACATAATTGGGGCGGGGAGCCTCTTCTAAATTGTTTTAAAAGTTTTTATGTATTCACTCTAGAAAAAGTCGATCTAAATCCCACTGGTTGTTAGATATATTTGAAGACATCGCAACCAATTAGTGAACACCCCTAATTTTTTAAATTATTTTTATCTTCCCTTATACAGAGCAGATGCTCTAGTAGCCCTTGTAGTAATAATGCCACCTGTCAAACTGGATTTACAGAGAGAGGATATCGCTGTTTGTGCCTTGAGGGATTCACGGGGCTAAACTGCAGGAAAGGTGAGCATTCAGCTATAAGCTAAGCCTGAGTCCAGGCATATTGTGTTTGAATTAGGGATCACTTGGAATATCTCGTATGCGACATTTTGTTCAGTATAATCGCAACTTATAGAAGATAAACCTATCCCGTTATGAAGTCTATTCCTTTCTAAGTTATGATTCGCTCTTTATTTGTTGTTATTCTTTATAGATCGTGAAAAGATCTTAACGATATGTTGATAATTTCGGTATTTTTTGTGATCGACTAAAAGATCAATCAGGAGGAATTTCGGTTTGGTTCGTCGCGTGCAAGTAAAAATGTTTATCAAATCTACGTAAAAGACATGAGCTTTTCCAGATTGAGTTGTCACATGTCTGTTTCATATACATAACAGACTTGTGTAACTAACATAACAATGCATTTTTAAATGCTGAGCGGCCAGGGAAACTTTTCTTGGGTGCTCGCCATAGTAATCGTTGCAGTGTCTACTCAATAGAGTGGTCCACTAAATATAGGTTCGTTCTAGTCGAATGCGAGATAAAAGTGGAGAAATTAGTCCGCCTATTTAAGGTTTCATTACATTCCTCTTTTCAGATGTGGACGAGTGCTCTTCTGGAGTACACGACTGTGATGTTCATGCTGATTGCATTAATACCGATGGTTCTTTCAAATGCATTTGTAAACATGGATACCAAGGAGAAGGAAAGAGCTGCCAAGGTTTGAGGCGTGGTTTCATGTAACACGAATGCAATCTTCGTGCATGGCCGAGTGGTTAGGGTACTGAACTTTTAATCTGGTGGTCCCAGATTCAGGTCCTCCACCCTGCCATTCATAAGGATGACGGTTACTACTGGGAATAGACAGTTGTAGAACAGCACCATTAATTTTTTTCTATAAAAGGGAATAAGCGTTTGAGGTTTCGAGACAAGCAACAAATGGATTACCTTTTTTCTGTGATTTCTTGCCTAACTATATTTCGACAATTGTGGATGAGCCAAAAGTAATTATTGTGTCTTTTTTTTTTCTTTCAGCTACAAATTTTTCATCAGCAAAGGAAATTTACGCGTCGAACTAGTAAGTAACTTCCAAGGCTTTCATTATCATTTCATGAACAAATTTAAACACTGTTTTTATTATTGTTGTTCCTAGTCTCAAAACCTAGACTACGCACTACTCCTCCATTTTCATTCCAACACTTCCAATTTCTGTCTTGTGTTATTCTGTTACAAAAAGTGAATGCAAAAGAGCTCAAAATAGGCATAAATTAAATTTCAGGTTTCCTTACATGAATGGCGTGATTCCAAGCTGACACAAAATTTTTGATTATTTAAGTTCCAGAGAAAACAAAGCCTTTCCACTGCGCGTTGGATCTGAAGAGATCCGCACATTCTGCGTCCTAAACGATACCAGCTTAGGATCATGTGGCGGAGGGGGCTGGACACTAGTCATGAAAATTGACGGAAAAAAGGTGCTAATAATTATAATCATCACCGTCATTCACAAGATCACGGGAAGGTCTTCTACCACTTCAAATCTCACTTGCTCGAGTTCGGCGAACACGGAACTCGCTCTTAATCGATAACAGCCCCGATCTTCACCGTTACTTCACACCCGTTAACACGTGCTACAACCTCTACCGTCCTCGCAACTCGAAGCAGTCTTCGTTTTCGTTCAGAACGTTCTCTACATCATGATCTCACAGCCCATAACTCGAACCACATTTCTCATTTGGAAAACTTAAAGTCTTAGAATTATATTATGTTCCTTTCTTTATCCTATTTTTCTCTTATACAAAACGTGCCATCACTTTAAAAAATTTCATTTGAATGAACTTTGCATCGGAATCTTAGAACCCCATGCACGAGCCTCTTATCGATTCTTTGGAGCAAGCAGTTACAAATATATTACATTAATCACATTCGGTTGCTCAAATCCATTTGACATATTTCTGTCTCTATCAATACTTTAACCTTTTTTTTTTAAACAGCAAACGTTTCACTTTGACTCTGCTTTTTGGACAAACAAAGAAGCATACAATCTAACCGGTGGTGAGACAGGATTTGATACTGAAGAGACTAAGTTACCGACATACTGGAACACACCTTTCCTTAAGATCTGTCTTGGTATGAGGATCCCTGGTGAAGATACTTTGCATTTCATCGCTGTAAACCAGTCCGCTGACTCGCTCCACTCACTGATTGCTGATCAGCAGTACCGACCCACCTCATTAGGCCGTGAAACATGGAAATCACTGCTTGGTTCCGAAGGGTCTTTGCAACTTAACTGCAATAAGGAAGGATTCAATGTGATGAAGGAAAACAACTGCTCCAAAGCACGAATCGGTATCAATAGCAACAACGAAATCGATTGTTGGACGAGCGATTCCGGAGTTGGGTTTGGTATTGGTGGATTCCTTAGTGTCAATGGTACGTGTGGTAACGTGGCGTATTATGAACCAGATAATGGAGAAAAAAGTATCAAAACTATGGGATACATTTTCATTCAGTGAAACAATTATTACGTCCATTTTAAAATCACTAGTGATCTTTGCAATCTAATTGGCTCTTACCAGTGCGATTTATTTACAAATCCCACCATTTTTTTTTTTTGCTCTAGATCGAATAATTTTCTCAGTAAATGAGAAAATTGTACTAAAAAACATAACAACTAATCGCTTTTGAAGCTTGAATCAAATTACAAGACAACTTTTGCAACTCTTCACAAGAGTAGATCGATAGAAACTTTGTACATCCTAAAAAAATCTTGAATTTGAGCAACCGAATTTTGCGATTTCAAAACCGTTGTAATAAAATGGTAATTAGACTTATTGTCGTGCAGTTTTGGTTTGGATCATGCTTGCGATATCAAATCAAACTCGCGCTGCGCGCTCCTGCGATTTTGAAATGACGCATAGGATTTCAGACCTAATAATAAACATGCAAAAATGACAGTATGCATGTTGGCCAAGAACAGGTCAATTAATCCAAAACAGTAAATAAAGTTGAAATTGAAGGGCAAAAAGTTGAAGCTAACTCTATTGACAGTTAAGTCGCAGAAGTTCAATAAAAAAAAAAGTGGCGGACAGGTGAGGAATAAGTAACAACGTTTTAATTAAGAGTTTGAGGGAGGATGCAAAAAAAAATACCCCACAAAGGTGTAACAACTGGCTAAAAGTCTGGCTTACGTAAACGGATTTGAAAGTATAAACCGGAGGCCCTTAATAAAACTCGCGCAGGATTTTACGCAACAGTTCGTAGGAAACACAGGTGAGATTACGACCATGATAGCTTTCGTGTAATGATTACTGCTGTTGACCGATGCCAGACAGAGAAACAACAAACGCTCAAATATTCTCGAGAGAGGTTTTAAAGGTTTGAAGGAAAATTCTTGAGAAAGCCTGACTACTGCTGCAACAAGGCAAAGGCAAGCGGTCGAACTGGTAAGCCAAGACACGAAAGACAACTGTAAAGGAAACAGTGTCATATTTTTGCATGTATATCATTCACCTCCTAACTGAAACGACCTTGTCAAGAAACGTACTGTACCGAGTAGTTTAAGAGTTCAATTAAGCTGAGATTTAAATAGGTTTCAGTTTAATACTCTCTCAAGTATAAAGGAATGTTGTACCCGAGTACACAGATGCGATGTTTACGTAATGGTTAAAAAACGGTCAGCAGTGAATTACGGATTTCAAATCCAGAGCCGAAAGAGAGTGATTTTAGACCCATTTAAACATGACTACGAGTTTATTTAGAGACCTCAAAGACATTTTTGGAAAATTTTGTCGCCATACATGCCATAACAATGATTCTTTTGAGAACTTTGGAAATTAGAATACGAAAAAAATACGTGCAGTTATTTTGTATCTGAGAGAAGGCCGCATACTAATAAGTAGGAGGTTCTATCGACATACCGTCGATAGAATGATACTGCACGAGATGTATTATAAAACATTTGATAAGTCCATGGTCTTATGATTTAATAATTACTGACCCTCATAAAATCCTATTGTTCTCTCTCAGCATTATATCGGCGATTTCAGTTGCATTGTTGGTGTACCAAAACATCAATATGAAGGGGCGACTGAAATCGTCGATGTAATGCAGAGAGAGAACAATAGGATTTTATGAGGGTCAATAATTATAATAGTTAATTACTGAGGTTCGCAGCATTATTGGGTATAATGCTGCGAACCTCAGTAATTATCTATTAACTAATGACTTTATAGGCTGATGACATTAGCATTAACGATTCGTGCGAATGCTTGCGTAAACAGGGAGTGGTTTTTATTAGGGCTTAGCGCATAATATCAGGTATGGCAATGTAGCGACGTGAAATAGGCAGAAATAGTTGCTTTGCTGGAACAGAAAAAGTGATTGGCGCCGAGCCAGAGAAATTGCGGGTGAATATTTTTTATATAAATGGCACTCCGTTTAAATGTGAAAATCGTTTGATCATTTGTCCACGATGTCTGGAGCTACAGGCCTCTGAGTCTACACTTATAGCGAATACACCAATAAACTCTCAAATTTTTAGTTACATAACCAGTGGTGAATGAAAATCAAAAGAAGAAAGATACCAAGAACATACCTGAAGGTTTGGATACTTAAACGAAACGACATACAGAAACACAAAGAAAAATTCTGAATTTTAATAAATTGGCAAGAAAACTATTTTTAAAAACATGGTAAACAGCGCAAAGATTGGAGACTAACAAAACTGCTCAACAACGTTGCGGCAACACTGTTGTATGTATTTCACTGATAGTGTAGTCACTATCATATATATAATACTGTACACCAGTTGGAATGGAAGAGATAGGTTGAATAGTGGCTATCATTTCTTCTCATTTTTCCATTCAAGTCTCTTCGTTGGATAAACTTGACCTTTTTTTCTTTTTGTTAACAGACTTTATTCAAGTAACTTAAAGTAACATTTTCAAGCTTTTCTCTGTGAATCCAAGATTAAGATCATTTTAGTCCTCAACTTGAAATTACGTTGCAATACCCGTTCCACCAAACGTACCTGTTTCTGGAGGGCTATCAAGTGCTACTTTGATATGATACAAGGATCCACAATGGAGGTGATGGAAAGAGACATGGTCCGCCTGATTATAAGATGTAAATCCCAAAACAAAGTAACATACGACGAAGTTTTATTTTATTCAAATAGTGATGAGTGTTCCGAAGGAAAACAACCTCACCGTAAATATTTCCTCTAACGAGGAAAAGCAAAGAGCACTTTACCTCGCTAATATACCAACGGGAATTCTACTCAAATGACTTCAGAAAATTGATACAAGTCAAATGTATTAACTAAAACGGGTCACTACAATTCTGTGCGAAGATAACGATCCTTACTTCAGACTAAAACTAAGAAGGACTATAATCAAATGTTAGCCTTCTTCGATGCAACTCCATATCAACCTCGATGCAGCTGGCAGGGAAAGCCAAACGTAACATTTATGGACGGGTTGCCTGCAAAATCAAAAGCAAATAAAGCCAAAAAATAAATAAATAAATAAACCAAAAAAAATGCAGACCAAAAGCAAAACCTCAACACTAAAGCCAAAAAAACAGAAACCTCGACGGAAAAAAAATTAAACTGTTCATGCCTAATTATTTACCCACGGTTTGCAGCATTAAACTCAAAACTAGAGAAAACTGAAATTTGAGTAAAAATGCTTTTTTGAAAAAAATTTGCAGTTAAAGAGAGAAAAGTTGAAGAATAACAGGCGCACTCAATAAATTTCCGAGCTAAGCGCCCTCCAAATGAATTTCCGAATTATAAACGAGGTGCAGAGCACGCGAAGTACAATCATTTGAAAGAGTAGGGATTTAATCGTGAGAAAATTAGGAAATGGAGGAGTTTTTCCTGATCGTAAATTGGGCATGAGAGTACTCCCCTAAATGAGAGCTAAGAGGTCTCTAAACTAAAAAAGGACATAATTTTCTTGGATATTCCTGTGCAGAAATCAAGTGTGATCAACTTAGTCGCTTTTTTTTCTATTATCCGGATCAACATTACTTCAATTACCGTGGAAACTGAGGCAGTTACCACGGAAACTGAACAGCCGTTTTGACATAGAATTCAAGAGAAGAGAAGAGAAAAAAACATAAGAAAAAGTATACTGTTTTGAAGAGGTGAGTCACATAGGAAACGCCTACATCCATAACATGCCTGTGAGTACTTGAAAAGAAATTGAGCTTAGTCAACGACATATTTTCTTTCAGTCAAGTTTTTTTTCCTTCATTGACGGCCTTATTGTCTACTCCATCGCTATTTTCCCCAATCATTTATTTGCTTACCATCTGTATTCATTTATTTGAAGGTGGCCGGCAAGCGTTACTGAACGAAGATGTATCCCATTGTTTTAACCTTCACGTTATTCCAATATGCGTTGCCACACGTGATAGAATCATCCGTAGCTCCCCCACCGCCAAATCCGATTCTGGAATCACATGAATCACAATCATTTTCCCCATTACCGAGAATACCGATCCTTGCTCGAGCTCTGCCTGCATTCTGTGTGTTGTTCCCAGATGTGTTAAATCCTTCCTTGTTACAGTTCGGTTGTAATCGACCTGGAGGGCTGACCAAGCTTTTCCACGCGTCTTTTCCCAATGGTGTGGGGCGATATTGGCCATCAACAATTAATGAATACACAGACTCAGCTGTTTTGTTAATAACGATAAGTCTTGTGGCTACCTCTCCCGGGACCTTCATGCCAACACAGATTTTGGAAAAGGACGTGTTCCAGTAGGTCGGTAACTTGGTCTCTTGCCCATCAAGACCCGTCTCACCTCCTTCCAAGTTGAAGGTCTCCTTGTTGGTCCAAAGACTAGCATCATAATGGAAGGTTTGCTGTAGAAAGTAAGCACAAGATAGGGTCAACAATCAATGGTATACAGTGCATAGCAGAATCCACTTTTTATATAAAGTCTCCTCATCTTCAATGACCGTCTTTATCAGTACTCTTTAGTAAAAACGATATTTTATATCATCACCATACCAATCTTTGCCATAATCATCGTAATCACCTCCAAGCTAAAGGGACAGTGTTCTGAAAAGCAATGACCCTATTTCCTGTGTCCAGATGGTTTGCCACACATTTGTCTGCAACAATACTGTACGATTATACAATGAAACGACAACCTTTCTCTCTACTGCTCTTATTATAATCTACAAATTTAGATACACTCCTCTGATTTCATATGATTCTCTTTCAGGAGGATAGTACCATTGGTACTTTCATTTGGAAATAGATCAGATAATGCAGATATCTCACCACATATCTGGAAAAAGTCTGATCACGGCAATGAGCAACTCACTCATGTACATTTGCCCCACTTTTACCAAGTGATAATGATATCTCGGAGACATGGGTTCGGATCTTGCAGATCATCGTACGTTGCAGCTCATCAGCGAAGATCATTTCTTTATTCGGATTTGTTACCTTTGTTCCGTTCATCTTCATAACAAGTGTCCAGCCTCCTCCTCCACATGGTCCCATGCCGGTAGCGCTCATGATACAGTACACGGGAATCTTCTCAGGTCCAACTACTATTTCATATGCTTTGTTTTCACTTTGTCTAATGTTTTAGAATAAAAAAATGACATTAGGATTTTATTTTTCTCACAACTACCTCGAGGGGGATAAACGCAATATAGGTAGGTCAATTATAATTCACCAAAAAATATACAGCTGTAAAGTTTGAAAATTGCATCAATGCCCTGTTTATTGCAGCATTGCCCAGCTGGGGAGAAACTTCATTGGTCGCAGACTTTTCTCCACGGCTGGACATGGCTTAACGTTTAAGGTGTTTTGACTCTTTTTTAAGTCTGTCACTCACGGGTTTCTGTCGTATATCTCCTTGCAGGTAAATGCTAAAATGAATAAGAAGAATAAAGAGAATGTACATGCATCTTATGAAGTGTTAGTTAACTTTAATCCAGATTAGGATAATACGTATATATAGGGAAGGATGGATACCTATGGTAGTGGTATCTGTTGAACGATTGTTTTAATGAAAACAGACAGAAGGAAAGGAGTGGGTGTCATGGAAATGTTGACAGTCGTATATCTGTATCAATTTGCCTTGAAATCCATGGTCCTCGAGCATGTCTGAATATGTGGCAACTGAGTAAAACCATACCACAGAAAAAGAGACAAATGAACAAAATAAACTAATCAATTAATACCAAAAGGAAAAAAACTAAACATGTGATTGATGAAACTGTTACTTTTCTCTCTTCTGAATAATTGTTGTATCAATTAGATAAAGCGGTATGTTAAAATAGCACAGGCGAGGGTATATTAATACTAAGAATAATTTCTTTCATGTGAGTTAAAAAATAAAATATAGTAAAATAGGAAAGAGACTATGTAATAAATAAAGTTTACTAACAAGTGCAAGTGAAAGATCCGTCTGTATTGTTACACAAATGATCTGCAATACAGTTGTGAGTATTTGTGGTACACTCGTCGATGTCTGAAAAAATGAACGTGATAATGCTACAAATTAAAATGGGCATATTTAGCAAGTAGCAATTAAAAAAATATCAAATTGATTTAATCGAGACTACGTATATATATACTTATATAACATTCACCCTACTTATTCACCATGACCATATTCGCAGACGCTCAACGGAGGAAGGACTTTGTATCTCATCGTTTCACATTAACTTACGAGGTGAGGGTAAGGGTAGGGGTGTGGTGCTAAGTAACTAAAAGGCCTCAGTTCTCAGAACGGTGGAGTACAATAAATTTTTTTCAGTTTGCGGCCAAATATTCGCCAGACAGTACTCTATCCACTCTTCCGAACAAATGGATCTGAAGTATACTCTACATAACAAATACACCTAGCGAATGTCAAGCAGCTTAACCTTTACAAATCCTTCCATCTCCGTGGAATCCTCGATTACAAATGCATTCGTAAGAACCGTCGGTGTTGGAACAATCAGCATTTATGTCACAACTGTGAGTTCCCTCAGAGCATTCGTCAATATCTAGAAAACCAAATGCTTGCGTTCATTAACTTTATTACGCTCGATTTTGGTGAATCACTCCTCAAAATACTTACACACAAATGTTTTAAATGTATCTACTAAGTAGAGTCAACTTGCCACATAGTTCCTTTTCAGTAACATTCAAAGTTAGAATTGCATCAATATAAACCATGTTAGACGATAATTATCTACCTAAAAGATAGATATTTTGATTTTATCGACTGAGTTGATAATGCAAATTGCCCACCATAAAGAGTTTCTAAAGTCCACGTTTCGAGTGTCAGCCCTATGTCAAAGTGAATTGTGGCAAATTTACATCATCAGCTCTATTAATCAAACCAAATTATCCTTTTTACCCCCCCCCCCCTTTCTCCACTAATGTAGCACCGTATTTTCTTCAGAAGTATGCCCCCTTTACTTGTTTACCTAAAAGCTAGCTTTCCTCTGAACCATTCGTTTATATTTAGTACGAAATATCCGAATATCCTTCTTCAAGAAAAGTTGACAGGTGGAAAAAATCATCTATAAATCAAATATATGGACTTTGAAGTAACCTCTATTTATCTGAGACTACATGGCTTCTTCTGAACTTACCACTAAGACAATCCAGACCTGTAAATCCCGAGGAACACACACAGCGATAGCCTTTCTGTGTGAACCCTATTTGACATTTCCCTCTTCCGTTGCAAGGATCATTGTCACATGCGTCCTAAGGGAGCGTGTAAAAGAATCAGACGAGAGTAAAAATTGTGTACCCTCGGATGCAGTTATCCATCACTACATCCGTCGATCACATGTAATGTTAGGTGGCTAATCATAAGCGTTACAAATTCCTCAAATACTACTGGTGCATTCGCAGCTTCATTTTTCACTTATCATCCTGTACAGTTGTAATCGGACAGTTGGCTGTAATCAGACACCTATAATCGGAGAGCTGACGCAGGCAATCATACTAAGTCCTCTCAGCTAATCCGCCAATCACAGAAATGATCAAAATAACCATAGAAACAACCACTTATCCACAGCAAAACCAAGGGAATTTCCAAAATAGAGGAATTTTTAAATAAAGATGTTGTCTCCACTGGAGATATAAGCTCCAGGCGTATTTGTTTTTTCGGAAATTGAAATGGTCATAATCAATTGCTAACAGGACTTCTTGTCGTCCAATTCTGTCTGTAATCATACTCGAGATTAACAAATCGGCCTCCCGCCTCGCGGTCGTCAAATTTTGTTAATCATTCGTATGATTACAGACCGAATTGGACTCCACTCGGTCCTATTACCATTATTAATCAAGTCAACCAGATGGATGATAGATCAAAATTAACAAACGATCAACCCTCAATTAATCGATGATTAATTTTAAAAAGGAATATGAGGAAGTAAGTTCTCTGGAACATCAGATATTGTTTTTTACCTTAGCGGCACGATAAATACAACCGGGATAGTCCACCAAGTCACTTTCATGTCCTTCGTGAGTAGCGTTGTTCAATTCACATTTGTGGTTTTCAGCCTCACTTCCCGTTATTAAATTGTAAGACATGCAGTTATCTTCCAGAAAGCATAGGGCTCCACAGAACTGTTTGTCTGTAACTTCAGTGGCGAGCATGAGATGATTCATCAGACGTTTTCCTTTTAGTGTTCCGACCGAGTTAAACTCCAGAGATCGACATTGCTCTATGTAAACAATAAGCAATGAACAACCAGAGACACAGAACTAATAAATAAGATAGATAAGCTATATAAGATAGATATTTAACTAATAGATAAGCGTGAGGTCAACTTAGCTCGATTTTGTTTTTCTTTTCGCATTTTCCATGACGACTTCAACACGGACAAAGTGTGCAATTCTGCAAACCCTACTTGAGTGGGGTTCGTGCATATGTATGAGCACTGTTACCTAGTAACTCGTGACGTATTTTACGTCAAGTTCCACTGGGAGTCTTAGATGGAAGTGTGTAGTAAAACCATTTTGGATGCGGTCTGAGAAACTAGGATAGATCGAGAAATTCGAAGTGAACTACGTCTGGTGTTTTGACTGTAATTTGGAAAGCTTTGTTTGCTAAGTAGATAAAGATAAAGCAGATGTAGTTTAGAAAATAGTTTTGATCTTTGAAAGTCATAAAGATTTCGTCCATGAAAGATTATGCAAATTCACGCCTATATTGAAGCGAACCATAATTTGAGTTTTTTCTTTACATAAGTTTTGGGTTATATTTAAAAGTAAAAGTCGTTCTTCTTAAAGCGAAGACATTGTTCGCTGAAGGGAAAGGTTTCTTCGCTTTCTTTTCCGATGAGGCAATGTTCGATCCCTGATCTCTCGTGGATCACAGACGCGGGGATTCTACTCCGCATGGCTGGCGTTTTCCTAAACTACGAACTTTGTCACTGCAGTCGACGAAACCTTTTTTTCTTGCGCGGGATCAAAGTGGGAAACCTCGATCGAGAAAGATGGGCCGATCATGCCTGTCTGATAAGCCAACTGGAACACAGGATTTGCTTCATCTCGCCCACGGTCGCCGCCAGTTACATAGTTACAAAATGATTTTCTTGATTAAATCAAAAGGGGAAGAATGATAAATTTTGAACCCCCTCACGTATGAAATAATGAGCTCTGAGGTAAAGTATCCACCACGAATCAAATGGTTTGAAGCCTTGTAAGATACGCCAATTTTTGCTCGCCCACGCACTTGATGAAATATCTCATAGCTACTTAGTTTACAGCGAACACTCATTCAAATTGAAGTTGCACAGGCTGAGTGTAATGTATCGAAAACCTGCAGCTTATAAACATGTAAAATTACGTTTGCAAAACGGCTAAAAACGTTCAATAATAAAAATAAGAGTTTACACACACGAAGAATTTTTGACAATGATTCCTAGATTATCCGCAAAATAGCTTTGCCGATGGAGTACCTTATCATAAACGGCTCCATATAGTAATTTAGAGATACTTAATTTTACTTTCTTTTCCTAATAATTTAAAAAGAAATTCAGTTTGTATCAAAAATCTTAAACGTCATCTATGCTTATCTCCACATTGATGTTTACACATGTTCAACTCTAAGTAAAAAGTTAAAATCACCTTGAGAGCTACTTGTATAGTGTATTAAAGGAATACCAAAAATAAACCATACACCGCGGATGAAAATACTAGCCATGGCCGATCGAATTTCTTCCGGCTTGCAGGCAAGGATCTCTTTCGATACTCTGCGAACCAGTTTAGCACAGCTTGAGAGATAAAGATAGCGCTTCGAAAGTTCTATGTTTTCCATTGTATATAAAAACAATATACCCATTTTTAACGTAAACCTTGTGCTAACAAATCAGTCATCTCTCATGCTGTTGATTGTCTTCATCTAAATTATTCAGACCTAATTTTAAATCCTTTCAATTCCATGTCACATCACTGGGGTAAAAATATATCGACAAATATCTGGACCCTGATATGCAATGCATAGATCAAATTTTTAGTTTAAAAGTTAAGAGATGTTTAGTGAAAGAGGAAATCTTTGATTTTAATTTCAAACAAACATTTTAGATCACACGGGGGGATGATGTAAATTTTAAGCTGCATGCAGAGACACTCTCTTTAAAGCTCAGATAAACAAATCGGAGAATACAAGGGAATAAATGAGGCGAAGCCACCACGGCACTGTTACCACAATCTGTTACCACATATACACCATACAAATTGTTTTAGGCTTGTCAAAGCATAAACGTACAATGAATAATTCTAATAGTTTGTATGTTACATCAGTAGTTTCCGTAATTTTAACATACTTTCAATAATAAGTGAATAGTGAATCGTTGTTTTATCATACATTCATATAACAATCTGCAACGGAAGACACCTCTCTAACTCTTCAAAATTCGAGAACACTAAACAGTAGGCAGACTTTAATCTCGACGAAAGTGCAAAATCCCCTGCAGATATTGCCTTTATCATGTCAGCCTTTCACGCTATTGTATAGTGATTGATGCTTTCAACCAGTTAGATTTTTCACAATATTTATAGTAAGTCTAAGGTTTAATGATAGTAACTGACAGCTGCAATAGGATCGTGACTTTATTACGTGTGGAAATCACGCGCTCTAATTTTGACTTTGCCTCGGTGTGCGAACCTGAGAAATTTCTATTTTTGTTTTAATTTTTCACCGTTATTTTCGAATGCTCGGGCGACAATTTTGCCTTTTTACTTTCTTCTTTATGCGTCAGATGTGAACGTGAAAGGTTCTTAAATCGTGGATGAGCTCATCTTTCAACTGCTTCGACCGCAATTCAATTCATCCCACAGACAGGAAATCTTTCAGCTTTTGGTATTGAATCTCGATAGTATTGCATGAAATACTATCTTCAACGCGTTTCCTTTGACAGTAGCAGACTTTATCAATTTTTTTTTTATAAACAGGGTAAATAAGCTTGCTTATTTACAAATAGGAAATAAAATGTCTATTTTCGACCTTTTACCAATATTGTGAGGTAAACGAAAAAGTATTCACAAGGTGTGATCAAGGTGTTGTACATGCGTGACATTTTTTGGACGTTACATGTACGAATAGGTGATTTGTTGGTAAGTAAAAGATTTATTATGATTTAGGATCATGCTTGCTTCAATACGAATGAAATATCAGCTCATAGGGGACCACTCATAAATTACTATGATCAGTTTAGCAGTTTTTTATTGAATGTTTAACTGTTTTCTTCAAAATACAGCTTATCTGATCTATATTTGGCATTTTACGTGATTTTCGTTTTCGGTAAGTTTGTTATGTTTTTTTAACCTCTCGTGATTCAATATCCAATTCGAAAACGAAAGTGCACCGAAGCACCCGGAAGCAGAGAGTAAACAAACGACAGAGATCGCTAAAGTTGTCGGTTCTGGTGCGCTGGTTTATCCTACGTCGAGTATTCAAGATTCGATCAATGTCGAAGGCTAAAATAAAGTTTCTAAAGCGACTCGATAAAAAACTTTTGTGTCCACTGTGCCAAAGTGTCTTCAAGCAACCCTGGCAGACATCGTGTGGACATCAATTCTGTTTTGAATGCCTCCAGGCTCTTCTCAGGTATGAATACTTTTTTTCTAGACGAGCAGATTGCCAATGGAGTTGAGTTCCCAAGCTTAAACTTTCCTGTTTATTGTTTTACTGATTTAAAATTTTGTATCACTTTTCAATTACATACATATTGTTCCGCTAAGCGCTAGCTTAAACTCAGAAACACGCGTTACACGATTATGATATCGAAAGAGAGCGACAATTTTGGAAAGAGCTCGATTAACGTTTCAAATGACAGCACAGCCACATAGTAGTGAGTGTCATCAAAATTCTCACTATATACTCTCAAACTACCTCTGTCTGTCACGAAGCGTTTCGTTCCCTAATAATCGAAACTTACAGTTTAATTCCGACCTATCTATCCTTATTACTAGAGCTGCTTCTCCAACATGTCCGATAGACGGCAACACGATTGCAAGAGATTCATCGTTTCATGATAAATGCTGCGAGCGGGAAGTATTAGATCTTCCATGTTTCTGCCAGTATGAAGCCAGAGGATGTAACTGGCGAGGAGAGCTACGACATGTACAGGTAAAGGGCTTTCGACGGCCATTAAACGCTTTCCTTTCACTTTCCCATATCATTTGCAAATCCAGATCTTGGGCAAATAGACAAGAGTGTTCAGTTGGAAAGCAGGCAAAGCTAAAAACCCGACCGTCCTTGACTAAGTGTTTACGACTACTTTTTGATGCTCCCTTGATCCCACCAGGCACATGGAGAAAGCTGTGAGTACACCGATGTGGTGTGCAGAGAATGCAAAAGCTTAATGGAGAGAAGACTTCTTGAGCATCATAAGGTTAATAAATGTATCAACCGAAGAAGCCAATGTATTCATTGTGGAGCGGAAGTACGAGACAGTGCTTTGAAGGTAAAATTAGAACATTCCATCGGGAGAGCTAAAGTTCTTGTCTGTTTCTATTTCGAATTGGCAAACGTCGCTTGTATTCTTTTATATATGGCATAACCAAGTTGAAATGTAGTATTTAGTCATTTCTAACAATAATTCATGCACTCCCATATTCCCATTACAATTGCATATGCGGGCATTAGACGCCTGATTTGAAAATAGCAAACTCACGATCGTTTTCTCGGAGATTGTTCCCTAAACTTAAAATTTCTCTTTTATTTATCGCTGTACGAGTTGGATATTTCATTATTTGACGGCAATGAATTCTTCAAATTGAAATGTCATGATAATGGTCAGTGTGACGGGTAATTTCACGAGGATAAAATGTCGTCTACATTCTCTAAATCTCTCATTAGGATCATTTCAAAACATGTACAAAGTTTCCGATCAATTGCATTTTAAGCTGTGGAAAGGAAGCCATTCCTCGTGATCTTATGAAAGACCATATGACTGTCGAATGCCCCAATAGTGAGGTCCCATGTCATTTCACGCTTTACGGATGTAAATTCAAGGTAAGTTGCATAGTCTTCTGTCAATATGTCTAAAGGCTGACCCTGTGTACATTTATGTATTGAATTTGACCGCTTAGTAACACAATGTATAACCCACAGTTACTGAATTTCGCTATCATCGTGACAGTAATTTCTTATAAGGGTGACAATTCATTTAAATTCTTTTCATTTTAATTTTGTCAATCTTCCTTTAGGGAAAGAGAGACGAACTTCAGAGACACGTGGAAGCTAGTATAAAGAGCCACTTAGACTTGTTAAACCAATCAAGTTATGAGCTTAAAGTGAGAGGCCAAGAAATGGAGGAAGGACTCGCTCGTCTGCAGAGCAAGCTAAGTGGTTGTGGAAAACAAATTTGCCGTCAAAATGAGCAGCTTGCAGCGTCAAATACTAGCATACAAATGCAACAGACTAAAATATCCAAAGCTGAAAGGGAGATTTGCGAACAGAGAGAGGATCTGGACAAGCTTCTTCGAGATTCGAAATTGGTTGAAAACACTCAAGGATTTGTTGTCTCTCTTCAGATGGACGAGATTTTAGAAACTTTAAGGGAAAATGAAACAAAGGCGACTCAATTAAAAAGGGAGCTAAGTCGTCTGAGCAGCAAGATACCAAATCCTTATGAGCCACGAAGAGTCCACGACCTTGCCACTGACCATCGATTAGAAAGGGCTGAGAACCAACTTTCCTCACACGAAACTCAACTATCTGAGAACAGCCTCCAAATTGAAATGCTTGAGACCACATCCTATGATGGGTTTTACATTTGGAAAATAGACCACTACAGTCGAAAATATCAAGACGCTTTATCTGAAAGGACAGCATCGATCTACAGTCCTCCTTTCTACGTCGGTCGCTTTGGCTACAAAGTTTCTGTCCGACTCGACCCAAATGGAGATGGCATAGGAAAAGGGACTCATATATCACTTTTTTTCGTTGTCATGAGGGGTGAATATGACGCCATTTTACCCTGGCCTTTCGTACAAAAGGTTCACTTCAGACTGGTGGACCAGGATAAAATTCGAGACATTGTTAAGACATATCATCCCGATCCAAATAGCAGTAGTACGAAGAGACCCACCTCAGATATGAACATTGCATCGGGCTCTCCCACATTCGTTTCTCAAGTAGAGGTCCGTAAGGGTGGTTATATTCGGGGCGATACCATGTTTATTAAAGTGACTGTCGATATGGCGAATCCTCCTGGAGAGCTGGCGAGGTGAACACGAAAATCGATCTCACAAAACAAAATGGCAGATATCTGCGATATTCATAATAGAACAATAAGCAAGCTTGTTATAACTAAATGAAAATAGAACTGAATGAAAATATAAAACAAACAAAATAGACCCTGTAAAATTAGCTAAGAATGATAAAACTTTGCGATCTGTCGAACAACCAGTCTACCCGATTGTCTTCGTCAGTCGATTGATTGCGTACTACCAATCCAAATAATTAATATCCCAATAGGTAAGGAGTTTCCCCTTAACAGCTATTATACTATGAGCGTAGTTGGTTCTAGCAGTTGTCGTTTCGACTAAATCACGGATGATTTAACGAGACGCCTGACTCAGTCAACACTGCGGTTCTCCTAAAAAACTTATTTTATGTATAAGGACCACACTCACTGAGACGATCAAGATTGCTAAAAAACGACGACGTTTCGGCGTTGGTTAAACGTCATTATCAAGTAAAAAAAATATTTTTAAGTTGCAGTCTCTATATACCAAAATAACAATGGGTCATAAAAAGCTATACCGTAAGAAAAGAACAATAGCAATTAAACAAAAAGATCGGCAAGTATGGAGTCCATCTGGATATTTAAATTAGGCTTGAGATTCTAGCTGAACAGCATTTCAAAGGCTAAACAATCAAATTTTCCCTGGCGCTTTCTTAAAACTCTAAATTGGTTTTCTTTCAAAAGGTTTTTGCTACCGTGAGCTTCCACGAAATGTCGACTGATTGCCAAATATTTGTGCTCAGCAATACGTGGATGAAGGTGTCGGGCTGTGTACCCGACATTACCTGCAGGGCACGGTTCACATGAGAAACAATAAACAGTGCATTACCGATTCACAATTGACGGCTTGATTTCGTTGGGTTTAAGATCTTGCCCTAATTTCTTGCTCACAAAAACAGGCTGCAATATAGGGAGAATCTTATGGCTAAAATCGCGCAACTGCTTCCGAACCGCATTTTCGGCCACTTGATCTTTGAATGGAAGACTAATTCTTACTGTGCTATTTTCCTCGGTTTTTTTTTTTTAGCTATGCCTGCCGAAGCATTTCTATAAAAAGAATTAATGATAGCGGAATTAATAAGGCCCATAGGGTAGTCAAGACGACTGAAAATAGAGCACAATTTGACACATTCTGCATTAAAAGCCTTTGTGGTAGACGATAGGTCATAGGCTCGGTGAACATTGTCTCTAATAAAGAGTCTTTATAGCGTTTATTGGTGTGACTGTAGAAGTGTAAGAGTGTAATGGTTTTCGGTAAACTTGACTTTCAAGTTAGTTCCGTTCTTGACATTTTCAATGCCGATAAAAGAGATCTTATTAGCAACGGGAAGCTCCATCGTGAAAGTTAGACTGGAGTGTAGGCTATTCAGAGTATAAGGCAATCGGTACATACATACATACAAACATACATACGTTTATTGCAACTTCCAAGCTGGGTTTTTCAGTTACAAAGCCTAAATTAAAATTATTGTAATATTATAGTAACATTGTATTAGCCTAAAAATATATATAAGTGAAAACTAAGGCTAGTATAATATAAATACAAAAGGCCAGTACACGTTAAAAACGCTAGTGAACTAAAACAAAAATTAGACAAGAATAGAAGATTGAAATGATTCATCTGTGCGTGACATTTCCACTAAGGAGCGCATTCAGTAGGCGGAGCCTAAAGGCGTTTACATTATTAGCTGCTTTTAAGTCATTTGGGAGGTTATTCCACAATTTGCATCCGCGATACGTGACTGCACATTGCCCAGAGGACAGGCGGCATCGTGGGATGTGGAGCAGATTACATGATCTTGTTACCCTACTATGAATACAAGATCGTGGGACAATCATGTTAGCCAGATATTCAGGAACTAAATTATTTACACATTTAATACCATTACAGCATCGTTAAAATAAAGTCTTTCCTTAACAGTGAGTCAATTAAGAGATTTTATGCCTTGGGAGATGTGGTCAAATTTCTTAAAACCTAATACAATACGAAAGAAAAGTTCTGCACTAGCTGAAGCTTCTTTATATTTCTTTGAGATGTGTTGGCCCATACAATTGAACAATAATACATTGTACTAAAAACAAAAGCGTTCGTCAAAAGTAAAAGGGTTTTCCTGTCCAAGAGGTGTTTAATCCTGCTAATCTGTACTAGTTTGAAAATATAGTTAGAAGTAGTTTTAGCAACATGATCGTTATATGTTAAGGACTGGTCGATGAAGATCCATGGTCCTTTGCCACAGGGACTGGTGTTATTTCCTTTCCCAAGAGTGAAATCGACGTTGGAGGCAATTTCCGCAGTAGTTGAGGAACACCATCCGGTAAGATTTTCGTTTTACCTGGGTTTATTAAAAGGGAATTCTGGCACTATCGGCAAATTTCTCTCAAATCTTCGTTCAGATAACCAAATACGCGAGCGATGCCAGTTGAGCGAAAGGATAGGTATGGTTTACAGTCATCGGCGTAGCACACAGACTTGCAGTGGGTTGGAACGGACAAGAGATCATTTATATAGATGGTAAATGAGTGGTCCAGTGAGGCGTGAGTGGTCCAGTGGTCTGAGCGCTGGACTCTGGGTCGGACGGCCCGGGTTCGAGTCCTGGCCGGGGCACTACGTTGTGGCCTTAAGCAAGCCGCTTCACTCACCTTGCTTCGTCTTCTCGGATAAGACGTTAAGCCGGAGGTCCCGTCTCCTGCAGGGTTTGGGGTAGGAGACGTTAATTTCCCACGCACGAGATTACTGTGTGATGGATGTCCTCCCCTGGGTTGGGTTGGGTGGATTTAAGAGGGGTAGTGCCCCGTATGGGACTCCATGTCCCGCTGCACTAACCCAATTGGCGTCCGTCTATTCGTAGACGTACCCAATAAAGTTGTTATATAAATAAATAACACAGGCCCCAAAATAGAACCCTGAGGAACTCCGTATTTAAGTGGGAGCTGGTCTGAGACAGTATCCCCAGCACTCGCTGGCTACGACCAGACAGGTAATTATGAAACCACTCCAAGCTAGAAGAGGCAACAGCTATGCTCTGTAACTTCTGAAGGAGAAGATCATGTCTGATACTATCGAATGCCTTGGACAAGTCTAGTAGCACGACAACGGACACTTCACTCTTATCAATGGCCATGAGAAAATCATTCGTTACGTGTAGGAGAGCAGTTTCCGTAGACTGACATTTTCGATTACCACTCTGATTTTCAGATAGCTTCTTGTTGGTGGTTATGTAGTCAACGAACTGACGCTGAGCTAATCTCTCAGACACCTTTGATAGCATTGGCAGTAATGAGAGGGGCCGGTGATTAAAGGGATCTTCGGGGTTGCCAGACTTTAACACAGGAGTAACTTCAGCCATTTTCCATACTTTCGGGAAACAATTAGATCTAAATGAGTTATTCATAATGTTTGTAATAGTTGGTACTATGACTGTCAAACAGTCCTTGAGGACGCGGGTAGTAATCTTATTACGACCTTGTGCTTTGTTGGAAGAAAAGCCCTTAATTACACCTTCAACATCCTTCTCCAGTACGGGGTGAAATCGAAATAAGTCAGGGCAGTCATCAGGCGTTCGCAAAAGGGTTGGCATTGCTGGATTAATATGATAATTAGGTACACAAGCAAGATCATAAGCTTCCTGAGCTGCTGAACTTCCAACAGATGCTAAATATTCATTAAATCCATTTGCCAAGGAAATTGGGTTGTCAGGAATAATAGGGCGGCTTTTGGACTTCTTTGGCAGGCAGTTGTTAATTATCCTCCAAATTGCAATAGTGTTTCCTTTGTTTTGTAATAGCTGAGATCTCACACAAGCTTTTTCTGCAATTCGTAGTTCACGCTTGACTTCCTGTCTGAAGAAACGATATGCGTTCCATTGAAGACGGTCATTTAATTTAATGGCTCACCGATGCCATTGGTCCCGGTTCTTCATCAGTTGGCGAATTTCAGCTGAAATAAATGGGTTGGGTCTTAACGTGATTTTTACTCGCTTTAAAGGGGCTTGATCATCTAAAATATCGGTAAATAACGCATTGAACGTCTCCACTTGGTCATCAAAATCGTCAAACATAGATATTATATGAAAAGGTACAAGTGACAGATCTACACTGAATTGTTTTGCATTGTAATTAGCGTAACTCCTGATGGTAATATAGGAGGGCTCGAGTCGAGGGGTCTTCAACGTTAATACTAGGTAAACAAGATGGTGATCACTTACTGAGCAGGTAAGCACGTCACTTAGGCTGACAATATCTGTGTTTGTCGTCAAAATTACGTCGATTAAAGATTTTGTGGTTTCTGTAATCCTTGTGGGTTTCTTAACCAGTTGTTGTAAATTAAATGTTGAAATAAAGGTCTGCAGTGAGGTAGTCTCAGGGTCAGGAGCTAAAAGATTGCAATTTAGGTCACCAAGAATGACAACATTTAAGTCTAGGAGTAATGCATCTGTGAGGCTATTTGCAAGAGATTCAAAGCACGTGCTTGGCGTTTGTGGAGGTCGATATGTGTTGCAGATCAAAAACGATTTGTACTTTCTGCATTGAACTCTTAGCCAAAGTTGTTGAAAGTCATCGTCGCAGGCAGATGATAAATTCTCAAGCACAGTAATCTTGAGGTTTGACTTGGCGTAGGTGCACAAGCCACCTCCAGCTTTATGTTGTCCACGATCCTGTCTGAAAAGTTGGTAACTAGAGATCTCGAGGCTTGCGTCAGACACAGATAAATCCGCCCACGTTTCAGATACGATGAAGATATCAAAGCCATTATGCAATATGGTGTCTTTGACGAGACAGAAATGCTCTCTTGATTTCAAGGACCGGACATTCATCGGTCAAAATTTCATAGAAGCTCACGGTAGCAACCACCTCTTGAAAGAAAACCAATTTAGAGTTTTAAGAAAGTGCCAGAGAAAATTTGATTGTTTAGTCTTTGAAATGCTGTTCAGCAAGGATCTCAAGCCTAATTTAAATATCCAGATGGACTTCATAAGCGCAAATCTTTTTGTTTAATTAGTACTGTTATTTTCTTACGGTATAGCTTTTTATCACCCCATTGTTATTTTGGTATATATAGACTGCAACATAGAAATATGTTTTTGACTTGGTAATGACGTTTAGCCAACGTAGAAATGCCGTCGTTTTTTAGCAATCATGAAATGTTTTTAATATTTTATCGCAGTTTTTTATAGTTAAATGTTTTTCTAAATCACTTCTTCGTAAACTCAAGGGATACCATGATAAATGAGACTGAAAAATTGCAGCTGCTATTCACTTAAGAAAAGGAAAGAATTATTTTGATCACCTTTATTTCGTATAGTTTACTATTTTCTATAAACTGAACATTGGCTATTAAATACTGAATTAGACCGTATGTAGTTCAAGTGCTCCTTTTCAGGCGTTTTAATTCACATTTAAAAACTAAGGCGAATGTCATGAAGACTGTTTTGTGAAAGAGCTCTTTCTGTTATTGAACAAGAATGTACCCCATCACTTCGACAAGTTTGTTTCTGTTGTTTCCACCATGATATGCAAAATTTCCTCACGAATAATAATATGGATGTTGACTACCTACAGTGCCAAAGCCAATTCTTGAATCAGACGCCCGACAGTTTGCATAATCGTCACCAAGGAAACCGATTCTTGCCTTCGAATGGCTACTAATACCATAATCTGAAACAGAGTAAGCTTTGAATCCTTTTTTTTTGCAATAATCTTTTAGGGAAGCCTTGACATGGTCCATTCCCCGGTCTGTTCCCCTTTGAAAACCATGCGATCCCCTATTTTTCCTCACCCCCCCCCCCTCCCTTCCCCATCCCATGTGGTAAATATTGACGAAAGAAGCTTCAACCACTCGTTCAAAATAACAAAAAAAAAGGAAAAAAATTGGCCGAGTCCTCTTCCGTCTCAATAAAATTAAAGTGAGCATGAAATCACTTTATTTTTTCAATTACTCTTGGAAAGAGAGCCTTCCGAGTGGGTTGCTATCAGTCTGTTGCAACAGTCCGCCCGTCCTTCCAACCAGTAGTCCATAAATTGTGGAGTAAAGTTATTTTTCTAAGCATGTTTGAAGAGTGAAAATGAAGAGCCGTCCCTTGGAAACAGGTGCCCAGCTTTATTCAATTCTGTCAATTTTATAATAAGACCAACAAAGCCCTGGTTTGCCGGCATCTCACAGCAAAGATCAACGAGTATTAAGAGTCAGCTGTCTTCGTCAATTTGATTTGGTCTCCGATTTTTATACCGACGCAAATTTTGCAGAATCTTGTGTGCCAATAGGTCGATAACTTTGTCTCTTGATCATCAAAACCGGTCAAGCACGCATCGCTATTATACTCCAGAGCTTGGAATCGTAATTGAATTTTTCCCATTCAGGTGACCAGAAAGTATATGTCGATCGTTAAATTGAAAATAAAAGCGATAATAAACCTAGGAGTCTCATAAAGTATCTTAAATGTTTTTGAGGAGGATAACAGAAAAAGTCGCTAAGGTTATTTACCAAATACTCCTTGCCTTTCCCTTATCATAGCAGCGTGTATCGGAAGAAATTCTATAAAATAAGGCCAGGAAATTATGATATTATACTTTAAAAAAAGTGGTTGGCATTGAGGGCGTCAAACATGTATCAGAAAGAGAAAATGATAGGCCGTGGCGTCATGATTGATTAGGTAAGGTCACACCTCCCCCTTGAAAGAGATGATTTTTCTCCCTAGCGTTTTGATTAACTATGGAAGTAGTTGAATCACCCATTCATCGCAAAACAGTCACTCCCTGTGACTAAACAGTAAGTAAGAATGAATCAGTTCAGAGTAATAAACACAAACAAACAGAAAGAGCAATAAAAATTAAAAAAAAAAAAAAGCAAGTAAAAAAACACCCTCTTCTGGATTACATTTTATTGCTTGATAATTCAGGGGTATGACTATTGATTGCAATAACTTGTGACCGTCCGTAGTACCATTAATCTTAATAATTAAAGTCCAACTGCCATCGCCGCAATGACCAAGGCGTCCTATGTGACAATAAACTGATTGCGTTTCGGTACCCAGCGTCAGCGGATAGGCTTTGCTCTCGTCAAACCTAATAGATAGCAACGTATCCAAATTTTATATGCCAAGTGATTCGAGTCTCAGGTCAACAGTATCTCATAGCAAAATTCTGGAAAATGTCATTAACCAATCTTTTTCTTTCTATACTGCCATATTGCAAAGTTGTGTTCTTACAAGGTCAGTACTTACAATTTATTGTAGTAAAGCACTTTACAACTTCAAGCAGCTGGTGTGGGCAATAATTACAAATGCGTCCGATGAGTTAAATTGCTGTGACAATGTGTTCCAATAACATTCTTGGATGTAGATGTACAACAAAACAACGTATCTATTTATACTTGTCTACCACTAGCGCGCGTCACATCAATCACTGAGAATATACTCTTTTATTGTATGTAAGCCACCGTGTGGTTTTTTTTTTTCTTTTTTTTTTTTTAAATCGAACACTACCAACCCATCAGAAGAAGACGAGAAGAAGATATACAGAGCGGAGGTTCGGGCGGTCAGGGCTTCGAAGCGTTTAGTTACGCGTAGTTTTGGCCAACAGCGTCGCGCATGGCGGTTCACGTTAATTTGTTGAAGTCCGATTTTCTTCCTAATGAAGATAAATCCATTTGGGATCCAGCCCAAAATATCATCTGGCTCGGAACTGTTATTAGCACCTAAGAATGCCTCATCTCCGCAACGGATAGCGGAATTCAATCTCTGACAGAGGATTTATTGTTTCTTTTGGGGTCGGAGGACCCCCTTTTTCAGGTTCGGAAGCTCGCCAACGTGAGCGGTAAAACTATTTTGCTTGGGAACTGAGTCGGGAACGTAACTAGGCTCATGACCAGAAATACCTTTGCCATTGTTAAATCTGTCACATATTGGAATTCTCTTGTCTCTCTAGCGCCTGAATGCATAAATTAATTAAACTTTTGGAAAGACAATCTTGCTACCATCAGGGGTGTGCCTTTGTGGCCCGTGAAGCGCAAACCAACGCAAATTGTATACTCAGATGTGTCCAATTCAGCCTGCGGAAGTTATTCAATTCGAGGACAAAATCTTTCACCCGAATTGGTCAGATTTTGAGAGCTCACGGAGCTCCGCATTTCGTGACCTTCTTGCCGTTTCACTGTCTTTACAAGCGTTTATAGACTCCCTCGAGGCGCAGACTGGCGTCTAGTATACAGATAATCAGAACATTAGTTCTAAAGTTCCAGCTTTACAGAAAATAGCTCTTGATATTCATCGATGTTATCTCATTAGAGCCATCGGTATTGACCAGTATTATTTCGTGTTCTTGCACGTTTTTATGACTACTGCGCTTTGGAAACACGGGCTAGAGGCCCCTTGAGATTCACCCTTGAGGGGTCAGCTTGTTGTATTCAGTTAAGGTTAAAAGTTGTGATTATTGTTTTACAGTACGGGATAGAGGCCCTCGAGATGCGCCCTTGGTGGGTCTGCTTGTTACACTCAGTTACAGTTAAAAGTTGTCGACTTTTCTTTTACATTACGGTGGGTCTGCTTGTTCTATTCAGTAAGACTTAAAAGTTGTTGAATTTTGTTTTACAGTACGGGCTAGAGCCCCTTAAGATGCACCTTTGAGGGGTCTGCCGTTTTGCAGCTTCATAAGCTTACGATTAAGGGTTCATGTTCGATGATTGTCAGCTATGTGCATACAAGGACTTGTCAGCCTTGTATGATCCGGACTCGGTATGTCCTTGTATATATTTATTATCATATGTTGTCACATGTGTTCTTTTTGTTATCTCTTGTTTTCTTTTATATAATTTGGTGTATTCTCCCGAGATATTTTTATACAGATTTCTGGTCCTCGTGCCAACCAGTCTCACGTGAAGTTGCCTCGTTGACGGAGAAATTGGAAATTCACTGCGTTAGCCTCCTGAGTATCCGGAACCTCGATCACCTACACGAGGGTTTTCAGCAGATGGAGACCTTTTGCTGCAGACGTCTTAGATATCTCCTCCTTTGGGTTTTGGTCTTCTGGAAGCTTCGACGGCTGTCAGGTCAACCAGCCGAAGCGAAAGCTCAAGCTTACGGGTACTTGCTTCGAGGGCTTCTGGGACATCGGAAAACTATTTTAGGGCCTTCGACCGATGGGCAGAGTTCGGAAAAGGCGTGTTGATTGTTCCTGCTTTCCCTGTCGGGCCCGTGGATTGTGCCCTCTACCTGCAGTTTCTTCTACAGTCATCAAAGTCGGCGTCTGCCGTCAACTGCATTTTTTACGCTTTCAAGTGGCTGCATCAGGTTGCAAGAGTGGATTCTCCTACCCTACACACCATCGGCCGTTTTCTCTGCGAAGGTGGGAGCTCTTCGTCTTGTTAGCCAACCAGCCTCTCATGGGAAAGAACCCCTCGAGGTGGCCCATCTCAAACAACTTGTTGAAAGGACTGACTTTGGCAATCTTTTGCAATTAGGAAGCTTAGGTATGTTCGTCCTCGCCTTCTCCGGCTTTTTCAGAAGTTCAGAATTATGTCAAAGACTAGCCATCTAGTAGGCTTGAAGTCTCTAAATCTCTGTCCCTCTGAGCTCAAGCCCTTTCTTTTACTATCTAGCATGTGCCTGGCTGACCGACGCGCCCATGCCTCCAAATGTTGTTTAGCGGGTTCGGTTGTGTAGTGGAGGCAAAATTATAGCCATTATGTAAGTAATTAGAAGAGAAAGGGAGACGGTAATGCGCATGCACGATTGCAAGTAAAATACATCTTTACGATATGCGTTTGCGAACTGACTAGAGACACTTGCGAAGCGACCATTGGCGAAACGATCGACATCCTATGGATGTATGTACTCGCTTCCTTTCGCCATTAGAGTCAAGCAACAAGGGTAAATCCAAATCGAGCTGCTCTTTGGTTCAAATGGGGTAATTTTCTGTTTTCTGCATTGGCCACAAGACAAGACGCAGAACAGCCTAAGATTTTGACACTTTCAACACATCGAAAGCAGGAAAAATTTTAATGGTTAACTTTTTTTTTTTTTACCTTTTTTTTTGCGTTTCTATGGACCTCGACTTTGTCTCGGCCCATGGAAACGGAAAAAAAAGAGATGTGGCTTATATCCAGGCATCTTGACCAAACAAGCCTAGGCTTTTTCGAGGGCGGGAAAAGAAAGCCAACGGTGTTCTGCGCACAAAGAATCCACGAGAGCCGTTTATGTATTCTTTAATTTAATTGTTTTCTACCGCTGCTGTCTTTCTTGCGCAGTATCAAGACGGGCAATCCCACGCGAGCAACATAGGCCATCTTGCCCTCTTGAGTAGCCAATCAGAACACAGGATTCGTTTTTATACAGTAAGTGGTAATCATGATTTCTATACATTTCGGTCGCATTTACTCAAATAGTCTTACACTTTTTAATTAAACGAAGGAAAAAAGCAAACCTTTTTCATTGTATGGTTAGAACTTATGTTGGAAACACGAGATTCCTGCCGGTTTTGTCGGCTGAAGAATAAAATATTCATTAATAAGTTGAGTATACACCAATTTGAAGAGGAAGCAATGCAAGTTACATGAATTTTCCGATGCATGGCAAAGACAACCAAACAAGTCAAGAACTTCAACATATTTGAAACCGTGACCTCAGCGGATAACAAAAAAATCAACGTAATAAGTTTGGAAACTGACCACCACTCAGCCGCATCCTTGGTGGAGACAACCACTCACCAACAAAAAGGAAACGATAGAAATGAAACAAGCAATAATCGCTAGCAACCTGAAAGTGTCAGTTACCCCTGGTAATCGGCGTGTTTGCTCGCACTGAGAATCATCGGTTGCCGCGTAAGATTCGCCAGTTTCCTTTTTCAGGAGATGTCTGTTTCCTTTCAGATTTCCATGTTATTCTAACTCAGCAGTTTGTGCTTGTAATCTTCATTTCGATGAACTGTTTCTTTTCCGATTCCTGCCTTCGGGGAAACGTTAAACCCTTCGTTGTTACAGTTATCTTGCAGGGAAGCCATGACACCAATCAGCATCTTCCATCTAACTCGGCCGAGTGAGGTTTGCTGATATTTCCCATTTGAGATCAAAGAATATAGATAGTCAGCTACCTTCCTGATTTCGATAAAGTTGATTTGGTGTCCGATTTCCATACCAAAGCAGATCTTGGAAAATTTTGTTTTCCAGTAAGTCGGTAACTTTGTCTCTTGATCATCAAGTTCCGTCAAGCCCGTGTCACTGCTGAATTCATGCTTGTTACTCCAGAGCTCGTAATTGTAATGGAATGTGTCCTAATGAAGCGAGGAGAAAGAGGAAGACTTGATCGTGAAAATTTTTAGAAATAGAGCCAGCAAATTATGTCACAAAACTTTGAAGAGTGGTCGGCTGCATCGATTAGGGTCAAACGTGTATCAGGGAGGTATGTTGACGCCTTATGCCTGGCTGATATACTTGATAACAAACTGTCCGATAACAGACTGTCAACCGGTAGCAACTTGGCAAGTGAAACACAGGAGTTTTTCTTTAAAAAGCTTTTTTCCTCGATTTTTACAATCGAGAAAATTGTAATTTTCGCGTTTAAACATGTATTTTAAAATACATGACATTCATGCATTTCGGTCGCACGTAATCAAATTGCCTAATCTTAGCACCCGAAAAGTCAAATGCAATATGTACACACACACCGTAAATCAAACGAAGGAAAACTCAAAGCATTATCCTTTTTATTGTATGTTTGGTTAATTTATCCTTCCCAGAGGAAGTTACATATAAAGCATGAGTTTTCTGCAGGGTCTTGTCTGCTGAAAACAAAAATAGATTAAGAGATAGTTTTTCTGGAGACCGCGTGAAATCAAAAAAGTGTGGCACATGCCCAGAAAAAGCCCTACCTTCATACTTCGCTCAAAGATACCTTAGGGTAATTCTATAAACGTGGTATAATTTTTTTGTTCAGAACTGTTTTTATTTTCTAGAAAATCACCAAACACTGTATCGAGCCCCAACCGCCATAACGGTGGCCGAAATGAAGCCGACGAGTAGGGCAACAAAAACGTTATTCTTCAAAAGCGCAAAAGAAAGCAAGTCTTTCCGAATATTATCTATTTGTATACGAGGTATTAACAAATGATTTGAATCTAATAACGGGATTATTGACATAACTATGAATTATTGGCTAATATTTGAAAATCGCCAAAATTTGATTGATTAAAAATTTCATTTTGGAGCAGTTTTTCAATAAAAATTTTTCCTACTCGGTATACTCGGAATCACTTGAGATGAGCATTTCTGAAAATTGGAAACGATGTTCTTTTCAAGGATATAAAAATTGATTTTGGGCTCTTAATTACTGCGAAGAAATAGCCCGATCTATTTCGTGCAAATCGCAACGCCGCCGTGTAAACAACCGCAGATAATCCAATTATTCTTTTATTATCGAAGCCACAATTTCTGCAAAATCCTACCGCTTTAAGCTGTGCTTTATCAGAAACTCAATATGTTACCCTTACCTTCTGAAACCAGTGATTAAGGAGTGATGTGTCCATTATTTTTGTTTCAAATCGCCATGTTCACTTGAAAAGTGTTTACAACTTCCGGCTTGACCATTTACAATACTCGAAGCTGTTCATAAATCATCGCAGACCATCGCAACTCTTGACTTATTTCTGCTTCCATACAACTCCAGTATATACAAAAGTCTTTTTTGCACGATAAACCAAGATGCTTTGATTGCTTACAGTTTCAGTTAAGAAACGTTTGGCTCCGAAAATGGCACAACGATGTTCACCAACGAAGTCGTGTGTCATCCCTCATGTTTGTCACCCAATCACGCTAAACGTGCACAGGACACCCAGACAGGCATTCGTCTGCACCGAGTGCAGGGCCAACTAATATTCATTTCTTAGTCAGTGTTATGTTTTAAACAAAAACCTGCGCGAATTCACTTAAAAAACGCTGTAGATCTCTTTTGAGTGTTTTGAATCAGTGCCATTCTGAAAAACTACTTTTTGGCGTTTTCGTAAATTTAGTCACCCCCTGGTACTGACTATACATGCGTTGTTATCGACTCTATTTCCACGAGTTCGCGCTTGCAAAGATTATTTTTATCAATAGGCACTTTAAGCATGACGTTTAACGGCAAACGGCAAACGCAAGCTTGCCTTTCATTTTGTTACCTATTTATGGAATTCTTAAAAAAATCCTGCACAAAAAATAAAATAAAATAAAATAACACATTCATGATAAACACAAACCTACTTAATTCCGTGTACACACGCCTAAAGACAGACGACAGAAATTGAAGTTTTGACGTTCGCGGAAAAACAAACGTCATGCGTAACCTCTCAAATGACGAACTTCCCAGTTAACTAAAACAACTGGAAGTTAATTGTCTAGTGCTCCGTGATTATATACATCGCCTACGTGTGTCCCAAGTGGATCGATAAGGTCTACCATGACCTTCAGTGGCAGGCAGACAGGTTCCAAGATGAGGCGTTCTTTTCTTATGACACTGGAAAAATTCTACCGACTATGTAAACAGAACAACAGACTAACAATTTCGTGCTTTATCTAAGCACTTTGAACGTTAAACTTCACTAAAAACGTAAATCTTCGAGTCACAAAGTCGGCCGCTTGTATCAGGCCGCGAGACATTACGTGTTATTTGATATCGCCTGACTGTAGGTCATTACGATAGCGTGCTCATCAATTTAAACCTTTCGATTTTGTACCTTGATTGCTACGATGATAATGGCCATCGCTAGAAACTTGACAGTTTTCTCAACTCGAACTCGGAAAAAGTTGTTTCCCGTCCCTTAATCAAACAATTAATCTTTGAGATTCCGAATTCTCGACAAGACAGAGGTGGCGTACCCTCTGAGATTCAAGAAATCAGGAAGTTCCTCCATACCAGCTAACTGAATGGGTTTTATAAAGCAAAAAAGGAAAGAAAGAAAGAAAGAAAGAAAGGAAAAGAATGTAGTGTCATATACTTAGGTGTTTTCCTGGTCAATGAAACCAATATTCAAGCTACATGTAGTTCGTCACTGCTGACAGGTACAAGGGCTTCGATCTTGCTCACGTAAGGCTGCTTACGATGAACGGAGATATCGCTGCTATCAATGCTAAAAAATAAGCAAATATCCTTCAGCACTGAAATGGAAAAGCTCTTTAACTTGGACTTTGCTGCCATTTCACAAAGATTGTACGCATCATATGTGATAGGGTGTCTAAGCGCCAGTTCGTTTAAAGCCGCATTCGACAGCTCTTGGATTCTTGCTTCACTTGCAGCGGCCTCCAAGTCGTCATCAGACAGTTCCTCGTCATCCTGGAGGGTCTTTTTCGCAACCAGTCGGGAAAAGAAGGCAGCTATTTGATTTGCTGTAAGGAAATCGTCGCTTGTAAACAGGCGGTTACCACTCGCATCCTTGGCGCTTACCATCGCACGTGCAACTGATGCAGGGTCTGCTTTCTGTCCTGATTGTTCCCCCAGTTTAAATTTGGCAGTAAGATAGGCCTTCTGGCTGGTAGTAAATCTCTTTCGTGGGGCACCAGCCCTTAGTGCCCAGCCCATTGGTACTTTTCTGCACGAATCTGGTATGATGTCAGGTCTACTGTTTGCAATAACCTCTGGTACTGAAGGGGTCTGTCCCTTCAGTTACTCTCCATACACCCTAACAGCTCTGTCTGTTAAGGTCTCGCGCTCTAGAGCTCGCTCGTGTTTACCAAAATCTAAGTGTTGCTGCATTGAAGAATACCTTATGAATGTCCGTGTGCAGCTCTCCTCAGGACAAACAAAAAGTCCTTCTTCTACACCTGTCAGATTTTCTACGAATTCAGCGTTAGCCTCTTGGTCTACTTGATCCTCATGAACTTGAGGCTGTACGTTTTTTCTTCTTGCCTTGACTGAAGTGAAGGTACTAGAATGTGTTTGAGTACTTGTGAGTGATGGAAGCTCCGACAAAGGTGGATTCTCCAACTTTAAAAGTTTCCCAGGGCCAACACCGTACGCCTTCCACACGCGAATTCCGTCACCGTTATACTCAACATTGTTAATCAAACTCACACCTTCGACCTTCAAAGATTGCTCAAGAGGTGTGGCTGATTCACACAGAGTAACGTTAACCGCGGACACTCCCCCGGAGGAAAGAATTGCATCAGACATCTGAGCGGGAGTCTCAATATCGCTGCCAGAATTTAGGTGAACTCTCATATGTGATTTGATCGTAGCAGCCTTTCTATCGCAAGGCCCTTTTCCCCTTGGGGATCCGAGAAATCAAGGCGCTTTATGGATACGCCAAACTGCTCGCCGAGTACTCTTGCACACACAATGGTTGCTCCACAGTGATAACATCCGGCATTGTCACGCCGATAATACACGGACGCTAGATTGGGTACTGTGATCTTGAGCTGCCGTATAACATCTGCCATCACTGCGAGTACAGCACAGTTGTCTTGATTGCACAGTTTAAAAAGGTGTACAAATGTAAGCATTTGCATCTCATCCCCTTCGCGCTTTGTCGCTACTGTCACATGCCAGGGGATACCACGTTTCCCAAACCAGTCGGTCTGGCTCTCTCTGTACTTTCTGGGCAAATATGGCCCAATCTTGCACCAGCAGCACTGAAATTTCATCTAGTTGCTCCAAAAGCTCCACTCGAGCAGAATCTTGGTTGACAGAGCGAAGAAGGTGTGACTTCCAAGCCCAGATGGCTTTCTTGGCTTGCTTCACCCAGAAGATCTTCCTTTTCCACAGATGATAGATTTTCAGTCTGCGCCGCCAGGCCTGCCTCAATTTGAAGTAAGGTCTCAGATAGAAGGTCGCAGCGGTCACATGCGTCATTGTGGTCATGCTCGCGGACAGACTGATATGCAGGATCCTTGGGGTCGCTTAAGGCAAACGGTCTGCAATGATCGGGCACTGACGAGCTTTTAGACACATGCACCTGTGAATTTAAGCCACAGAATATTCGGATTTTTAGTGCAGGAGGTATTTCGATCAGAACAATTACTTTCAGTACAGCAATCAGGGGAGTTATTTGACAAATATCCAACTTCTGAAAAATTGAATCAATGGCAAACAACAGTTCTCTTTGTATTAATTTATTCCATTGTGTAAAAGCTAGCGTGCCGTAAAGTCATCCATCAATTCGCAATAAAGTGCGTGAAATACGTTGTTTAAGATTTTTTTTAATTAGGCCATCTTTTTTTCTATCTTCAGAGCAGCCCGACGGACTCGGCTAATTTTCGGTTGGTGCAGCCGACATACTCTGCATCACACAAATCATATTTACAATTGTACACAACGCATTGTTGGCTAATTATAGGTGGTTTGGGCTCGCAGATCTCGAGGCCTTCACATATTTTGCGACTCTTGAACACAGGTTGAAGAGTGAGATCTATTTTTTTGCTTAGATCTGATAATTGCCTTTTCACTGCGTCAGCTGACTTTTGATCTTTAAAAGGCAAAACCACTCGATGAACAGCATTTTCGTTGGTGGATAATTGAGCTTGCACTCCGATGTTTAGTAAAGTAATAAATAAGAAATTTTACCTTAAATCTAAGAAAAACAGTATTTCTGCAAAAAAAAAAAAGGATTAAGATACGGAATTTCTCAACGCTGCATAGAATTCGCAGTCTTGGTGGTTTTTCCTTTTCCGCATGTTTCGTATCATTAGTGACCATCGCCTTCTATTTCCAGGCTCTATGACAATGGCGCTTGGGTACCGGGCCTCCCAGCTCAGACTTTTTTCTGGATTTTTAACCGCTAGCAGTCTATTTCGTTTCCTAGCCTGCGACGTGATAACATTAATACGAATTGAGAAACAGCCAGCAAGCGGCGGCGAGGGGTGAAGCTGCCCTATTCCCTCCTAGTTTCCTCCCCTTATTTTCGTAATTTTAACATTCTTAACCCTATTCAGACCGGGGGTGCGGATTCGCCCCTCCCCCCCTCCGTAACTTCCAGAATATTTGAGCAATGACAATGAAACTTAGAGGGTATATAGTATGTCTGAACATTTATCTTTTGGTATACGTCACGTGGTATGATGACGTCATGTCTTGTGACAATTATGACATAATGTCCAAACAGCCGCCATCCGCCATCCTAGATTTCAAACTTTTTCAAAAACCTCAGAAAACCGCCACAAATTACTGAAAAGTCCTTAAAACCTTTTAACAAGAGAGGATAAAATTATCCTCTCTTGCTTTAAAAGGTTGCCAAAAAGGCCAAAAAAGGTGAAAATAACTACATTAAACCTAATTTCCATTACTAAAAACACAAAAATTACAAATTTAGAAAAGACGTCTGTCAAAATGACATTACTATGGTAACCTTAAGTTCCCGAAACGATAACCTGTCATACCAAATTATTTCCAGATAAATTTTAGATAAAGCTGCCAAGTTTGGCAGCGTTTGGTTGATTATTGAAAAAGTTATAGACGCTCAAAGTCAGCGCGGGCACTCCCCCCTGGTCTTGATAGGGTTCAAAGACCATAAACCGACTCTCGCCGTCTATTCTTTTTATCAGAACGATCAATCCAAAATCAGCAAACTCGTTTGACTCTGAACGAATAGAAGCGTCCACCCATTGAACATAGGGGGAAGTAAAAAATATCGGCTACCTTCATCGAATAATCAAACGGCGACATAATAAATTTATACTGAACAAACGCGCTTGGAACAGCTTATTAACTTGCAAGCTTGATCGCAGTAGAAACGTTTGATTGCAATTAAACAAACAAATTAATAAAACGTACCTTATAGTCGCTCTTTAGATAGCGCTTGCTTTTCCTTAGGTTGGTTTCTTGCTGTTTTACCCACCCCATCCCTTGCCCAGCGTCCCCAAGCATCTCGGCTACTTTGCATAAATCGTCAAATGCCTCTGCCCCTGAAGAACTAATGTAATCGAGTCCTTGCAAGGACTTCCTCACAGACGCGGCGCAGACACTTAAGATACGCAATAGGGTGCTGCGACTGAGGGCTTTAAATCCTGTCTCCTCACAATACGCGAGGTACTGCTTTACTAATCGTTCTGGAACCATGGTTCGTTTAACGTTGGGAACTTTGATTGTCTCTTTTGATGACAACGTTATAGTCCTTTCCCCGAAGGGCAAGTCCTGGATAACATGTGCACTTGTGATAAATGTGATAAAGTGATCTATTTGTGCAGTGGAAACACGCATCACAGGCGCTTGCGCTGACGATACAGGTGCTCCTCTCCCGTGTGTCAGGCAATGACGTTTGGCCTCGGTAAAACGACAACTTGACAGGTCTGGTATCCAAAGTCGCAACTTCTTAAACGACACTTTATCGACCATGATAGACAGAATTTGCCGACGCGTCTCCCAACATCAAGCAGCGTGGTAGCAATCAGCAAGCGCTCCTAGTAGGGTTTCATCGACAGTTGTCTCAGTTTCCTCGTCACTTGACAAAGTTCTTTGGATGGCTTGCGAGGAACACATTGCCTGGAACAACTCAGCAGGACTTTTGGGCGCGATATCTTCCATTATGGCGGTCACACCTTGTCCAGCTTTTCGTATGTAGTAACGCTTTGTTCTCTCACTTGCGATCTCCCACGGAGTGTTAAGCCTAGAACGGACTGGACTGGTATCTCGGGATTGCAAATACTCGTTAAGGGCGTCAGCAGGTTTGTGTTCTGCCTGTGCACCGCGAAGATCATCGAACGTTACTTCAAAAGAAGTGCATGTGTCGTCACTTTCAGGAATGTAGAAACTTCCTCCTGGTGTTATGGGAGTACTGTGAGGAACACCAGCGTAATCCTCCCCCTCGTCCTACAAATGTAACCACGCGTGTACAGTAAACACCTGAATATAAGAACATTGATTTCGGGCTTCTGACTGATCGTGTTTTTGTTTAATGGGTGTTTAGTGGAAACATTTTCAATTCCTTTTGCAATGCCAGCTATGCTTGAGCTACAGGCTTCTGTAACCGTTATCTTGGTATCCGGAACAATGGCCGTCCTGCAGTCACGACAAATTCCTACACACACAAAAAAATGATAAATTATGATCGAACTGTTCGTAAAGTAAAACTAATTTATCAATACTAATGGCTCAGTCAATTCCAAGCCCGCTCATCCCCCGGGGCATTTGTCTTTTGATTTTGAAAATGTGGAAAATGCCCCACGGTGAGGCAAGCTCACGCATACAAGTAATCATTCCCAAATAAATGTAACTTCATTAGAACGACTGGAGCCTGCAACAGCTTCAATCGCTTTTTAACATCTAAAACTGCAACTCTTTTGCTTCCCGGCGTTCTTCTTTGCTTCATCTCTCGTTTGCACACGGAAACAACAGTCCAAATATTTGTACAGTGTTGGGGCAGAACCATTTACAGCAAACTCTCGCTTTGCGGACACCTCGCTATTAAGGACATTCGCTATTACGGGCAAAATTCAGATCCCCGACATAAGAGGTTTGTCTGGAAATGACTCCAAGCATTACGGACTCTCCCTACAGTGAAAACCCGATATAACGATAATGCTGAAAAATAACCAAATATATCGTTATATCGGGGTAAAAGGAGTCAAAGAGAAGCTGTCGACGGAAACTTTACAGATGCTCGGTTACTGTATTAAATTCAATGTTTTGCTTAAATTGTGACTGTGTACTGTGTACTCATTCTCATCGTTATATCGGGAATATCGTTATATCGAAGATCGTTATATCGGGGTTCTGTCCCATACAGTTTACTGTAATATTTGCAGGGACATAGAATATTCATCGTTATACCGGGAATATCGTTATATCGAGGATCGTTATATCGGGGTTCCACCGTATTACGGACACTAAACGACGTCCCGAGGGTGTTCGTTGTAACGGGAGTTGACTGAAAAGATCACGTTGTTTTTGACAATGCTTCACTAACCGAGCTGATCGTCTTTGGAAAAGGCCCCACACTGGGGTAGGGGAATGAGAACGAATAAACGAACGAACGAACGAACGAAAATGAATAAGAATGAGAATGCCTGGGGTGAATTTTCGGGCTTGGATAGGCCCTTTTACAGTTGCGTGCTTAGATACCAAGCCTTTGAGTGGAAGCGAGGCTCAAGTTGACCTTGTTTTGATACAAACCCTGTTACTTTTGATATGCAAATCCTTTAATTGTTATGCTAACCAGTTTTTGATCTCTATCGTGTCAAGGTCAACACAAACCTCGCTTTTATACAGAGGCCTGGTTAAATATCACAGAACTGTAAAATGGTCTATTGACAGAGACAAAAACAGTTTTTTAATCCTACCCTCCCTTTCACTTTTCAAATCACCTGCCCGTCCCCTCGCACCAACAACGCAACAACGCAACAACGTCCCCTAAATCTATCCATCACTCTTCCCTAAGAGCGGTTTTGCGGTGTAGTGAGTGGCCCTGAGCCCCTGACCAAAATAAATATCTCGGTCCCAGGCCGCATGGTGAGATAAGGAAAGAGGTGTATTAGTTTTTGGCGACAAGAAGTTAACAAAAAAAAAACACACTGATAAAAAATAATTTTATTAAACTAGCTCACGCTACAAAATTAAATGGCTGGTTAAATGTGTGCTTCAGTGGTAGTACTGATTTAAATGTGCCAATTTTGTTTTTATTAGTAATTATAACTTCTTGTCCTGTTTGTCATAGCGTCCTATTGTAAGTTAACAACATTACAAAGACTTACCAGACCCAACAGGGAGGAATATTCCCGTGCGTCGAAGGATTGCCTTCGAAAGCGCTTTGTTTATACCACGGTCACCCTTTCGTGATTTCCCTTCCTTGGCATGCCTCGATAATTCGGATGGAACACGGCACCGTTGCGAGCCTCTTCGCCATCCAAAGGCCAAAGAGGAGCGATGGGCTGGGCAGATAGTCATGTCCGAAATATTGGAAGGCAACGTGAATATCGATGCCCGTGCTAAAATGAGATCGACTTCTGATTCAACATCATTCACGCCCACAGCCTGTTTGTGTACTGAGATGTCTTTCTCACATAAGCGCAGAGGGACTATAAGAGAAGCTTTTCCTGCAACTCGACTTCGCTTATCTTGGGAGCAGCATCCCCCAACTGATCTTTGAAAGGAGCAATTGATTTCCATTTGGTACGCTCACCTCTTAAAAAAATCGGCGGCCAAACGAAAACACCATTTTAGTTTGCTTTGGAAAATTTATGGCGCGACGCTCATTATATGGTTAGAAACTGTGCCTAATCTAATTTATTTTTTTAGCGCTGAGTATTTTAGAAAGCTACTCCCAATTTAATTTTTCCACTCCCGCACCTGTCTACCCTGCAAGCCGTCACAATTTACAAAATAGGATATCACATTTTTTTAACGTCGCTAAAAATTAATGCAGTGAAATTTATGCTGTAGTAACATATACCTAATTCATTTAGCAGTCTAGGGTGACGCATGAGTGGTATCGCGCTTAAAAAATGCAAACAACGGTAATTTTAAATTCTGGATTTAAAACTTTTTCCCGGAAATAAAAAATAGGGGATAAGAAGGAAAGAAAATAAGAGCGTATTGGTAACCGAGCCTCCTTTCGAGTGACATGTTATTGCGTGACACCATCGCAAAAAAAACAAACGTCAATGATTCATTTCATCTGTCAGGATGCTCTGGCTCGTTCTATAAAAAACAAACTTCCATTCTTATTGTGAAAGGAAGACTTGTAAAATGTGAGTGTTCCAAGCTGAAATATGGTTGTAACTGTCCAGCAATGCGACGTTTCCGGCAGGAACCTTCGTGAGATGTATTCACTGTGATTTGGTATACACCGCCTGTAGTGCTGTACTCTCGAAGCTGTTGTCAAGTCTCTTTATAACAAGATTGAGGCAAGGAACCAATCTTAGAAAGGCGTTTTTCGCCAGGTGAGCTTAAGAAATCCAGTTTACAATCTAGTATAGGTCAAAGCGATAAGATTTTGTTGGAATTATGGCTTCGATAATAAAAAGCCTAATTGGATTATCTGCGCTTGTTTACATGGCGGCATTGCGATTTGCACAAAATAGACCGGGCTACTTCTTCGCAGTAATTAAGAGCCCCAAATTAATTTTTATATCCATGGAAAGAACATTCTTTCCACTTTATAAAAATGCTCATCTCAAGTGATTCCGAGTCATACCAGCTAGGAAAAATTTTTTATTGAAAAACTGCTCCAAAATGTAATTTTTAATCAATCAAATTTTGGCTATTTTCAAATATTCGCCAATAATTCATAGTTATGTCAACAAGCCCGTTATAAGATTCAAATCATTTTTTAATACCTCGTATATTAAAATTCAGGAAGACTTGCTTTTTTTTTGCGCTTTTGAGGAATAAAGGTTTTGTTTCCCTACTCGTCGACTTCATTTCGGCCATTTTATGGCGGTTGGGGCTCGATACAGTGTTTGATGATTTTCTAGCTCTGAACAAAAAAATTAAACCACGTTTATAGACTTACCCTAAGGTATCTCTGAGCGAAATATAAGGATAGTGATTTTTCCGATTATGTGCCACCTCCCACGTGGTGATAAAAAAAATTCGCTCATAATTCGTAGGATAAGTATATGAATTTAAGGAAGAAACAATACAAGTAAAACAAATAATCAATGCACGGCAGAGAAAATTGTATTAAAAAAATTTCAAGACTTTCAAAATATTTTAATCCAGCGAAAAACAAATGAATATGAAAAGTTTGTAAACTGACCTTTGCTCAGAGATCTTGAGCAGCCACATCTCCTGTCGAAATCCCAACATAGCATTAGCAGACGAACACCCAACATCAAAAGAAAAACAGTAGAAATGAAATAGGCAATAATACCCAGCACTCTAAAACCGTGAGTTTCCTCAGGTAATCGGCCTGATTGCTTGTTCTGAGCATCATCAGTTGCCTCGTTACGTTGGCCAGTATCCTTTGTCATGAGACGTCTGTTTCCTTCTACGGCTCCATGTTGTTCCTAGATCGGCAGCTGGTGCATGTATGCTTCATTTTTTCTTTTCGAACTAGTTATACCAGTTTCGAAGCTAGTACATCCGTCAATTATTCTAAATCATGGTTTCGATCATGTTTTGTTTTTGAATTTTTTTTGATTTCCAAAATCTTTCAAAACTGCATCGAGACCACAACTTGATTTAATTGATTTTCATTAAATTGAAATTTTCCAATTCACCTACCCGAAAGCAAACGCACAGTGTTTTCAAGTTAACTCATGAAACTGACGGAAGTGTGCAACTGTGACATATATATTGAGAGATAGATAGAAACAGCTGTCATGGAAATTTATATTTGCATAACTGATTTTTGAGGTCAAATGCTAAACAAAACCTTCTCTTTGTGTTCATGAATGCATTATTCCATCGCTTTCTTCTAGAACATTTACATCTCTACTCACGTCACAAAAAATGTGCATTTCATCGATCGAATATTCAAACTATGTCTCCGGTTGATTAAACGGAATGAAATTTGATCCAACGTTGGCAAAGAGGTTACCAAAAGGATGAATTTTTGGTTGACGCTTCTAACTCTGGCAAACGGTGAGTCGGGTACATTCGCACTAAAGATTGAAATGAGCACTGATGACGAATTTCGACTGGATATCTTTCGAATGTTTTTTTACAAGGTGTATTTGAAACATGCTCAGGCCGATCTCTGACGTTTTTAAATATAAAATGTTTGAAAAATGAAAATCATTCTCCCCATACAGCACATGCTACAGATTACCCGTGGCCTGTAACATTCGAAACAGCCATCTTATTGACCGCTGATTTAAGGTGCTACGCTGAGATGTCGAATGATAGGAAATGAACCAGAACAAGCTTATAGCTTACAACTGCATGGCATGTGAAGATCGAAACTCACAAGAATTGTATCGTTGCTTTCGGTAACTGAGTAGAGCCATGTATTCTGTTGTCCTCTTTAAAGCCGCAATACCCATGTCAGTGTCACATGCTCATTTACCACTGCAGCATTTTGTCAGGCACAGAGGCGCGTTTAATGAATTCACCGTAGGTTATATGACACATCATTTAACCAACTTGAATAAATCTTGACGCGGTTGTTTCTCACATATGTATGTGTGTCTTTAAAGGAGCAGCTTGAGTAGGTAGTAATTATTTTAGCTATAAAAATGTTCTCTATTCTGATTATTTCGAATACGCTTGGAGTTAATCACCGACAAAGGCACTGAGAAGGATATTTGTTGTCTGAAGTTTTTTGCACTTATAATAACCTGTAGAAGTAAGCAATTCCTATCGGTTTCTAACACGTAGGAAGACTTCCAATCCTAAGCTATCTGAGACCCATAAGAGCTAGTGTTGACCCTAGACTCTCTCACGTTCCGTTCATTTGTAAACACCACAAAGGAGAGTTACAGGAGAGTTAAACCATACTTTTAATAGATTGATATGCGAGCGCGGTGGGATTTAAATGCACGACTTGGTGAGTGAGGCCATTAATTTTGTGTCTTATGTTAACGTGGCTGAAAGCTGTTTCGCGATTTTACACTCAAGTGATCTTCTCAGTTGGTTTCGAAAGTCATGATCATTAAGGCAACAGAGAGCTGGCGGCTAAAACTTTCCTAAACACATTTCTTATGTATATTCTCTTTTGAAAGAGATATTTATCAAGACGACAAAGTACACCTATTTGAGATATTTTGGCTGCTATTGGACCATAGAGTTTGTTACCGGTCAGCCTCTATGACACAGTAAATAGACTTGGTCCACTGTCAGACAGAGCCAGTTTCGTATCCAGTGGCGCCAAGTCGGCCGACTTGCCTTTGGTTTTAATAACGTTTCCTTCAGACGATCTTTTCATGAAAGTGATTTGCGACATCAGCTCTAAACTTGCACCGTTAACTCCTTGTTTGTTTCCCCATTAATCACTGTAATTTGTATCTTTATTAAGCGGTAACCTCTATAAAGCGGTCACAGTATTACATATATATATATATTTTATATTTATATTATTATTTTCATTGTTTTCCATCTGTATCAAACGGTCACTGACAGCGACGCCACTCGAATATAACTAATAATAATCTTCCAAGTACTTTTGAATCCATGTTTCTCTCCTTAAATCAAAGTGAGTAGCATTTTTGAGCGAGATTTCCTGGACTAAGTGGTCAGTTATAAAGTAAAGTGGTGCATTTAATTTTCTATGTGATTGACCGCCTAATACAGGTTCGACTGTATGCCTCAACAGTCCAGAAGAAAATAATTTCTCCCTGAGCCAAATTGTCTCTGAGTTGTTAGAGTTTAATCTTGATTTCCTAAAATGAACAGTTACGTTTTGCAATAGTTCCCGATATCTTTTGGTTGATATACTAAGGGCGTTGACATTGAAATGTCAAGGATGACTAGTCTACAATTTCCGGCCCTTGACGATAAGAAAAGCTCAAACAGTGACAATGCAGGATGTCAATTACGAGACTCAATGATTTCTGAATGCGGGTTTTTTAGTAAAAGTACGAGGAGTTTATTTGAATTCTGGATAGAAACAAGTTATTTCCTTTTATAAATTATAAAACGACTGCATATTAGGGCACAGGGCAAAATAAAAATCTTAGCAAGAGATATGTACAATCGCTTGAGTTCACTCAAGCTCCCAGCTCGTTTTTCGGTATCTCAGGAACGATCAGGGTTTCTGACCGCCGAGACTTAAAATTCGAACGAGTCTTCAGATGACAAACTTAGTTGGCGAACGAATAAAGGGGGTAAGTTTCTTAAGAGACTGTGATGCTGTGTCGGTGGGAGAGTATAACAGGTAGTTTAGTGTTAACAACTGAGTTGAAAACGTAAATTGACCACTGTAAAGAGTTTAAAGGCTGACGTTTCGAGCGTTCGCTCTAATCAATCGCTCTGACGAAGGGCTAATGCTAGAAACGTCAGCCTTCAAAATCTTAGTGTTAACACTAGAATTGGCTGGCAAACGTTAGCTTGTACACATAAGCCGATATCTGAAGTAATAAACTTACAGAACACTTGGTCAGGTTAGATGTAAAAGCCACTTATTTCCTCTTTCATTACTGGAGCACTAGACATAATTCTGTGCAACTAAAGTGTTATGTTAAGCAGCCTTAAAATTTTTTTAAATAAGTCGATAGGGTAGAAGAAAACGATGCATATCATTGTCATTGTTTTAAAGAGTAACCTTAATTTTTTTTCCACTTTTTAAAAATAATACAAGAAATAATAATAATAATAATGATGATAATAATGATAATAATGATAATAATAAAAAGGAGGTATTTGATGCGTAAACGCGTCTAACATGCGAAGGTCAGGAATAATACTGCCCTTGGGAATAGTGCGGAACAATTTATGCATGAACACGTTTTCAAACTGCTAAATAATTTTTTCCTTGTAGTTAGCAATCCAGCGAAACCTTTTCTATCATAGCAATTCTAGTTCTAGGCGATATAGCCTCGCTAAAGTAATTCTAAAGATTCATTCTGTTTGAATAGGTAACAGAAAAACTACACCAACTAAAGATATATTTACGAGCTCTGAGTTCTAAGTTAATCCTTATCACAAATCCGTCTGCGTAGATTCCTTTCTGTTGATTCTCGTTCTATCGAAATTTCGACATCTTTTTTCCGGTAGTTTGGTTAAATGGGCTTTGTATTTTCCATACAAGGAGTGACACGAAATAATCGTTGAAAATTGAACTGCGGATGCTTATATTATGCTATAAGAATTCGCCTAATAATTTATTCTTTCTTGCTTTCGAAAGTAAAAATCATAATAGCACGTTGCCATATCAGTTATGTTATCTTAAATTGATTGCTTTTAGTCCAATCAGTTTCATCCTCTGCCATCTTCTCTGACGCAAAAAGGAATTTTTCATCAAGTATCTTGAAGAAAGGCTTTTAATTTGGCTCTTTTGAAATAGCCAAGATACGAAAGAGTCACCATGATCGTTACACATTAACTTCCTCTTTAGTCCTTTCGAAAGTCAAGGTCTGTTCCAGGTTGCCATGGCTGTCTCCTTTCTTAAATGGATTGTAATTGGCCCAAAAGTCTCTCTCTCTGCAAATTTCAATATGATAACTTTTTAAAAAAATTTTTTTCACTTTTTTATTTTTTTTATTGAAAGGCTTTAAAGGAGCCCTTGTCCTAGATTTATTGTAGAGGCGCACTAGCTTGGAGTTAAATGATGTGTCCATTGAAAGGTTTTTTCTTTATTTACACGTAAGCCTTTAAAACCGATATGTCTAAACTCCATAGACGACGGGCACAACTTTTATAGACGTGTACCTTTACAAGTAATAGGTATTTCACATGCCACAAACATCGCGCCCATACATTGTAAACAGCACCGAAAGTGATCAAAAAGTACCCGAACTTTAGAGCATCAAGAGTCATGCAGGCCCCTAAGTTTAGTTTATGTTGACCTACCAGCCCAAAAGAGAAAAAAAAGTTATTAAAATTTAACCCTAACAAGTTATTGCAGATCGCACCACCTCATATCCTTATATAGTGTAAACAAATGGTTTTTCAGATATTTTAAAATACAATATTTCCTGTTTTAGATTGCGTGATTTGTAATTTGAACGGCCTTTGTTAGCCCGGTTTGGGTTTAGACAATGTGTCCTATTGAGGAGCACAAGAAACTTTACAAAGGTGCGGCCTATCGGGATTAAAGGAGAATCAAGATTATCATGTATAATAACCCCTACGTTTAAGAATCTTGCAGCTGGATTGAAATCTTACACGAATGCGACCAAGAGCTTTTAAGAAAATAAATTTCAAATCCTTCATCTGCTATCTTAAATCTCGCACCAAAACGATCTTTAAATGTAGTGCGCTGAGATCGAAACATAAACTGCCGACGTGGCTGAAAAAATGCAAGTAAGATAAAAAAAAAAGAAAAAGAAACAGGGAGCTTGCGTAGCAAGTTCTTGTAATTGAAAATGACCTTGTCAATCATGTTATCAAAAGCACTTGGCGGAACAATGGACTGCTCAAGGTGACTTCGTGCATGCTTTGTGCAAAAGAGGCAGTTCTATGGCCACATCGACCGCTCATCGACAAGATTGATCGTTCATTTGCTTGTCTAGCCGTGACTGTCATCATATTGCTTTGTGTGATTTATATTGGTCTGTTTAAAATCTTACGTCATCTGCGCTGAAACGGAAGCACTAAAATTCTTTATTTGGTTAACTGGGGTGACAGTGTTCTGTATGTCACATTGGGTGTGAGATGAACTAACCGGAACATGCGATGATGTGCTCAGGCAAGACCGTTCTCTTTTTCATTTTGTACGTCGCAACAAACAGTGAGTTTCCAATCTTACTAATTACTAGTCAGGTTATTCGTGACTGGATCACATGGATTACTCTATGAAAGCAGACTCTTCAGCAAACGGTATGCGGTTATCAAAATCCTTAGTCATCAAGACAAACCCTAACATGTCAACATCGCCTGATCCATTAGGAGAACTTTATTTTGCTTCTCGTGCAGTTGGAGTGATATCTGTCATCAGATGAAAGAAAAACAAAGTCATTGTAGATTATGCTTGCTCGCTTTAAGTGAAGCAGAAAACACGCGCGTCTTCGAAATCGCTTGAATTTCTACAAGTCGGCAAATGTTTTTCAAAAATAAGTGGCACTGCAAGACTGAACTGGTTACAAACCAATCTGGAAATAGTATTCTTTCAAATATTTTTGTATTCCCTATAATAAACTATCGTTGAAATTATGGCTACATGTACAAAACATGGTCAGGATAAACCAGCTTAACTGAGCTGATATTTCTTTTTGTGTGACTAATGATGATGATGTATTTGAAAAACTGCAACATTATTACACATGTATAATGCTAAGTCAGCGTAAAACTTACCTTTATAATGTGAAATTTGGATAATTTGTATTGAATTTTAATTTACCACACTGGAATAAATACTTAGTCAGCTTCATCCATCTAAAACTTGGCTAGAGGCCATAACAGGTGGTTGGTTGAACCACAGCATTTGCTCACAGATTGTTTTCCTCGTCTCCCCTTCAAATATTCACTATTTGATTAGACTTGGAGCGAAAATTTCTGTAAACCATTTGAAGTCTCAATCAATCATTGCAATAAAGCATTGTGTCTTCATATTAAAAAAAAAAACGTTAACGACAATGAGTCTGTTGGAAGCTTTGAAGTGAATAATTTGCTGAACGTTTCATGGCAAACTGTGCGCGTGGTCGTGATAGGGCATAATGTTGTTACTTTTCGTTCTGTAGACATTCTTTAACATTTAGATCTCGACATAGATGTCCTCATAATTTTAGATGATGATCTCACGCTTCAAGATCCACTCAATTCAAGTTATTCCTGTTATACATGTCGTTATTGAAATTTTCTCAAGGTGGAGAATGGCATTGACTTGGCATGGATGACTGCTCTATAACTTCCGCTCCGCTTTCTAACACGTTATGTTCCCTTTTGGAACAAAGGGAACAAAGGAACATGTTCAAATTTTTGAGGAGCTTTAGAATTTCACTCGTAAAGCCCACGTGAGATGAGTACTTATCAAACGACCAGTGGTTGAGTCATTGCTTGAGTGGACATGTTGCTTCATAGCGGTTGCGACAATCAGCTCTATTGTTATCTTCTGATATATGAAAAAGCAATGCGGAAAGTTGGTGAGCTCTTTTTGAGGCACATAGCATACCTTTGCTTATAAAAAGAAATATAATTTTTCAGCCATTTTTAAACTGCAACCTTTGAGTTTAAATTTCCATGTTTCATGTTTATGAGATGTGCAAAAAGATTATTTGAAGCTTGATTCCTTACTCCGAGTTTTCGGTTAAGGTTGAATTACTTTCTTCTGGAAATTGTAAAATGAATGTTCGAGTGATTATGCTTGTTTTGCTTTACCGTTAGAGAAGAGCTAAATTTTAAAGAAAACAATGATGGATCGCGATAGTTAGATAAATCTTTGAGAGACAAAAACATACGCTTTGACAACTAATTTTCTGCATCGTTTACGGCCATTCATTGCGGCCTGATTACAAAGAGTAGATGCATTTTTGTAATTACATATAAAGTTATATCCTTTACTCAGAGCTATCTCGAACTTGCAAGTGAGGCCTTCTAAAATTGGGGCTCAACATTCAGATCCCCTTTCACTGTGATCGTATCAAAATCCGATGCAATAAGGACGAATAATCTGAGAAATTACATCAATAAAAAATCAACGCTGAAGGTTACGTGTACCGGGACGCATCTTTCCTGAGCATAAAGTTCTTTTACTTTAATGTCCTCTGTTTTAAACTTCGATGACGCAAATGACTGAAAGTTTATCGAGGTAACTGATTTATTTGAATATTTTCTTTGTAGTTTTGATATCTTGTGCCCTGCTGACTGGCGCTGAACACAGTAAGTAAACAGATCTCGTTCAACAACTGCCTTTGTGCATCTTGAAAACTATAATTTTCAGCTGAATGAAAGCTATATATTTGTTTCTTTTTTGTCGTTGTTTTGTTTTATGTTTTATCTTTTTGAAGGAAACCCTTCATTGCATTAGTTTTGCTGATAGAGCCTGGATGGACTTAAGGAAAGAACTCGTAGTCTAATGCAGCATTCAGTTGGTGATTAAGCTGTAATTTCTTGCAAAGATAAAAGTGTAAACAACCGAATTTTTTATTTTACGTCTCTAGGTTGTGACTTTGACTATGGTTTGTGCAATGGCTGGGCAAACGATTATTACCAGGATGTTTTTAATTGGACCAACCTGCGTGGTTCCACTCCTTCATACGATACAGGACCATCCTCTGGCCATGGAGGATTTGGTAAGCTCGCTAGTCCTGCCCCTCTGTCCTTCAAACCTTCTGCTAATTATAAGTGATAAAATGAACTCTGAATATGATTGCAAGTTTTGGGTAGGAAACAAGTTTTCTAGTTGATTCACACACCTCCATATTCGAGTTATAAAAAAAAATACACAAAAAAAATATATATATATATACCTTAAAGGCCAGTGAAAACAAGGTTCATTTGTGTTGTGACTAAGTAGCATACACATTGCATCGTAAGAGGTTGATGATTCTGAAGTTGGCGGTTTTTTTCCTCCAAAACACTGCATATGACTTAGTACAAATGTGTATGTATGTGTCTGTGAGTGAAAACGGACCTTAACATATCGTTTCCTTCCAGGGGAATACATGTATATAGAGACATCTTCGCCTCGGCGTTTTGGGGACAATGCCATACTTGAGTATTCTGTACCAAGCAACGATGTTGGGAAATCATCCTGTTTATCGTTTTATTATCACATGTACGGAGACACAGTTCATACCCTTAATGTATTCAATGGAGGAACGAAAGTGTTCACGAAATCAGGAGACCAGGGAAATCTATGGTTGAAGGGAAGGATTAGTATAACAACGTTACAGCACAAAGTAAGCTGTCTTTTCACGTAAGATTAATAGTTTAATTAAGGCTCACTTACATGTGTATGGTGTAGAAGGAAACACCCCGTTTATAAGTACGTATAGAGTACTTTTGATCCTGGTTTCATAGCCATTTTATTCCGGTTCAAATAACAATAGGATTTATTCGCGTCACCTACTTTAAGGAAACATTGCGAGGAGACTCACAACCTTTGCCGCTTGGGCCGAAACGCCAACGAGACACACCCTGCAGGTTACGGAAACGCTAAACACAAGAGCGAGGGTGAAAGAAATCCTTGAATTACGTATGTAGTGAACAAATGACAAAATAAGTCAAGCCTTGCCATCAGAACATCACACCATTGCTGGATTCTTAGTTAGTCCAATCCATTTGTGTTTTAGATAAAGTTCGAAGGAATCAGAGGTACAAGCTACACGGGTGACATTGCCATTGATGACGTATCTATCGTCCCTGGAATTTGTAAAGGTACACTTGGAGTACATTAACATTTTATCTTTCAGTCGTTTCTCATTCATTAAGAAAAAGAGAACAAGGGACTCAATTTTTTCGAAAGAATTTATAATAGTCTCTGATTGAACCACAGCATGAATTTCTTGTATCTAGGTCGTGAAAAAACGTTTTTGTCTTTCTAAAGTATATAATTTGAAGGCAGTGCAATGGTTCGAAGATTATGTGTGGTCAGTCAAATTACTTCAACCATAGCATTTAAAAATTATCTAAAAGCCTATCCCTTTGGAATCTACCTAAAGACATTTTCGAAGGTGGAACTTTATAGTACTAGCGATGTTCATTTATTTTTTCAGAATGCAAAGAGGCGTTGAACCAATCTTTTGGAAGACTGGACATAAGATATACAAATAAATTTGACCCTGACTGTAACTGGTTGATCGGAAACGGTGGTATGGCTAAAAAATTTGCTGTTGTTTCGATCCATCAAGTGTACTTTGGCCACAACAGGTAGGTTCGGCGCTTATGTTATTTCTTTCAAGTTTCTATTTAAAATTCGACAATTATGGACATACAGGTCCACACAATGTTGGGTCTCGTTAAGCCTCTAAATAGGACTCTCTATTGCGAATAAGAAACTGCTATATGTGCTTACATTTACGGTCTTTACATTGTCCCTTAGCGAATACGTCAAAGTGTTTGATGGAAATGGGACAGAGGTTGTGTCCATAGACAGATGGAATTCGTCTTCGACACGTTTTCAAGAAATTTCATTTGGATCTTCCGAAAATGTTACGATTCAAGCTTCACTTATCTATAGTTGGAGTTACATCAAAATTGACTATGGTATTATGAATCAAGGTTTGGAATCAGGTGAGTAAAAGCGATATAAAAGTAATTCATAAATCGGATCAATATCAGTATCTGAGCAACTGCCCACCTACCCCTCCCCTAACCCAACAACAGTTAATGTTGGGTTAGGGGAGGGGTAGGTGGGCAGTTGCCCAGCTACTGATATTGATCCCATATATCTAATTTTATCGACTCAACTGCGATTGCAATTTCACGATTATGTTTGTCTTTTAAGGTTAAAATATAGGAGATATATGACAAAATAATCACATTTTTCCTCTGATGTCAACTACGATCATAAGATGTTCTATAAATTATTTCACATCAGCAATAGCACTTTTGTTAATTTTTCTTTCAAATATTCATTTTCCTGAGGAAGCAGGCCTGGCAAACTATTTTAGGACTGAGTGGAGAGGGTGGTAACAAATCCCGATAGATAAATAGTGATTGATAGTTTAATTAATTAACGACTGTAATGTTATGTAGCTCGACCCCTCGCTAACTGGAACCTTACTGTGGCGAACAAAACAACTAAAAGTATACGAATATACTGGAATAACCCAGTTAATGAGCTCAGCTCTGGAGTAAGTTTCTACGTGGCCATTGCTGAAAGAATGACGAACGCTAGCAGCGTATCCAACGGAAAATTACTACCTGGAAACACAACATCATCTGAGATAACAAACCTTGAAAGTTACACGGAATACAGCATTTACGTTATTTTCGTGGATAACAAAGGATCACCATTTAAAAGTGCAGTTCTTGCAACCAAGACTGACGAAGGAAGTAAGTTGGTTGTATTCTTATGGGTAATAACACGATATCGAGTGCAATTTGATGTGAATAAGACCGAGTAAAATTTCCAAAGACAATAAAATTGCACGAGCCCGAAAAAAAGGGTCACAGAGAGTCAAGAGAGACGCTATCTGTAATTTGAAGTCGTGTTACAACTTTGCACTCGTGTTACATGAAAATTGCACTCGTTTTCCGTCAATCAGACGCAAGTAATTTTTTTCATGTATGTTGTTACACGCATCATAGAGAAGGAGACGCAAGGACCCACCCAACGTATCGACTAGTGTAGAGAAGCCGTCTTTGTATGTACGCTATCTTACTGAGTATAAAAATGGCTTGTAATCAATCAAATTTTATGAATAGGCATGAAAAAGCTCAGAGCCCCCGATACCACCCTCAGTTATCATTTCATCGACGTGTAAACTTGACATTGTAGTATGAAATGGTCCGCCTACGAACCTGCTAAAGGGGGTAGAGATTCAATCAATATCAATATCACTATTAAAATTTACCCCTGAAAAGCGCTGACCTCTTCACAAAATTGTCTTAAGTCACTATCTAAGTAAAGGAGCACTTGCCCTTGACGGTTGAGGCATATCTCGAACACGAACTGATGCATCCTAACATGAGCAATCACGTAAAACTCAATACTGTGTTTTATTCTTTAATACAGTCCCGAGCAGAGCGCCAAGTGGTATACGAGTGACAAGTGTGGAGTATACAACTAACCTTTTAGTGGAATGGAACCCTCTATCTCAGATCTATGCAAATGGGAAGATTTTGGGTTACATTATTTACTATAGAGAAAGCGACAATTGGTGGTCACCATATAAAACTGTCAATACAAGTAGTCCTTATCCAACGCAGTTCGTGTTGAAAGGACTAAAGCCAGCTGAGAGATATCGTGTTGCAGTGGCGGCTTTTACATCTAAGGGACGAGGACCGATGTCATACTCTTACTACGGGACAACGGGTGAAATAATTCATTTCAGTTACAAAGAGGCACAATATATATTTTTTGCAATTTCCTCGATGAAGGGTCTTGTCTTATTGAAATCACGATCGAAAAGGGCCTCAGCATTTAAGTTTGTATCCCTGTACAAAATATGGACAAATTACTGCTAAGAGTGAAACATTGTTTATTGGTGTCGATTATTTTATGCTGACAGAATTGCTTAGACTCCGAAATAAATCACCTTCGTATCAAAAACAAAACAAGATGAAGCTATTTTAATACCGTCGATATTACCTGCAATATGCCTGACAAAAGAGGATTTTATGTTTATGACGATTAACGACTTTCTAAGCTTCTTCTAGCTTCAGACTCATAATTTTACCATACCAACGCAAAAATACTTGAAAGATCAAAAGGGGAAAAATATATGTATTCGAAAATGATTCATGATGTAAGCAGGATTAATCTTGTCTCTTCCATGTTAGGTTGTTCTCAAAATTTAAGAGAAGCCTATGGGGAAATATCCTATTCGCCAAACAACTACTATTATCTTCGTTGTTATCTAAGCATCATGAGAGGTGGTATACCTGACGCTGTAGCTGTTATATCTGTGCAAGAAATAAATCTTGAATACTGCAGGTACAAAAAATCGGTTTTTAAGCATTTTCAGGAATAGCTGATACGTCTCGTAACATGTACCTTTTCATTTTGAAACCATTATTGAGGTAGTTTTCTTTTATTCTGACCATTGAGTTACTTGATATATTTATTTTTCATTTCGATCTACTTCCCACCAATCTTTTGCTCTTATTTCTGCAATTTCCAAAATTTTACTTACAAGTTACTCATATTGAGCAACCATTTTGTTGTCTAATAAACTGCTGACAAATAGCTAACGTTAGAATCTGGTCATGTCCACATTCCGAAAAAAAAAACAGATGATTAGTCAGTTTAAATTTTCTCTTAAATTTAAGATGAAATTTACGAGAAATGTACGGTTTTTCCCTCAGCTTATTTACTAACCTTTTGAATGAACTCTTTCGAATCTTTTAGCGAATACACAAAGATTACAGATGGAAACGGCACTGAGGTTTTATATTATAATGGCTGCAATGAAAAATTTGCTCCAGAAATCCTCTTTGATGTGCATTTTGGTTTGTCCAATAACATTTCAATTCAAGTATACACATATGGTTCAAGCAGTAGTATCAAAATAGAGTACGCCATTTTAAGGCAGAGCCTGTCCTCGGGTAAGTTAACTTCAGCAGCCACACAATTTTTTAGCGTTCTTATCCATTTTTTTTTATTTCTTTTCCAATTTTTTCACTTCCGTTCCTAAAACTTTAGTTTCCCACTGTTTTGAATTCTGTTACACGCCTTCCAGTTGCTGAATATCCAGCGAGAATCCTATACTCTGGTGGCTGCTTTTGTTAAATCTCTCTAGGGATTTAGTCACAAATTAATACATGTGCTTCCTTATCTTAATAATGCAAGTTATCAATATCCTTACTTTTACCATGAACACCACTGTTACTATTACTACTACAACTGCTACTTCTATGACCACCACCACCACCACCACTACTACTACTACTACTACTACTACTACTACTACTACTACTACTACTACTACTACTACTACTACTACTACTACTACTACTACTACTACTACTACTACTACTACTACTACCACTACCACCACTACTACTACTACTACCACAACTACCACTACTACTACTACTACTACTACTACTACTACCACTACTACTACTACTACTACTACTACTACTACTACTACTACTACTACTACTACTACCACCACCACCACCACCACCACTACCACTACTACTACCACTACCACCACTACTACCACTACTACTACCACTACCACCACTACTACTACTACCACCACCACTACTACCGCCACCACCACTACCACCACCACTATTACCACCACCACTACCACCACCACCACCACCTACTTCTTCACCACCACTTCCACTACTACCTACTACACCACCACCACCACCACCACCACTACTACCACCACCACTACCACCACCACCACTACTACCACTACCACCACCACTACCACCACCACTACCACTACTACTACTACTACTACTACTACCACCACTACTACTACTACTACTACTACTACTACTACTACTACTACTACTACTACTACTACTACTACTACTACTACTACTACTACTACTACCACTACTACTACTACTACTACTACTACTACTACTACTACTACTACTACTACTACTACTACTACTACTACTACTACTACTTCTACCACTACTACTACTACTACTACTACTACTACTACTACTACTACTACTACTACTACTACTACTACTACTACCATCACTACTACTACTACTACTACTACTACTACTACTACTACTACTACTACTACTACTACTACTACTACTACTACTATTCCTAGTAGGAACAGATGAATTTTCCAAGGTCGAACAATATCAGAAGAAAACAATGTAGATGCAGCAGAATGATGATAGTTAATATTGATAAACTTTTCTTTCGTAGCCGTTATCGTCTCCGGATGGAATTTATCTATATCAAACTCTGATTCCTTTGGTGCCACACTTCAATGGACAAGCCTCGATGCAGAAGTAAACCATCAAGCAAATTTCTACATAATTGAGGTTAAAAGCATGGATGGCCTTCCATTAGACGTCCATACTGTTCCAGGAAATACCACAACGTCAGTCATTAAGCGACTCAAACCTTCTACAAAGTATCGTGTGGTTGTTTTCGGAGTAGATAAAAATGGGACACCCTATAAGAGTTTACAAAGCATTCTTACTACTTCAAAGGGTATGCTAAATTTTTTTTCATAATACGCAAGGAGCTAAGTGCTAAACTTATAACTTTAAGTCTTAGTGAGGTAGGCTTCCTGTCCAAGTACAAAGCAGGAAATTTTCCCTTGATCAACCATTTCAAGTCCTCACTGCCGCTTAAAAAAGTTCAAAAAATGTTAGAACGACCATAATGAACTATGATGTCTTCCCCTAGTGATCTGCGGAACTCGACCCAGTTCGATGCGCATCGTCGGTGGCACAGTTGCTATTATAAACAGCTGGCCGTGGCAGGCGATGCTGTTACAGTATGGAAGCCAATTCTGTGGAGGTTCATTAGTGGATCCATACTGGGTAATCACAGCAGCTCACTGCGTTCAATGGAAATCGCCAAGTAACGTCAAAGTAAGGTAAATGGGAGAAATTAACATTCTGTTAACTAGAGCAAAAACGACTAGCATCTGTAAGTCATCAGTGAGAAACATTATTAGGAATATGATATTGAACTATCGTAATAAGGCTTAAGATAGTCTCAGACCACGATCAATGAGCAAGTCTAATTATTCGTTTCATGCATGTAGGCTGGGGGCCCATTACAGGACAAGTGGAAGTGTTGGGACAGAACAAGATATAAGCGTCTCAAACATTATAGTCCACGAGAACTACGGAAGTCCAAAAACGTATAGTAACGACATAGCTCTTTTAAATCTCGAAAACCCTGCTGCACTTGGAGTGGGAGTCGGACTTGTCTGCTTGCCGGATATTGGAAATATCCTTCCCGTTGACCTAAATAAAACATGCTGGATAACAGGTTGGGGAAATCTGTACTCAGGAGGATACCAACCGAATACCCTAATGCAAGCGTCTGTGCCGCTGGTGTCCAAACAACGTTGTTCGAATGTTTATCCCGGAAAAATCGACGACTCGATGCTCTGTGCTGGTTTGGATCAAGGTGGAATTGACACCTGTCAGGGCGATAGTGGTGGACCGCTGGTATGCGAGTTCAACGGCACCTGGTATCTTGAGGGTATCACCAGCTGGGGATACAGATGTGCTCAAGCTTATAAGTATGGCGTCTACGGCAAAGTGCGGGCCCTGGATTCTTGGGTACGTGCCAATATCTATAAGGTGGCTCCACCAAGTACAATACAGCCGCACAATCAGTCTTCGGTTTCTTTAGGTAAGAACTGCCTCTTTCTACTCTAAAACATTAATTTTTAAAGAAAAATACACAATTTCAAATGTTCAAGCCATTGAATTTTGAATTTTAAGAAAATGAGGACTTCACATCATTTGTAAAAGGCGATGGTAATCCTAACAATGAATGACCTTTATCTACCATGCTGTACTTATTAACTACAGCAATGTTACAACCTTACAAGTTTCTAAATATAACCAATCAGTATCTTTAAACCTTTAAAGGAAAGGGAAAATTGAGAAAAAAACATAAAACAATGATCATCATTTTCTCCAATTGCGTTAGTTTGGTGCAGTTTTGACAATGGTTTGTGTTCTGGATGGAGCCAATCCTCTTTCGATGACTTTGATTGGACGTTGGGGTCAGGGCCGACGCCATCCTCTTCAACAGGTCCCAGTTCTGGTCAAGGAGGATCAGGTTAGGCGTGAACTTGAAGAAACAAATGAAAGAAATGTAGCACTAATGATATAGATAATTTTTTTTCCTTTAAGATTGCAAAAACTTCTTTGAAATTAATTTGTCTAAATTAATGTCTAAACTGATATGTTTCAAAAACCCATTAAAGAACCGTGATTTACATTTACCAATGAAGTCGCTAGAGAGAATCAAGCAAAATATCAAGGGCTCTTTTGAGAATGTTTGATAAGACTCGAATAGTTATTTTCGTGATGGTATTTTTTTATTATATGTATTTTTTGATTGTTTGACAAACAGATATTGCATTACTCCTTATCCCTTTTTATATTCAAAATATTTTTATATGTTTATGTTGCTGCTTTAGGAAATTATATTTACATTGAGACGTCCTCGCCGAGGAAACCCGGAGAAAAGGCAAAGATCGTGGTCACAGCCCCCAAAAAAGGGAAAAAAGCGTGTCTTTCATTCTACTATCATATGTATGGAGCTTCCGCGGGAAGTCTTAATGTTTACAACGGAAATGACACAGTCTTTAATGTATCAGGAAGTCAGGGAAACAGATGGATGATGGTGGAAAAAAGTATACACCTTAATAGCGAGGCAAGTAATGTCTGGTTTCCCAATAACCGTTCCTCTTCATCCTTAAGAATGAAGATATCAATATCAAGTATAAACAACGTGTTATCACATATCATAGCTTCTTAAAGGGTCGAAAACCTACCAGCCATAAAAGAGATATGGTATCCGCTGCGGGATCCGATGCTTACAGTCAGTGGAAAATTACTTGAAAAGCGATAAAATGCCGTTCGATGACAAAAAATTCCAAGTTATATCTTCAAAATTTCTAATTATTTTTCCTAGAGGGTAGATGTGACATTGCCTCGGAAGTGGGAAGCGGAAAAGAGAGGATAGATACAAGTGATAGCATATAATATTTTTAATTCAGCTTCCTAATATTTTACATGTATGACTGCAGGTGCTTACAAAAAAAAATCAGGGTATGTTTTGCTTTGTAACGTAATAGTAGTTTATATAAAGTTTTAACTGATCATGATCATAAATATGAACGCTGATTAGTGAATATTTGCTACGCCTTCCTTACAGATTACATTTGAAGGAGTAAGAGGAAGTTCTTACACTGGTGATATCGCCATTGATCAAGTACTGATTACCGAAGGAAACTGTCCAGGTAAATGGAAATTTAATTTTTTCTTTATTTTGTTTTGTTTTTGCTTGGTTGTTTTCCCTTTCTTTGGAATAAATAATCTCAATTTATATGTATTTTGCTAGTCGACATAGAATCATAATACTGTAACATGTAATCCTTGACGACAGACAAGATTAATTTAACCCTATGATAGCTAAACGAAGATGCTTTTGCTCATCACATACTAATACATTCAAGACTAAGGGGCCATGATTTTCCAGTGGTAGGCAACTTACAGATACAAGGATATAACTAAAAATTTAAAGATATAGCTCTTGTCGCAAGAATGATCTTGAATTCCACGGTTGAATATTATACTTTTTCTTTTACACTTTTGTTCTAGTTTCATGTAGCTTTGACAATGGGTTGTGCCTTTGGTGGAGCCAATCCAATTCAGATGTCTTTGACTGGAAGCTTCTTTCTGGTTCCACGCCATCATCTGGCACGGGACCTTCGTCAGACCGGAGTGGGACAGGTTTGCGAAATCAAATTGAGAAATTTAATCATCAAACGGTCAGTCGCAATCGCTATTCTCAAAAAAATACAAATGTCTGTAGCTTCAGCATGATCATAAATTATTTCACGCCTGGTGCACCTCCAAGGATTGATTTCTTCCTAACAAACCATTTTCAAAATATCGTCCCAATAAATGAAATAATTTGATCTTTCTCAGCCATAGACCAGAAATAACAAAAAAAGATGGGTATAATATATATATATATTTTTTAATTATTATTTTACAGGAATGTACATGTATACTGAAGCCACATATCAGTCAAAGGGTGATAATGCAAGGCTCGAACTTTCGGTGCCTAGCGGAAGATCATCATCTTGCCTTACGTTCTACTATAACATGTACGGAATATCAATGGGGACGCTTAATGTCTTCAATGGAAATGACAAAATATTTACTAAGTCTGGAAATCAGGGTTCCTATTGGAAGAAAGTTACCAAAACTTTGCACCTGAGCGACGTTGTAAGTTGACCATTATTTATTTTAGATTACCAAAAGATGCCCCACCCTGTACTTCAAGTCATGTATTTCCGTAATTCGCGTTTACTTCATATAAATCCCACAGCTTTTCTCTTCAGAGGTCGAACACCTTGATAAACTAGGATGATTTGTAATCATCAGCTTTTTATTAGAAATCATCAAGGTTCATGGAAAAAAAACGCAAAAAAGGTATATATACGAATAGATGTATTAATAGGTAAAGAGCGACACCGAACATACTTTTGCAATGGATTCCTATCAGTCTAATGTCTTTTTAAACTAAAAACGCGAACTACTTACTTGAGTTGGCCTTAATTTAAATTTTTTTTCCTTTTCAATATTTTTGTGGCTGCCTCTTTAGTTGACATTTGAAGGAATAATAGGGACGTCGTTCACAAGTGATATTGCTATTGATGATATCGCAATAAGCGATGGAAATTGTCCAGGTATGGTTTGCGTAGAAGACAAAATTGTGTCGAGTCTGCTCTAACTCCCCATTTATGCTTTCAGAAACCAAATGAAATATGTAACTAGACGCTGAGAGCGTAGATAAGTATCTGGTAGGTGACAGAGTCACTTATTGAAACCCCCAAAAAAGTCCACGATGAAAGCAAATAGAACTACAGTGGAAAATCTAATCTAGCATCATTGAAAATTGGCATAAGTGTCCAAAGGATAGGATTAACCTTCGAAAAACCAGCCCACCATGGTCATCTTAGGGGATAATACTTGAAGTCAGCTCATATAATGAAAACTGGATTATATTTTCTGTCAATGTGGCCTTCATGGCACGAATGCGAAATTGGCGGATCACCACCATTTTACCAGATGCCATGGCCAGTAAATTTGCAGAACTAAGTTTAGATTAAACGTTAGACAGGGATAACGCATTTCCATACGCTACTGCTTAGGTTGTGGCGGTGTTTTAAATAAATCTTCTGGAGTGGTGCACCTTGCTAACACTGGGAACGAGGACGAGACGCATTGCATTTGGACAATTGGCAACGCCGGTTTAAGACAATCATATGCATGGTTGTCTCTTCAAAGAATATACCTTGGATATTGCAGGTATTGTTATTATCCTTAATAGTGATTTATTGAATTCCTTGCATACGCACTCACATAAATAATTTAAATTAATTAATTAAATCAAAAATATTACATAGCAACTGCTAAAAGTGTGAAATGAATTGAAACCCTTAGAGTCTTTTGGCAATTTATTCCAAGCGAGGATAGTCCTGTTGCACTGCATAAATACAGAACTTCAGAGCTACCCTACAAAGAAATCTACGTAGATAAACTGAGCATTTTTAAATAATTTCCTTCCCCAAGCCCCCTTTTTATTTTGTCACCTTATTGTTAACTTTATAGTGAGTATGTCAAGGTCTTTCACGAAGATGGAACTGAACTATTTACCCGAGAAGGTTGCCAGTCTTCGCTTCCATACGGCACTTCACTGGAAATTCCCTTTGGTGTCTCAAGCCATCTGACAGTTGACATTTCCCTTCAGTACAGATGGAGCGCAGTCAGCATACAGTATATTATCTCAAAACAAGGATATAATTCTGGTATGATTCTATATTCGTTGCAATATGAATGCATTTTTTTGCATATTGGATTGTAATCCAGACAAAAGATATGAATCGAGATCGTAAGGTACTATTTCGAATAGACAGGGAAATTTGAAAGTTTGTTTTATCACATTATTTTAAATTTTAGTTAAATAGATTTTATTCCAGACAAAAGCTATGGATCAATAAATATCCAAGTACCATTTCGAAAAAACTGCGAATTTTGCTCACCAGAAAGCGACTGTTGATGTTCTATGCCAAAAAGCGCGTCATGTGTAACTGCGTAATTAAGATCGAGCTTTGGTAGTGGGACCTCTCTTTTGAGCAAAATGAAAGAACTGAGATCAGTTTCCATATTAACATGGGTGTTTGGAACAAGATTTTATGTCCGCTTTTTTTTTTCTACAATTTATCCATCGATTGGTATATAATTTTTATCAGCCATTTTCTTAATAAAAGTGTATTCTGATTTCACAGCCAAACCAATATTCTCCTGGAATATAACTGTGGACAGTATAACATCATCCTCAGCGACGGTGCGCTGGTCAAATTTTCCGCTGCCGCTCTCAATCAATCACTATTTGGTGAGGTTCAAGGAGGTTTCTGGTTTCGGCACACTATTCCAAGTCAGTAGTCACAGCAACTATTATTACACCAACATTCTCAAGGGATACACATCTTATGATGTTGAAGTTTTAGCTGTGACCACCAGCGACGGAAATGTTACATATTCTAGCAAAACTGTATCAATGAAGACAGCAGAGGGTGGTAAGTGCCTCTATGATATTTGTATTATGTTGAAATCGATAACAAAACCGTCTCTTTTGAAATCGGAGTAGATCTTGACACGAAGCAATCCTAAATTTTCTCTCTAGAATATCTAGTGCGATACGCAATTTCTGACAATATTCCATGACATTGCCAACCCTAAGCGAAAGAAACACTTGGTTCTGATTGCTCTCAAATTTATGACATTATAAGAAACTACCTCAAAATATTGATACAATCTGTCTTTATGGTAGTACATAAGCATAATAGTACTCATCGTTTCTTAGCAAATTTAAACTTTTAAACTACATGAACAATGATGTAGTGAACAAACAGATTCTATGCATTTACTTAGGCAATAGAAATCTTCAAAATGTGGCAAGGAAAAGAACAACCGGACGCGAATGCGTCACAATGTTCTTTAAACAGTTTTACTTCCTCCGCGATTATGAATCTGGCGACTGGCGCATAAAAGCATGGAGGTCTTCTATTAATTTATCACCTAACAGATAATAACCGTTAGCACCAATGAATGATAACTGTTGTGTAAATATGTATTTTGCAGTTCCCAGCCGAGCTCCGTCGAACGTTCGTGCGGCAAGCCATGGATTGAATGAATTATTGATTCGGTGGGATCCACTCCCTCACCAATACGCCAATGGTCGACTCTTGGGTTACAAAGTTTATTATAAAAACACCGACTATTACTACTCGTCAGAGATATCTGTTAATACGAGCAACGCTGACGAAACACAGGCTGTACTAGGTGGTGTACAGACAGGCAGCCGTTACAAGATTTCTGTAGTAGCATTTACTTCGAAAGGGGAAGGACCCCGATCTCCAGATCTCTACTTAACGAAGGGTAAGGACAAACTCAGTGCCGAAAAGCTATTATCAGATTCTCTCTCTCTCAAAAGGTGCGAATTAAGCACTGACAAGAGACGTCGATATTCGACACAAGGCTAAATTGGTTCCTACTTATGGATAAATCACTTTCTCAATTATCTAATACTATTAGAACATTACATCAGAAAATTGCAATCTACTGTGGACTTAGTTCGCCTCAACATATCATTGACTCTGGAATCACAAATATGAACGGAACGCTCTGCTTCTTGAAGCTCTATCAAAGCATTATTGACTGTCAAAATTTGATTTTTCTTTATTTCTTCGTATCACTGTCAGAATATATTATAGATTTTTAGCGCAGAATGTTTTTTTTTTTAATTTAAGGAAAATAGTGTTATGTGATAATCAAATTTCAGACGGGAGGTCCTTAGTTCGTAGTTTCATATTAGCAATTTGAATGTATTTACGAAGGGAATTGACGTATCGTGTTGCACTTTCCTTCACTCCAGATTGCGAAGGCATTGTAAACCAAGTATCTGGTTGGTTATATTTTAGTAATGTGCACTACAGCACTCTCAACTGCAGTGTTCAAGTACAAAACGCTGGAATCCAACATGGATCGGCCCTTATTTCCTTTCCGAGCATATACTTTGGATATTGCAGGTAGCTTGATGGAAGTCAATCCTGATTTTATTTCTCTGCATTTATTTAAAGATAAATGACAGACCACTTTCACTGGCCAATGTAAAACCGAGAAATTGGCCTATTTTTTTAACCGATTAGTTTACCTTCACTAAGCACTGACGTACATTGATCTCGTCGTTTTTACGAGAACTGAAACACAAGTTTTTACTATGAAAACATAACCGAATTAACAATCATTTGCAAAATGATAGGGTTGCCAGACAGTTACACGATTCACGAGTTGTTTCTCGTTTTTTGCTTCAGTCCTTCTGTACTGACTCGGTGTCTATAATTATTTCACCTTTAGCGAGTATATCAAGATTTTTGATGCCAATGGTGTTCAGGTGTTCCATCGTGGGGGATGTGATTCCACAACTAGCGGATTGTCCGTGGAAGTCCCATTTGGTGATGGGCATAGTATTACGCTCGCATTTCTTTTTTCGTACCGGTATAGTTACGCCAGTGTCCAATACGCGATATTATATCAACCCCTAAGCTCAGGTAACAAAAATTTTGAGTTTATTTAAATTTAGAATTCCCTAAAAAATATTGAAAAATTGGAAAATAATAATAAAGATACGAAATCGTCAGAGTGTAAAAATAAAAGGGCATAGAAGGGCTAACTCGTGGAGAATCGAAATAGATTTCCCAGAAAGGATTCAAATAATTTTTATCATTTTCTAATTGTTTTCTCTCGACTTGTAAGACTTATTTATAATCTACAACTATTCCTTGCAGCTCAATTGCTCCCATCTTGGAATATCAGTATCTCTGATACTACAACCTCGTCGATGACAGTGCAATGGTCCAACTTCCCCATGACAAGTCAGTCCATTCAACGACTTTTAGTGAGCTACAGGGAGCACAATTCAAACGTCAGCCTTATTTTTGAGACTCAAAGTTATTACAATACACATTACACTGGTAAGGTTCTTAGGAGTTACCAATACTATGACGTGCAAGTAATTGCTGTGGCGTCAAATTCTAGCAATGGTACATTTTCCAGTAGGAAGGAGATCGCAAGGACAAACGAAGGAGGTAAACTCATTCCATTCTTTCGTGGTTGCTTATCTTCTTTGGATGAAAATAATTTGTACTTACTCCTTGTCATCTTTCTCTTCCTTCTGCCTTTCAGTTCCCAGCAGTGCACCATCAAATGTACGCTTGACAAATCTGCAGTCCCATGAGGTGAAGGTTCAATGGGATCCCATACCTCCCGAGACGGCTAATGGAATATTGCTGGGATATAGAGTGTTCTATCAAGAGTACTGGTATTCAGGTTTGCTTCAAAGCATGGATACCAACAGCCCCAAAGTTCACATGCTGATACTAAGGGGTCTGAAGTCAGCACAGAGATACCAAATATCGGTGGCAGCATTTACGTCCCAAGGAGCAGGATCGCAGTCATACTTGCGATACATTACAACAGGTCAGTTAAAACGCTTCTTTCCGAATAAATCGATATGGTAAACTCGTCTTTTCAAAATATTTCCCATACCTTAAATCGTGAACCTTTTTAACTTGATTCTGACAGGTCCGTTGTGTATTCGCCAATTATGATATCACTTCTTAGCAGACTATCGGCATTTCTAGTGCGTAGAAGTTTTAACATTGCCCATTATCGTATCTTCTTTTGGTAAATTCTTAGGTTGTGGTGGACCATTAAACCAGTCATTTGGACAGGTGCACATTGGCTCAAACAGAAACTACTACTATTTAAGCTGCACCTGGAACATCGTAAATGTGGGCATACAGCGAGCAGTCGCCTTCATTTGGATAAATGACCTATATTTTTCTTATTCATAGTAAGTAAAACAAGATGTGCTGGTGTTCATTTTGAAAATAAGCATCTAATGCCAACTTTATATCTGCACATAAAATAAAACAACTTCAATTCCATGGGCACCAAAATGAGTTTATAATCTCTTAATCGGTACCAAATCAGTTCTGTCAACCATTCTCGTTTAACGCAACCCTACAGTTCGAAGTGGCTGCGTCTCTTGACATTAGCTATTGAATTTCTATGAGTGTCGCTTTGGACAATCTTGAACAGATCGGATTGCTTACGTTGGACGACGTTCTCCATTTTTACACGAGGCGTAGTGCACAGGCGTGCTTTATACATTACGAAGACGGCAACTTGGCATAAAAAGTTTTGCACTTTCTAAAATTGATAAACACCTGCCAGACCGTTATTTATGAGGTTTTACTTCTTCACAAGGAAAGAGAAAAACGAGCGAGCCTCTACGCAGAAAAAAGGAATGGGGAGCGGAAAATTATCAGGGTTTTGTTAAAAAAGGTTACGGGGAGTCTAAGGTAACAGGCATCCCATCAAAGAAAAAGAGTATTTTTTAAGTCGCTTCATATCACAGAAACCAGATATTACGTTAGGCAGTTATGGGACCCTTGGCCTGTAGAGATTAACCTTAATTTAACATGAGTAATTGTTTATGTTCGCAGTGACTATTTAAAGATCCTGGACGGAAATGGCTCTGTAGTTCTACATCAACATAGGTACTCTGGTATTCAGGAGAACATTCACTTAGAAGTTGAATTTGGAAACGCTGAGAACATCACCATCCAAACCTCCCTTTCGAGTTCATACAGTCACTTTCAGCTTAGCTACGGGACTTTGAAAGGAGGCCTCCAGTTAGGTTGGTATTGGGAATATCGATCTTCCACAGAGTCAATTACGTTATTAATTGTAATTGGTTACCCCTCTGTATCACCCGAAACAGGAGGACTTTTCTTTTCTGTTAAAGTAAGCCTCGTTTTCAAATCTTGTTAAACTACAGAATTCAGTACATGTTAAATACCCGAAGCTTTGTTTTACCGAGTTGAATACGTTCACGTAGGTCTTCTCAATTCAGAAACTCGTATCACTGGAAGGTGAAACTTCTAAATAAGCGACAAAATGGCAATCTGAATAAACATGAATTGAAGTTATGACCTTCCGGTTAAAGGAGAAGGTTCCATCACATCCGGATTGGTTTATAAAAACATTATGTTACTGAGGGTGAAGCCATACTTGTGAGAATATTTTTTTTTAGTTTGATAATCACATTCAACATCCAAATGAAACCTTTTTCCTTTGCGGAGAAGTTATCACAGTCCACCCAGAACTTTGCCTTATGCATGCCTTGTTAACCATTGACTTATCGACTTCCAGCTTTGTCGACTGCAAATTGGAACGTTACAGTCGAAAATGTCACTTCTACAAGTGTCAGCGTCTTCTGGATGAATCTGGAATTATTGATTGGTGAACAAGTTTTGCATTACATCACTTTAATAAGAAGTGCTAATGGTAGCAGTGTCTTAAATGCTCTGATCACGAGTGGAAACACCACGTCTGGGAATATTTCCGGGTTATCAGCGTACACGGAGTATCAAATAACCATTGTTGGCGTTGGAAGTGACGGGCAAGCGCACAACAGTTCAAATTCAACATTTTGGACAGAAGAAGGAGGTAAAATTCACCTAACTTGTCAGCTCCGTAAATTTATCGTTTCATTTTCCATTTTCCAGTTTCCAGTTTGCGTTGTCTAGTTTTCAGTTTTTAGCTTTCAGTTTCCAGCTCGTTGTGGTAACGAGAGCAACCCTGATTCATATTTCGAATGACTCACAACTGAAAAAGTTGCATTCAATTATATTTTAAGGACATTTCTAACCCGTTGATATAAATATTGTATCATTAGACATTTCGGATGCTGCACTACCGAATGTACAATATATGTTACAATTATTCGTTCCATCGGACTCTTCATAGCCGATTGGCAAGTGACATTTTTCTCTTTCCACACCATGGAAATAACGTGAATTAATTTTCCTTTTTCAGTTCCCAGCAGAGCCCCGTCCAGTGTTCGACTGTCGAACCTACAGCAAAATGAGATACAAGTACAATGGGATCCACTTGCACAGCATTATGTAAATGGACGACTACAGGGATATAGAGTGCGTGTTTATGAGTATGAATATTACTATTATGGATTGCTTGTACAAACTTTGGAGACCATTGGCCCCAATGTTCACATGATGAAAGTAGGAGGTCTGAAAAATGCACAGCAGTACAGAATAAGCGTGACAGCTTTTACTTCGAAGGGGGAGGGCCCACAATCTTACTGGCGATACATCACAACAGGTATTTTCTAAAATAGCAATCTCAAAATACACAAAATTAGGTCATGAGGAATTTTGGAGATTCTCTTTGATATAGACATTGCAGTTAAAAGAAGCTGCCGAAGATTTTGAAGATTTTATTCAAAAATCGATAACTCACATACATTACTGTTTTCAACTATTATTACAATATGAGTTTTCAAACCTATCTACAACAAAACAAACGTCGTTTTTATTGATGATGGTGATAGTTATACTTGAAAAGTCTTTGATCGAAGTACTGTTAACTACTTCGGCGAATTAACTTGTTTGCATCAGCGTTAGGTGGCTTACTTATAACTTTTTGCACATTGTCATCTGCTTTTAATCCACTACTATAAAATAAGTAGTTGATGTGATGGTGTCAAATGCTTTTCTAGGTTGAACGCAGCCTAGAAACCAGGAAGAACATAAGACAAAGAAATAAAGTGTAGTTATACAAAAATAATTCTTTTCATTTCCGGAGATGTTTTCTTATGTCTTGCCGTCTTCTCTTCCCCAGGATGCGGAGGAAGCGTAAATCGGTCATTCGGCGTGATACAAGTTGGACGAAGGGGTTACTATTCAAGTTCTCTTAGATGTAACTGGGCGATTGGAAACTCAGGAATCAACCAAGCCGCCCTGATTGTATCTTTTGAAGATCTGTATGTTTCAAGCTACTAGTAAGTGATGCAGATTATTAGCCCTGAGACACTCTACCATGCTGTGCAACCTCTTAACCATTTATACTCTATAGTTGATTAGATAAATGTAGAAAAATACTTGTAAATCTTCCTTGAAAAAAAGGGAAATCGTTGGAAATTGCCAAATTAAAATCTGATGATTAATCAAAAAATTTTAAATTTTAACCATTTAAAAAAGATTAGTTTCTTTCAACCCGAGTTACCTTTCCTACGAAATACTTTACAGACCCTGTAAGATACGGTGATGGGGAAGGTGGTTCGTGTCATTTTTGTTGTTGTTATTGGGTGAGACAAATGAACCTGGTAAGGGACTATTTCACTATGGGGCTGCTATAGCTGTAACATCAAAGCATTCTCACGATCAGACAAAAACATATATATTTTTTTAGTTTCAACCAAGTTTGACAACCTTTTAAATCGAAATTTCAGCCTCACGTTTACGTAGCTCGTGGATTTAGGGAATATTCCTTGAGCTTCTTCCCTTTTTTAAACGGGTTTAAGTACTGGCCGACGCACGTACCCTAGTCTCATCAGTGTCATGTGTCTATGGAAAACGTTTTTCTTTACTTTGACAGTGAGTATGTAAAGATCATTGATGGAAATGAGCGAACAGTATTTTATCACAATGGATATTCGTCTTCTCCTTTGAAAACTTTCTTACTCGTTAATTATGGGAGTGGAAATAATGTCAAGGTGCAGATCTACTTTTACAATTACTGGAGTCAGTTCAAGCTTAAATACGGAATCGTAAATCAGGACCTTCAGTCAGGTGTGTTGTTATTTCTGCACTAGATACCTTGAACGACGAGAATTTCCAGCTCGAATCACTTCATTTTTTATTTGCATTTACTTGTTTACCTTTAGGGTGTAATACATTAATTCCAAGTGACTTCTTATGTAATTGTTATTTCCGATTCCGATGAATTTCACCTATTTCCAGTATAAACGTGTGCTTTGTAGTTGTACTCAGAACAATACTCCACAATAACTATAATGGATTTCTTTGATTTCTTAGCTGTATTTGTCTCCAACTGGAATGTAACCATTGGAAACACCACAGAGAAAAGCATCGGGATCCAGTGGGAAAATTTGAACGAAGTGCTAAATCAGCAAATTCTTCACCTCTTCGGTCTTCTGCAGACCTCCAATGGAACCGTTTTGAACGCCAAGATCATGTCTGGAAATATGACTTCGGTTGTATTCGATGGACTTTCATCTTATCGACAATATTCTGTGGCTATTATTGGCGTTGACAATAACGGACAAGCCTATAAGAGTGCTAATATGACAGCCTGGACGGACGAAGGAGGTAAATGTTGAATACAAATGCCAATAAGTGTCACAAAGTTTATCTCAAAAAATATTATTGACACTATTAAAATGGCTGTGTGATGGTTATCTCATCTCTCATGTTCAGTTTCGCTAGTTGTGTACATGCACAGCTCTTCTGATGCGTAATCATAGAAACTTAAAAGGGGTAATTTTAGTGCCTTCAAGATAATCAAGACTTTTCCACGGTTACACCATAGAATTACCTTACCCTTTCTTTGATTTCACTTGTTTTTATATTTAAGCCGTGGAGGGAGTTTTTTCAGTAACAAAGTGATTATGAATATGCATAATCCGTAATTTTCAACTCAACTTGTAAATTTCATCCATAGGTAAACATTTCGAAATCTTCGCTTTTCTTCATTTTCCTTTTTTTTTGTCTTCTAAAAGTCGTATAAATGCGACGAAAGAAACAATGGAGAAAGGGTTCCCTGCACTACTTCATCCCCCTCCTGTACATGTTTCCTGACGCTTTGGATGCCAGTTTCTCCGTCTGATAGTTCTAGGAGCAAAAATTGGCTAAATAAATAAATAAATGATAAATAAATAACCCTTTTTATCCCCTTTGTTTTTTCAGTTCCCAGCAGAGCACCGCTAAACATCACCTTCACAAATGTTGAGTCTACTAAGCTAACTGTCCACTGGGACCCTCTTTCACAGCAATATGTCAATGGAAGATTGCTAGGGTACAGAGTTTACTTCCAGGTGTTCACTTATTATTATTCTCCGCTCAAGAATAACAGCGTAACCGTCAACGCTACCAAAATAACTTTGACAGGATTAAATCCAGTCCAACGGTATGATGTTTCTGTGGCCGCCTTCACTTCCAAAGGTGAAGGACCAATTTCCTACCGCCGCTACGTCACGACAGGTAGGTCCATAAACGAATATCACTTGCGAACATGTATCAATAACAGAATTGTTCTAGAAACATTTATCAAAACTGGACTGGGGCTTTCGCCATTTTCCGATCCCTACAACTTTGTGATTTAGATGAAATCAACAATTCACTCCGGTAGTCGTTGTATCAATGCTTTTGGACGTAGCCCTAGGAAAATCAAAACGCGTGAGTTGCTGTGATAATCTGAACATTTATTAGCAATTGGTTCATACGTCAAAGCGTGCTGCGCCTCGAACATTTATTAACTCTTACGTATCTTTTCGTGCTCTCAAACTTCCCGCGTGCTCTATATCTCGATGAACCAATTGTTTTATAACACTTTCAACCCGATGAAAATTTTTTTTCTCAAGGTATTTGTTTACTGACGTCATGTCCGTGCACAATAGGAATATGAAGCACGCTCGCGCAATTAAAATTTGATTAGACAAATTTGCTAGCTATCAGTATAAAGCAATTTATTAAGTAAGACTCGTTTCTAAAAGTCACAGAAGCGATAAATGATAGTCTATCAAAAATAATGTTTCATTTTTTTTTCTTAGCTTGCGAGATCACTTTAAACCAATCCGCTGGACTGATAGATGTGATACATACAGATTATAAGAATCTATACTGCAACTGGACAATCGGCAATTTTGGAATAACGAACGCGGCTGCCCTTTTTCTATTCGACCAACTTGCCTTTGTTTCTTGCAGGTAATTAATATAAGTTTTCAATAATATCATCACTTCATGGCGAACCTTTTTCCAAATAAGAACGTGTACTCGTAAGACAAGTATCATACATCCTATAAAAAAATTAAAACAGTTGTAAATCCACTTTTGAAAGCTGCTAAGAGTTTTTTAAGTCCTTATAGCTTATAAACAGAAGCCTCTTAATTAGGAAATTACGAAGGGCATTTATAGGTGTAGTATAGCGCTCCTGTTGTGTGCCAGTTTCAGATATAGCACTATTGTACAGTTACCACCATTGTATTAATAACGAAGCTATTTACAGCATGCTGAAAAGGGTCGAAGATTGATGCCTTGTAATTTGTTTGTTCTCATCATGTGAGCCAAGTATCTTAACATAGATCTCCGGAAAAAAAAAAAACAACATGAGGTGGACGGAGTCTTTCTCGGTTTTCACAGGATCATGAGATATCTAGAGTGAAAACATAGAGAGATATCCATCATTCATATACCAACGGAAGTTTTTTTCGAAACGTATTCTTGAGCTATAGGTATATCTATTGTCCAATATATCTGATAACTACTGCTGTCACAATAGAAATTTGTTACTTTTCCGAGAGAAACGAGCATCGTGCTCTTTCTTTTTCCGCTATAGTACAGGAAGGGCATTTTAACTTTTGTGTTTTTTGCCATTTATTTCAGCGAGCATGTGAAGATTTTCAGCGGCAATGGAACCCTCGAATATCACAAACAGGGTTGCTGTCCTAACAATCCAGGATCCTATGTTGAAATTCCTTTTATGCGATCCAATAACATTGCAGTCAATATTTTATTGACTCAACTACAAAGTCGGATAACAACTCACTTTGTGATACTAAAACATGGCCTACATTCAGGTACGAAAAAATGTTACTTGTCATTGTGCTTTGAATTTGCACAGTCTCCTTACTTTTTACATCCTTTATTAACATCTCGTTATTTGATTCGATTGCTGGCTCTAAAGGTTTGTTTTTTCCGCCTCTGGTGTCCATTTCATCGCTTGGTGTTACATTTTATGTACGAAATTCTTCAGTTATGCCTGAGAAGGAGTAACCACCTCTATAATTTTTACTCACCTCTGTAATTTTTAGCTACTTATACTCCTGGCTGGCTGGCATCAGTAGACAATATCACAAGCTCAAGTATTTTAATTCAGTGGAATAACCTAACCAGCTTTATAAATAGAGGGATACTTCACTACATCGTCCTTCTCTCATCCTCCGATAAAAGCGCACCACACCATGCTATTGTAGATGGAAGTAGACTTGATTTAGAAATTAATGGACTGGACCATTCACAAAGCTATCAAATGGAAGTGTTTGGAGTGGACGCACTTGGCTATTGTTACAAGACTCTGGAAGTGAATGCTACTACGAAAAATGGTAGGGTAATACCGTACGAGCTCAGGTTTTTTCTACGTTACGCGTATGAGTGGCCATAGGAAGTTGTGCGGCCAAGTGTGCCAATAAGATGTAAACTAAAATTGTCCGTAGAGCTTGCGGGAAGAGACTTTTAGCTGTGCACGAATTGACTTGTTGACACTCTATCGTAAATCTACTCACAAACTGCCCTTGGGTAGCAGCAACTATCTTATTAATTTGTGTGAATTTAATTCCCTAGCTCAGGTTATACGAAGATGGGATGACGCTATGCACTGGATAAATCGCCTTCCAGTGGACAGCAAAGAATGTTTTGTAACATTAATCCGCTGGATGGTGATTTATGCGTTGGATAGCGTTATCCGTCCTTTGAACAACTGGGCCCTGATGGTGATTTCCTTGTCGAGACCTACTCTGTGTCACGCTATGCCGAGAGCTATGGATAAACATCGCTTAAAGATTCGGCGATAAGATGGGACACTAAGGGATAATTTTGCTCTATTCGAAAAATTAATCAAAATAGTAATTTTAGACTTTAATGCGAAGTACAGATGCTTATAAATTTATCAGGATGGCGAAGAAATCTCGGTCCACGCCACAAGGACTCAAGTCAGAAGCGATCGCGTGGTCAGATTCTCTATCAAATGAGTGACAGAGAAGGCCATAGAAGGATTAATCTAACTTGTAATATAATAATTAGTAATATATAGAGCCAGAAAATGATAAAAATATTCAAAGAGGTTCACTCTGAGACTTTTTGCTGAATTGTTGCTTGGTTCTTTTCAGTGTCATGCGGATATCGACCAAGTGGCATGCGTATTGTTGGTGGGTCAGTCGCCCCAATCTATAGCTGGCCCTGGCAGGCGATGCTGCGGGACAGTTATGGTTCGCAGTTTTGCGGTGGTAGTTTGATACATCCGTTATGGGTTGTCACAGCAACTCACTGCGTAGAAGGAAAATCCGCGTCGTCGGTGAAAGTCGTGTAAGGAGAAAATTTGCTCCACGCTTACCCGTCTTTTAAACATGAAGCAATTGGCAATCGATAGTCCTAATAGTTTAGCAAAAAGGGAAGTTTTGAAAATGCACACAATCCTGCACGCTGGAAATTAATTGAAAAGCTGGAAATTTCACCCTTGAAAAACAGAGACTCATAAAGGGAACCACCGTCAACTTTTCTGACAGGATTTACTTTTCAACAGTGCAATCAAACCTTGATGAGCAGCAAGGTGACTAAAACCGTCTCCCATAAACGGTTAACTGACACTCAAAATGTTTTTCAAAGATTTCTATCGCATACTTAACTCTGCAGTCTTTTGTTATTGTACAATTGATAAGATACATTGTGCTTTGATTGATTTCAGATTGGGGGCACATTACAAAACTTATGGTAATGTCAGCACAGAGCAAAGTTTTGATGTTATAAAAATAATTGAACATGAAAGATACAATAGTCCAAATAGCTGGAGCAACGACATAGCTCTACTACAGTTATCAAAACCGGCTAAGCTTGGAAAAGGAGTTGGGCTTGTTTGCCTTCCGGATACAAGTTTTCAGCTTCCTTTCGGTAATCCTAACAAAAAGTGCTGGATAACTGGCTGGGGTAGACTTTCGTACAATGGAATCTCTCCCAACGAGTTGATGCAAGTTGATATACCTCTGGTATCAAAACAGCGCTGTCTTGCGTCATACCCAGGTAAAATCGATGACTCCATGATATGCGTTGGCCAAGATCAAGGTGGAATAGGAGGTTGTCATGGCGACAGCGGTGGACCACTTGTGTGTGAGTTCAGTGGAAAATGGTATCTGGAGGGAGCTACTAGTTGGGGAGGATTGCCCTGCGCAGACCCATTGAAATACACTGTATATGCCAACATTCGCCATTTAAAGTCGTGGATAACAAGCAAGATGTCCTCTTTCCCTGTTCCTGCTTTAACGGCGTCCAACCTATCATGCAATTTTGACAATAGCCTGTGTTCGGGCTGGGAGCAGTCTTACTCAGATGATTTCGACTGGACGCGACGTTGGGGTTCAACTCCATCTTCGTCCACAGGACCATCCTACGACCACACTAGTGGATCAGGTGTGTACTTGCTATCATACGAGTTAATGGGCTGCACTATCCAAGCTTATCCTGACCCAGAAACTTAAGCGTTAAGAGACTATTCATTTACGTAATTCACATTCAAAAGATATTGGTCAAGATTATCCAACCGTCTACCATTGCTATGTAGATAAACTATTTTGAAATATATATTAACCTTTAAAGATGAATTTGTTTAATCGACTGAGATGATAACGCAAGTTGACCAACATAGTTGACGTTTGAAGCGTTAGTCATTGGTCAGCTCTACTTCCTTACCTACTTACGTACTCACTCACTTACACTAAGCTATCTTTCCGTCACATTGGCCATTCGATATAAACAAACTCGCGCGTTAATGTTACCAATGAATTTTGCAGTACCTTAGATAGAGACATCAATGTAATTTTTTCATTCGGTTCTGTTTTATATATATACGCATACATTTCGTTACTATTCAGGATATTACATGTACATCGAGGCATCGTCCCCTCGAGTTAATGGTGATAAAGCAAAGCTTGAGCTCCCCTTATGCGGAAATGGAGATGAGGCTTGTCTTACATTCTACTATCACATGTACGGATACACCATGGGGACCCTGAATGTCTTCAGTGGAAAAAAGGTTGTATTCAGTGCCTCAGGAAACAAAGGCAACTACTGGCAGAAGGCCGAAAGTACTATTTATTTGGACAAAGTTGTAAGTCACTAATGCAATATCATTGTTTTTTTTTTTTTTTTTTTTTTCAACACCCTCATAATCCCAGATGTAAATAACTCTTATCTGAAGTGATTGCTTATCACAACGCAATCTAAGCAGGGTGGTTTGTGCGAAAATATAAGTTCTTTGATTACAGCATGAATAATTCCATAAGGTAAAGGATCGTTGACAAAGTGGGGTAAAAGTTTATTGTCCAGTTACACAGCTCTACAGTCGGTCTATTATAAAACGTCCTTTACTCAAATTTTATCCTAGGTCACGTTTGAGGGGATAGTAGGATCATCTTATGAGGGAGACATTGCCATTGATGACGTTTCAATTAAGAGAGGGCGCTGTCTTGGGCAGACAGCGTATCCAACATTACCTCCAACAGTTGTTACATCACCAGGTGCGTAGCATGAACATTTTGATAGACGCTACGCGTGTTTCTCTCTTTTACTCTCCAGATCTCTACTTAACGAAGGGTAAGGACAAACTTCGTGCCGAAAAGCTATTATCAGATTCTCTCTCTCTCAAAAGGTGCGAATTAAGCACTGACAAGAGACACCGATATTCGACACAAGGCTAAATTGGTTCCTACTTATGGTTAAATCACTTTTTTAATTATCTAATACCATAAAAACGTTACATCAGAAAATTGCAATCTACTGCGGACTTTGTTCGCCTTAATATATCATTGACTCTGGAATCACAAATATGAACGGAACACCCTGCTTCTTGTAGCTCTATCAAAGCATTATTAACTTTCAAATTTGATTTTTCTTTATTTCTTCGTATCACTGTCAGAATATATTACAGATTTTCAGCGTAGAAAGTTTTTCTTTTAATCTAAGGAAAATAGTCTTATATGATAAACAAATTTCAGGCGGAAGGTCCATAATTTGTAGTTTCATATTGGCAATTTGAATTTATTTACGAAGGAAATTGACCTCTAGTATTGTACTTTCCTTAACTCCAGATTGCGAAAGCAGTGTAAACCAAGTATCCGGTTGGTTATATTTGAGTAATGTGCAGTACAGCACACTCAACTGTAGTGTTCAAGTACAAAACGCTGGAATCCAACACGGATCGGCCCTCATTTCCTTTCCGAGCGTATACTTTGGATATTGCAGGTAGCTTGATGGACGTCAATCCTGATTTTTTTTCTCTGCATTCATTTAAAAATAAATGACAGACCACTTTCACTGAAATTATTGGCCAATTGTTTTACCTTCACTAAACACTGACGTACATTGATCTCGTCGTTTTTACGAGCACTGAAACACAAGTTTTTACTATGAAAAAATAACCGAATTAGCAATCATTTGCAAAATCATAGGGTTGTTTCTCGTTTTTTCCTTCAATCCTTCTGTACTGACTCGGTGTCTATAATTATTTCACCTTTAGCGAGTATATCAAGATTTTTGATGCCAATGGTGTTCAGGTGTTCCATCGTGGAGGATGTGATTCCAAAACTAGCAGATTGTCCGTGGAAGTCCCATTTGGTGATGGGCATAGTATCACGCTCGCTTTTCTTTTTTCGTACCGGTATAGTTACGCCAATGTCCAGTACGCGATATTACATCAACCCCTAAGCTCAGGTAACAAAAATTTTGAGTTTATTTAAATTTAACATTTCCCAAGAAAATATTGAAAAATTGGAAAATAATTAATGAGAAAGATACGAAATCGTCAGAGTGCAAAAATAAAAGGGCACACAAGGGCTAGTTCGTGGAAAATCGAAATAGGTTTCCCAGAAAGGATTCAAATAATTTTTACCATTTTCTGGTTGTTTTTTCTAGACTTAAGACTTATTCATAATCTACAACTATTCCTTGCAGCTCAATTGGTCCCATCTTGGAATATCAGTATCTCTGATACTACAACCTCGTCGATGACAGTGCAATGGTCCAACTTCCCTCTGACAAGTCAGTCCATTCAACGACTTTTAGTGAGCTACAGGGAACACAATTCAAACGTCAGCCTTATTTTTGAGACTCAAAGTTATTACAATACACACTACACTGGTAAGGTTCTTAGGAGTTACCGATACTATGACGTGCAAGTAATTGCTGTGGCGTCAAATTCGAGCAATGGTACATTTTCCAGCAGGAAGGAGATCGCAAGGACAAACGAAGGAGGTAAACTCATTCCATTCTTTCGTGGTTACTTGTCTTCTTTGGATGAAAATAATTTGTACTTAATCCTTGTCATCTTTCTATTCCTTCTGCCTTTCAGTTCCCAGCAGTGCACCATCGAATGTACGCTTGACAAATCTGCAGTCCCATGAGGTGAAGGTTCAATGGGATCCCATACCTCCAGAGACGGCTAATGGAATATTGCTGGGATATAGAGTGTTCTACCAAGAGTACTGGTATTCAGGTTTGCTTCAAAGCATGGATACCAACAGCCCCAAAGTACATATGCAGATACTAAGGGGTCTGAAGTCAGCACAGAGATACCAAATATCGGTGGCAGCATTTACGTTCCAAGGAGCAGGATCGCAGTCATACTTGCGATACATTACAACAGGTCAGTTAAAAAGCTTCTTTCCGAATAAATCGATATGGTCAATTCGGCCTTTCAAACTATTTTCCCATATCTATTCTTTTAAACTTAAATCGTGAACCTTTTTAACTTGATTCTGACAGGTCCGTTGTGTATTCGCCAATTATGATATCACTTCTTAGCAGACTATCGGCATTTCGAGTGCGTAAATATTTTAAAATTGTCCATTATCGTACCTTCTTTTGATAAATTCTTAGGTTGTGGTGGACAGTTAAACCAGTCATTTGGACAGGTGCACATCGGCTCAAACAGAAACTACTACTATTTAAGCTGCACCTGGAACATCGTAAATGTGGGCATACAGCGAGCAGTCGCCTTCATTTGGATAAATGACCTTTATTTTTCTTATTCATAGTAAGTAAAACAAGATGTGCTGGTGTTCATTTTGAACATAAGCATCTAATGCCAACTTTATACCTGCACATAAAACAAAACAACTTCAGTTCCATGGGCACCAAAATGAGTTTATAATCTCTTAATTGTTACCAAATCAGTTCTGTCAACCATTCGCGTTTAAAGCAACCCTACAGTTCGAAGTGGCTGTATCTCTTGACATGAGCTATTGAATTTCTATGAGTGTCACTTTGGATAATCTTGAACAGATCGGATTGCTTACGTTGGACGACGTTCTCCATTTTTACACGAAGCGTAGTGTACAGGCGTGCTTTAGACATTACGAAGACGGCAACGTGGCATAAAAGTTTTGCACTTTCTAAAATTGATAAACACTTGCCAGACGGTTGTTTATGAGGTTTTTTTTCCTTTATTAACAACTGTTAATAGAGTATCAGGACAACATACCAGGCTTCTAATAGACTCATTGCGTATTTGGCTAGAGTGATTTCTCTTAGTTTTTGCAACCGTCAAATTCACACTTGAGTTCAATTATTGGCACTTACTTCACTCAAAGAAAGAGACAAACGAGTGAGCCTCTACACAGATCTTTAAGTATCCATAATTTTTTATTGGCCATTTTTTCTTGATCAAGAACAGGAATGGGGACCGGAAAATTATCAGGGTGTTGTTAAAAAAGGCTACGGGAAGTCTAGGATAACGGGTATCCCATCAAAGAAAAAGAGTATTTTTTAAGTCGCTTCATATCACAGAAACCAGATATTACGTTCGGCAGTTATGGCACCCTTGGCCTGTAGGGATTAACCTTGCTTTAATATGAGTAATTGTTTATGTTCGCAGTGACTATTTAAAGATCCTGGACGGAAATGGCTCTGTAGTTCTACATCAATATGGGTACTCTGGTATTCAGGAGAACATTCACTTAGAAGTTGACTTTGGAAACGCTGAGAACATCACCATCCAAACCTCCCTTTGGAGTTCATACAGTCACTTTCAGCTTAGTTACGGGACTTTGAAAAGAGGCCTCCAGTCAGGTTGGTATTTGGAATATCGATCTTCCACAGGGTCGATTACGTCATAATTGCTTTCTATATTAATTGTAATTGGTTACCCCTCAGTATCACCCGAAACAGGAGGAAGTCTCTTTTCTGTTAAAGTAAGCCTCATTTTGAAATCTTGTTAAACTACAGAATTCATTACATGTTAAATACCAGAAGCTTTGTTTTACCGAGTTGAATACGTTCACTTAGGTCTTCTCAATTCAGAAACTCGTGTCACTGGAAGGTGACACTTCTAAATAAATGACAAAATGGCAATCTGAATAAACATGAACTGAAGTTATAACCTTCCTGTTAAAGGAGAAGGTTCCATTATAACCAGATTGGTTTATAATGACGTTCTGTTACTGAGAGTGAATCCATACTTGTGAGAATATTTTTTTTTTAGTCTGATGATCACATTCAACATCCAAATGAAACCTTTTTCCTTTCCGAAGAAGTTATCACAGTCCACTCAAAACTTTGCCTTATGCATGCCTTGTTAACCATTGACTTATCAACTTCCAGCTTTGTCGACTGCAAATTGGAACGTTACAGTCGAAAATGTCACTTCTACAAGTGTCAGCGTCTTCTGGATGAACCTGGAATTATTGATTGGTGAACAAGTTTTGCATTACATCACTTTAATAAGAAATGCTAATGGTAGCAGTGTCTTAAATGCTGTGATCACGAGTGGAAACACCACTTCCGGGAATATTTCCGGGTTATCAGCATACACGGAGCATCAAATAACCGTTGTTGGCGTTGGAAGCGACGGGCAAGCGCACAACAGTTCAAACTCAACATTTTGGACAGAAGAAGGAGGTAATATTCACTTAACTTGCAACTCCGTAAATTTATCGTTTCATTTTCCATTTTCCAGTATCCAGTTCCAGTTTCCAGTTTGCGTTGTCTAGTTTTCAGTTTTTAGCTTTCAGTTTCCAGCTCGTTGCGGTAACGAGAGCAACCCCGATTCATATTTCGAATAACTCACAACTGAAAAAGTTGCATTCAATTATATTTTAAGGACATTTCTAACCCGTTGATATAAATATTGTATCATTAGACATTTCGGATGCTGCACTACCGAATGTACAACATATGTTACAATTATTCGTTCCATTGGACTCTTCATAGCCGATTGGCAAGTGACATTTTTCTCTTTCTGCACCATGGAAATAACATGAATTAATTTTCCTTTTTCAGTTCCTAGCGGAGCCCCATCCAATGTTCGACTCTCGAACCTACAGCAAAATGAGATACAAGTACATTGGGATCCACTTGCACAGCATTATGTAAATGGACGACTACAGGGATATAGAGTGCGTGTTTATGAGTATGGATATTACTATTATGGATTGCTTGTACAAACTTTGGAGACCGTTGGCCCCAATGTTCACATGATGAAAGTAGGAGGTCTGAAAAATGCACAGCAGTACAGAATAAGCGTGACAGCTTTTACTTCGAAGGGCGAGGGTCCACAATCTTACTGGCAATACATTACAACAGGTATTTTCTAAAATAGCTATCTCAATATACACAAAATGTGGTCATGGGGAATTTCATAGATTCTCTTTCATATAGACATTGCAGTTAAAAGAAGCTGCCGAAGATATTGAAGATTTTATTCAAAAATCGATAGCCCACATACATTTCTGATTTCAACTGTTATTACAATATGAGTTTTCAAACCTATCGTCACCAAAACAAACGTCGTGTTTATTGATGATGGTGATAGTTATACTTGAAAAATCTTTGATCGAAGTACTGTTAAATACTTCGGCGAATTAACTTGTTTGCATCAGCGTTAGGTGGCTTACTTATTACTTTTTGCAGAAAAATGCTTTTCTAGATTGAACGCAGCCTAGACACCAGGTAGAACATAAGACAAAGAAATAAATTGTAGTTATACAAAGATAATTTTACCAAAAGGACGTAAAGACAGCAGAGTGGCAATAATTCTTAATAAAGAAACCACAACTTTTAAAGTTGTTTAATAAGAACTCTGGTTGACAGAGTATATAAGATCAATAATTCCTGGGTTGGTTTCCACAAGGATGTACAAAAACTTATTTTCTTGCTACGGAAAAATTGTTTCCCTTCCAGCGTCATAGACAGGATTATCTCAAGACATCTGGCCAAGAGCTATAATCCTTCTCCCACGCATAACGCCACATTAAACTCCGGAAACCCTTCTTCGCATTATTTTAAACTTCCTTATGTTGGGCGGTTTTCTGACATCGCTCAAACCAAGTTAAGGCATCTACTGAAACGTTATTGTAGACCTGATTTAGATATTAAGTTAGTCTTCAATACGTTTAAGCTCAGAAACTTGTTCAGTGTGAAAGATTCAGTACCACCAGGTCTACGTTCGCGTGTCGTTTATAAATTTTCATGTGCTGGCTGTAATGCCAGTTATATTGGTGAGACCACTCGCCACATCTGTACACACGGGTTCGTGAGCACCTCTTGTCTGACAAAACTTCACACATTTACAAGCACCTACAATCATCAAAGGCCTGTCTCGACTCTTGTGGTACAGAATGTTTCACCATTTTAGATTCTGCCGCTTCGAAATACAAAATTAAGATCAAAGAGGCATTGCATATTAAGTGGGACAAACCCATCCTTAATCAGCAATTGAAGCATCTAGAGTTGTCTCTTTCCTTTTGATTCTGTCATCATAATAATTTTTCTTATTATGATCATTATTTTTCTTTCTCCTTCTTTCCCCATCTGGCGCGTGCTATGTCACGTTTTTTCGTATTTAATATTCAAATTGTAACGTAAACAATATGACGTAATTTGTAACGTAATCTCATATAAATTCAAATGTACCACCGTTAAAATCGCATTTACAACTGAAGATGACATAAGAATGTCGAAACATGTCTTGCAAACTAAAAGTTGTGGTTTCTTTATTAAGAACAAAGATAATTCTTTTCATTCCCGGAGATGTTTTTTTATGCGTTGCCGTCTTCTCTTCCCCAGGATGCGGAGGAAGCGTAAATCGGTCATTCGGTGTGATACAAGTTGGACGAAGGGGTTACTATTCAAGTTCTCTAAGATGTAACTGGGCGATTGGAGACTCAGGAATCAACCAAGCCACCCTGATTATATCTTTTGAAGATCTGTATATTTCAAGCTACTTGTAAGTGATGCAGATTATTAGCCCTGAGACACTACCATGCTGAGCAACCTCTTACCCGTTTATACTCTATAGTTGATTAGATAAATGTAGAAAAATACTTGTAAATCTTCCTCGAAAAAAGGAAAATCGTTGGAAATTTCCAAATTAAGATCTGATGATTAACCAAAAAATTTTAAATTTTAACCATTTAAAAAAGGTTAGTTTCTTTCCACCCGAGTTACCTTTCCTACGAAATACTTTACAGACCCTGTAAGATACGGCGATAGGGGAGGTGGTTCATGTCATTTTTGTTGTTGTTATTGCGTGAGACAAATGAACCTGTTAAGGGACTAGTTCACTATGGGGCTACTTTCGCTCGCTAGCAGAACATCAAAGCATTATCACGATCAGACAAAAACATATATATTTTTTTAGTTTCAACCAAGTTTGACAACCTTTTAAATCGAAATTTCAGCCTCACGTTTACGTAGCTCGTGGATTTAGGGAATATTCCTTGAGCTTCTTCCCTTTTTTTAAACGGGTTTAAGTACTGGCCGACCCACGTACCCTAATCTCATCAGTGTCATGTGTCTATGAAAAACGTTTTTCTTTACTTTGACAGTGAGTATGTAAAGATCATTGATGGAAATGGGCTAACAGTATTTTATCACAATGGATATTCGTCTTCTCCTTTGAAAACGTTCTTGCTCGTTAATTATGGGAGTGGAAATAATGTCAAGGTGCAGATCTACTTTTACAATTACTGGAGTCAGTTCAAGCTTAAATACGGAATCGTAAATCAGGACCTTCAGTCAGGTGTGTTGTTATTTCTGCACTAGATACCTTGAACGACGAGAATTTCCAGCTCGAATCACTTCATTTTTTATTTGCATTTACTTGTTTACCTTTAGGGTGTAATACATTAATTCCAAGTGACTTCTTATGTAATTGTTATTTCCGATTCCGATGAATTTCACCTATTTCCAGTATAAACGTGTGCTCAGAACAATACTCCACAATAACTAAAATGGATTTCTTTGATTTCTTAGCTGTATTTGTCTCCAACTGGAATGTAACCATTGGAAACACCACAGAGAAAAGCATCGGGATCCAGTGGGAAAATTTGAACGAAGTGCTAAATCAGCAAATTCTTCACCTCTTCGGGCTTCTGCAGACCTCCAATGGAACCGTTTTGAACGCCAAGATCATGTCTGGAAATATGACTTCGGTTGTATTCGATGGACTTTCATCTTATAAACAATATTCTGTGGCTATTATTGGCGTTGACAATAACGGAGAAGCCTATAAGAGTGCTAATATCACAGCCTGGACGGACGAAGGAGGTAAATGTTGAATACAAAGGCCAATTAGTGTCACAAAGTTTCTCTCAAAAAATATTATTGACACTATTAAAATGGCTGTGTGATGGTTATCTCATCTCTCATGTTCAGTTTCGCTAGTTGTGTACATGCACAGCTCTTCTGGTGCGTAATCACAGAAACTTGACCAATAGAGGAATTTTTAGTGCCTTCAAGATAATCAAGACTTTTCCACGGTTACACCATAGAATTACCTTACCCTTTCTTTGATTTCAATTGTTTTTATATTTTAGCCGTGGAGGGAGTTTTTTCAGTAACTCAACTTGTAAATTTCATCTATAGGGAAACATTTCGAAATCTTCGCTTTTCTTCATTTTTCATTTTTTCATCTTCTAAAAGTCGTATCATCCCCCTCCAGTACATGTTTCCTGATGCTTCGGATGCCAGTTTCTCCGTCTGATAGTTCAAGGAGCAAAAATTGGCTAAATAAATAAATAAATAATAAATAAATAACCCTTTTTATCCCCTTTGTTTTTTCAGTTCCCAGCAGAGCACCACTAAACATCACCTTCGCAAATGTTGAGTCTACTAAGCTAACTGTCCACTGGGACCCTCTTTCACAGAAATATGTCAATGGAAGATTACTAGGGTACAGAGTTTACTTCCAGGTGTTCACTTATTATTATTCTCCGCTCAAGAATAACAGCGTAACCGTCAACGCTACTAAAATAACTTTGACAGGATTAAATCCAGGCCAATGGTATGATGTTTCTGTGGCCGCCTTCACTTCCAAAGGTGAAGGACCAATTTCCTACCGCCACTACGTCACGACAGGTAGGTCCATAAACGAATATCACTTTGCGAACATGTATCAATAACAGAATTGTTCTAGAAACATTTATCAAAACTGGACTGGGGCTTTCGCCATTTTCCGATCCCTACAACTTCGTGATTTAGATGAAATCAACAATTCACTCCGGTAGTCGTTGTATCAATGCTTAGGACGTAGCCCTAGGAAAATCAAAGCGCGCGAGTTGCTGTGATAATCTGAACATTTATTAGCAATTGGTTCATACGCAACTCTTACGTATCTTTCGTGCTCTCCAAACTTCCCGTGTGCTCTATATCTCGATGAACCAATTGTTTTATAACACTTTCAACCCGATGGAAATTTTTTTTCTCAAGGGATTTGTTTGCTGACGTCATGCCCGTGCACAATAGGAATATGAAGCACGCTCGCGCAGTTAAAATTTGATTAGACAAATTTGCTAGCTATGTTATAAAGCAATTTATTAAGTAAGACTCGTTTCTAAAAGTCACAGAAGCGATAAATGATAGTCTATCAAAAATAATGTTTCATTTTTTTTTTCTTAGCTTGCGAGATCACTTTGAACCAATCCGCTGGACTGATAGATGTGATACATACAGATTATAAGAATCTATACTGCAACTGGACAATCGGCAATTTTGGAATAACGAACGCGGCTGCCCTTTTTCTATTCGACCAACTTGCCTTTGTTTCTTGCAGGTAATTAATATAAGTTTCAATAATATCATCACTTTATGGCGAACCTTTTTACAAATAAGAACGTGTACTCGTAAGACAAGTATCATACATCCTATAAAAAAATGAAAACAGTTATAAATCCACTTTTGAAAGCTGCTAAGAGTTTTTTTTAAGTCCTTATAGCTTATAAACAGAAGCCCCTAATTAGGAAATTACGAAGGGCATTTATAGGTGTGGTATAGCGCTCCTGTTGTGTGCCAGTTTCAGATATAGCACTATTGTACAGTTACCACCATTGTGTTAATAACGAAGCTATTTACAGCATGCTGAAAAGGATCGAAGATTGATGCCGTGTAATTTGTTTGTTCTCATTATGTGAACTAAGTATCTTAACATAGATCTCCGGAAAAAAAAAACAACAACATGAGGTGGACGGAGTCTTTCTCGGTTTTCACAGGATCATGAAATATCTAGAGTAAAAACATAGAGAGATATCCATCATTCATATACCAACGGAAGTTTTTTTCGAAACGTATTCTTGAGCTATAGGTATATCTATTGTTCGATATATCTGATAACTACTGCTGTCACAATAGAAATTTGTTACTTTTCCGAGAGAAACGAGCATCGTGCTCTTTCTTTTTCCGTTATAGTACAGGAAGGGCATTTTAACTTTTGTGTTTTTTGCCATTTATTTCAGCGAGCATGTGAAGATTTTCAACGGCAATGGAACCCTCGAATATCACAAACAGGGTTGCTGTCCTAACAATCCAGGATCCTATGTTGAAATTCCTTTTATGCGATCCAATAACATTGCAGTCAATATTTTATTGACTCAAATACAAAGTCGGATAACATCTCACTTTGTGATACTAAAACATGGCCTACATTCAGGTACGAAAAAATGTTACTTGTCATTGTGCTTTGAATTTGCACAATCTCCTTACTTTTTACATCCTTTATTAACATCTCGTTATTTGATTCGATTGCTGGCTCTAAAGGTTTGTTTTTCCGCCTCTGGTGTCCATTTCATCGCTTGGTGTTACATTTTATGTACGAAATTCTTCAGTTATGCCTGAGAAGGAGTAACCACCTCTTTAATTTTTACTCACCTTTTTACTCACCTCTGTAATTTTTAGCTACTTATACTCCTGGCTGGCTAGCGTCGGTAGACAATATCACAAGCTCAAGTCTTTTAATTCAGTGGAGTAACCTAACCAGCTTTATCAATCGAGGGATACTTCACTACATCGTCCTTCTCTCATCCTCCGATAAAGGCGCACCACACCATGCTATTGTAGATGGAAGTAGACTTGATTTAGAAATTAACGGACTGGACCATTCACAAAGCTATCAAATGGAAGTGTTTGGAGTGGACGCACTTGGCTATTGTTACAAGACTCTGGAAGTGAATGCTACTACGAAAAATGGTAGGGTAATACCGTACGAGCTCAGGTTTTTTCTACGTTACGCGTATGGGTGGCCATAGGAAGTTGTGCGGCCAAGTGTGCCAATAAGATGTAAACTAAAATTGTCCGTAGAGCTTGCGGGAAGAGACTTTTAGCTGTGCACGAATTGACTTGTTGACACTCTATCGTGAATCTACTCACAAACTGCCCTTGGGTAGCAGCAACTATCTTATTAATTTGTGTGAATTTAATTCCCTAGCTCAGGTTACACGAAGATGGGATGACGCTATGCACTGGATAAATCGCCTTCCGGTGGACAGCAAAGAATGTTTTGTAACATTAATCCGCTGGATGGTGATTTATGCGTTGGATAGCGTTATCCGTCCTTTGAACAACTAGGCCCTGATGGTGATTTCCTTATCGAGACCTACGCTGTGTCACGCTACGCCGAGAGCTATGGATAAACATCGCTTAAAGATTCGGCGATAAGATGGGACACTAGGGGATAATTTTGCTCTATTCGAAAAATTAATCAAAATCAAAATAGTAATTTTAGACTTTAATACGAAGTACAGATGCTTATAAATTTATCAGGATGGCGAAGAAATCTCGGTCCACGCCGCAAGGACTCAAGCCAGAAGCGATCGCGTGGTCAGATACTCTATCAAATGAGTGACAGAGAAGGCCATGGAAGGATTAATCTAACTTGTAATATAATAATTAGTAATATATAGAGCCGGAAAATGATAAAAATATTCAAACAGGTTCATTCTGTGACTTTTTGCTGAATTGTTGCTCGGTTCTTTTTCAGTGTCATGCGGATATCGACCAAGTGGCATGCGTATTGTTGGTGGGTCAGTCGCCCCAATCAATAGCTGGCCCTGGCAGGCGATGCTGCGGGACAGTTATGGTTCGCAGTTTTGCGGTGGTAGTTTGATACATCCGTTATGGGTTGTCACAGCCACTCACTGCGTAGAAGGAAAATCCGCGTCGTCGGTGAAAGTCGTGTAAGGAGAAAATTTGCTCCACGCTTACCCGTCTTTTAAACATGAAGCAATTGGCAATCGATAGTCCTAATAGTTTAGCAAAAAGGGAAGTTTTGAAAATGCACACAATCCTGCACGCTGGGAATTAATTGAAAAGCTGGAAATTTCACCCTTGAAAAACAGAGACTCATAAAGGGAACCTCCGTCAATTTTTCAGACAGGATTTACTTTTCAACAGTGCAATCAAACCTTGATGTGCAGCAAGGTGACTTAAAACCGTCTCCCATAAACGGTTAACTGACACTCAAAATGTTTTTCAAAGATTTCTATCGCATACTTAACTCTGCAGTCTTTTCTTATTGTACAATTGATAAGATACATTGTGCTTTGATTGATTTCAGGTTGGGGGCACATTACAAAACTTATGGTAATGTCAGCACAGAGCAAAGTTTTGATGTTATAAAAATAATTGAACATGAAAGATACAATAGTCCAAATAGCTGGAGCAACGACATAGCTCTACTACAGTTATCAAAACCGGCTAAGCTTGGAAAAGGAGTTGGGCTTGTTTGCCTTCCGGATACAAGTTTTCAGCTTCCTTTCGATAATCCTAACAAAAAGTGCTGGATAACTGGCTGGGGTAGACTTTCGTACTATGAAATCTCTCCCAACGAGTTGATGCAAGTTGATATACCTCTGGTATCAAAACAGCGCTGTCTTGCGTCATACCCAGGTAAAATCGATGACTCCATGATATGCGTTGGCCAAGATCAAGGTGGAATAGGAGGTTGTAATGGCGACAGCGGTGGACCACTTGTGTGTGAGTTCAGTGGAAAATGGTATCTGGAGGGAGCTACTAGTTGGGGGAGCAAACGCTGCGCAGACCCATTGAAATACACTGTATATGCCAACATTCGCCATTTAAAGTCGTGGATAACAAGCAAGATGTCCTCTTTCCCTATTCCTGCTTTAACGGCGTCCAACCTATCATGCAATTTTGACAATAGTCTGTGTTCGGGTTGGGAGCAGTCTTACTCAGATGATTTCGACTGGACGCGACGTTGGGGTTCAACTCCATCTTCGTCCACAGGACCATCCTACGACCACACTAGTAGATCAGGTGTGTACTTTCTATCATACGAATCAATGGCCTGCACTGTCCAAGCTTATCCTGACCCAGAAACTTTAGCGTTAAGAGACTATTCATTTACGTAATTCACATTCACAAGATATTGGTCAAGATTATCCAGCCGTCTACCATTGCTATGTAGATAAACTATTTTGAAATATATCTTAACCTTTAAAGATGAATTTGTTTAATCGACTGAGATGATAACGCAAGTTGACCAACATAGTTGACGTTTGAAGCGTTAGTCTTTGGTCAGCTCTACTTCCTTACTTACTTAGTACTCACTCACTTACACTAAGTCATCTTTCCATCACATTCGCCATTCGATATAAACAAACTTCCGCGTTAATGTTACCGATAAATTTTGCAGTGCCTTAGATAGAGACATCAATGTAATTTTTTCATTCGGTTCTGTTTTATATATATACGCAAACATTTCGTTACTATTCAGGATATTACATGTACATCGAGGCATCGTCCCCTCGAGTTATTGGTGATAAAGCAAAGCTTGAGCTCTCCATATGCGGAAATGGAGATGAGGCTTGTCTTACATTCTACTATCACATGTACGGACCCACCATGGGGACCCTGAATGTCTTCAGTGGAAAAAAGGTTGTATTCAGTGCCTCTGGAAACAAAGGCAACTACTGGCAGAAGGCCGAAAGAACTATTTATTTGGACAAAGTTGTAAGTCACTAATGCAATATCATTGGTTTCTTTTTTTTTTTTCAACACCCTCATAATCCCAGGTGTAAATAACTTTTATCTGAAGTGATTGCTCATCACAACGCAATGTAAGCAGGGTGGTTTGCGTGAAAATATAAGTTCTTTGATTACAGCATGAATAATTCCATAAGGTAAATGATCATTGACAAAATGGGGTAAGAGTTTATTTTCCAGTTATACAGCTCTACAGTCGGTCTATTATAAAACGTCCTTTACTCAAATTTTATCCTAGGTCACGTTTGAGGGGATAGTAGGATCATCTGATGAGGGAGACATTGCCATTGATGACGTTTCGATTAAGAGAGGGCGCTGTCTTGGGCAGACAGCGTATCCAACATTACTTCCAACAGTTGTTACATCACCAGGTGCATAGCATGAACATTTTGATAGACGCTACGCGTGTTTCTCTCTTTTACTATCACAATCTTGAAAACTGCAGTGCTAAATCACTCAAAATCAATTCTCACGGGTTATGCATGTCAACAAACACAAAGTTTTCATAACGAGCTCACTCTCAATAGCCTCTCCGGCTAAAACTCTTTTCTGCCCTTTTTACACACTTCACTTTCCAAATTTTCTTATTAATATTAATACCACACTCAAAAAATGAGACTTAATTTATCTCAGTTTAAATTAAAAGGTTCGCTTCCGAGCTCGGAGAAACCACCCACGAGAACATCGGAGACATTTCTTGACTTGTAAGGAGCCCAGTGATCAACTTTGTTGAATAGTTATATGCAAGAAAATCAAGATTAGTCTTATCTTATCTTATTGACTATTCGAATACATCGGACAGACCAAACGCCAGTTTGGTACACGGTTAAAAGAGCACCAAAAAGCGGTTTTTCTTTGCAAAAAGGAAAATTCAGCTTTATCGGAGCATACTTGCCTAACCAACCATACAATTGGGTGGGATAATTCTAAAATTATCACCACTAATCGGCGTTACCACCAGCGCCTTTGTTTGGAGGCTTGGCACATTAACTCCGCCCACGCTCCTTTAAATCGTGACGATGGCGGTCTACTTCCTGACGCCTATTTACACCTCGTCAGAAAAAAGGCCGCTAATTAGTGATCATATAAAAGGACCTCTTGTTCTATCTTTGTCTATGAATTGTAACTTCTTCGGTTACATTCATTAAATCTGCAAACCAGTGTAGCATCAAACTATGTCTGAATGATTGATACTCTTTGAGTAGTTATAATTACTCAAGGAGTTCATATGTCCAAAAAATCATCATTAAAATATCTTACAATAAATCATATCTAATGCATTAACGCATTATCTCAATCTAACGTGCAGTGATGTCAAAAAGCTATCAACATCTAATTTTCTTCGGGAACGCAATTCCTTTCTTCTCTTTGTCCTTTTTTATGCAGTCCACACAGTATGTTCTGACGACCCTGGGCTCTCCATTTGTTCCCAACTTCCTACCTATGGGAATTTTTGTACAGAAAATTTCAACTGGACTGTCAAGCACTGCCCTAAATCATGCGGATTTTGTGAAGGTAGGGTTGTGGAGACTGTGCTTCCTTTTCCGGAGTTTATTTTTATTAATATATATTTTTTTTAGATTATTTTCTGTATGCACCGATGGATCAATATCACCAACGCATACCCTTTCAAAAAACAAAAAAATGCATTAAATCTTATTTTTAAAATGTTACTGTGCTCATCAAGGGGATATCTTGAAACGTGTCACTAAGGACACGTTTTTTAAACAAGTGAAAAGCACTATTAGTTTTTCCGTTCGATATAAATGACTCAAAAATATGCTCAAGAACTACCTCTCATCAGGGGATTATAAACTGGTTAGTTTATAATCTCTTGCTCTGATATAATTAGATTTGGACATTACTGTAATTTTAACTTTAAGGAACGATCATAACCCCCGCAAAAAACATTTAAGAAACGTTTATGTAGAAAAAATATTTGGTTAGGTATTAACTTGTAGAACCAGAATATCGTAACTTACGTGTGATTTTATTTTTAAATTGTTAGCAAGTACTAATCTTGAACCTAAGTAAGAGGTAGAGCATGCTATTCTACAAATTCACAACGTATATTTAATTTTAAGCACAATGTTTTGTCTTATCTTTCCACGATTCTAGTTGATTCTCCAACAACCGAGAGGATTTTTACGTCGAGCCACGTACTGACTTTCAATCCGACAGCTATTCCTCGCACTCCATCAGCAAAGGAAATGCAGGAAGCAGTAATGTTAAAAATGACAGATTTTGATATGAAGAAGGTGATCTTTGATTATTATGTATTTTATTAAAGGAAGACGATGAAAAATGTCCTACACATTTATCATACGATATATTGCTAGACACAGAAACAATTTTCACTGTAGCTTGAAATGAATCAACCGATGCTACTCCCTTTTGTCGCAGTATTCATGAAATTATTCCCTTTCCTGTTTTTTATCTGTCCATCACAGTGGAAGGAGATGGAAGCGGATTTTAAACAAAAAGTTGCTAGTGCAGCTAATAAATATTGTGCAGATGGTGGAGCATCCTGTCAAACAAGGTAAACCAATCATCAATCATAAAAAGCAATTAGCAAACTTAATGAAGAACCAAGCAAATTTGATGCAAAGGGACGAACTGTGAAATCAGTGATAACTAAACTCATTAGATGGGGTAAGCTAATTCTGCTATAAAGCGTGCTCTGATTGACTATGAGTGGAGTGAATACGGCATTAAGTCCTGATAGCAGCCACGGGTTCACTATGAGCTACGAATGTTAGGAAGTACGAGATAGGAGTTCTAAGGACCGCGTTTTTCTCCAGGTAATCCGCGGGGATGGAAACGATGAAGGTGGATAACACCCAGAGGATAGAGAGCAGAAAAAATATTATGTTGATTAAAACTACCAAAGTGACGGGAAAAAAACTTAGCAAACAACCTAGAATATATATTCTAGAGGGAAGAGAAGTCACAATTTGTTAAAGGGGTCACAATAACATCTCAAAGAAATGTAACCTCCGGATACATAGGGAGGTAGAAGTTTTGGACTTAACAGTTCCCAATCTTCATTTTTTCGCAACCTTGATTCTTGAGAATTGGACGAAATTTTCTTGTCACGGTGTGATACCACCATGCTGAAATAAAAATGATGACGACAGTGACAATAATAATAGTAATAATGATTATATACTTGTAGAAGGTCACATATAGTGTTTGATCCATTTCAGCCTTCGTCGGAGACGATCATCTGATAGCATGAAATTTTCAGCCGATATGGTTCAGATTGTCCCTGGTTACCCAATGCCGTCACCGGATGATCCTAGCATAACGTTGTTGGCGTTCTACCTACAGCTTCCTGGAGGTGTCGGAGATAACTTGGTCAGCGAAGATGTCCTGAAAAACATCGTGAAAAGCGATATGAAATCTATTGAAGGGTCGATGGGTGTTAGCATCAAAAATGTCGAGTCAATGCCTCTACCTCAGAATAAAGAAGATCAAGAAGATGAGATAGATGACGAAAGATCAGTCTCAACCTCGGTTATAGTGGGTGTTGCCCTTGGATCCCTGTTCTTGCTGGGGTTTATCATTGCTGTCACCCTGATTATCAAATCTACCAGGTAGAAGAGTCTCTTTTGAATTTCAAAGAGGATCAGATGAATAACTATATCGCTATGTCATAGGGTTTTCTCAAATAGTGATGCCGAAATCGACTTTAGGCCCCTCAACGGGCTAAGAAAGAGGTCGCGGGAAAAGGAAAGATCAGAAGAAGGAAGCAGGCCATTAATTTTTATCTGAATAGAATTATGAAGATTATAAAGAAATTAAATCAGAAGTTGAAATAGCAGTTTAGCTGGGCTGGGTGGGCATTCGATTCTCTTGAAATGCTTTCAATTTCACGTACATTTCAAGGTGTCATGTGATCTTTACTACCTTAACAGGAGTGTTATTTGGTTCCTACCTTCCTACCAAGGTGTCATGTGATCTTTACTACCTTAACAGGAGTGTTATTTGGTTCCTACCTTAGGTTCGGTTCCAGATGTCGCGTGATGTCCACCGACAAAGTCAATCAAGGAAGTGATGTGGCTCAAGAAGCTGTGTATGATGATATGCATGGTGCGACTTTAAACAAACCAAGTGTTATTGCTCACGACAATAGTGCATACGTGTCTGTAGAGCAAGCTACTACATTGGCGCAGCAGAGTGGAGTAATGCCTATCAAAAATGTAAGCGAAAAATTATAAGGGCAACAGAATCACTCAGCAAGCAAGAGCGTGCATTTGTCATCTGAGGAAACTTCACTTGATGAGGGATACCAAGAGGAGACGCTGCCGCCTATCGAGAAAATGAACTGCTGAACCGTATGAAAAGTAGGCTGGCCCTTGCTTTTAGGAAAATTTTGTTTTTTACCATTTTGTTAGTTTCTTTGTTGACCAAGCGCCGCTGAATGGTAGTGAAGAAATTCCTCATCTTCTTTTTCATGAGCAGGGGCTAAGAATTGGAAAAGCTACCTTTTTTAAGGCTTGGTTTAATTTTTTTAATCAAAAGCATTTTGCTCTTCCATTCCGGGGAAGAAGGCGTGCAATCGCAGTGGACAAGAAAGGCTTTCTTTGCCTGCGCGGCTAACCAATGAGAAAGTAGGAATCGCTTTATCTTTCCTGCTCACGGAACCAGCATAATGAGAGACATTAAAAAAAGTTTTGTAGATGCTTCTCAAACATTTAAAAAAAAGATAATTCTTCGGAAAATTGTTCTTAATTCAGTAGGAAATGATTTGTCTTTATTTCGCCCTTTGTTATCTATGTCTGCAGCTTTGCAAATTTTGTGATAAGCCATGGTATTATCATTTTATAAGCGAGATAAGAACTCCAATTCGTTAACCTTAAAAAATAATACTTTTATTAGGAATAAAATAGATTTAGCCAACCCTAAAAGCGGAGATCTTGTTAGTTTATTTTCTAGCCCTTCATTATAATAAAATCTGTAATAAAACTCTTTGGCACTGGCTGTCGGAAATTTTATTCAAGGGGATTTAAGGACAAGTCCGGGGGATGAGGGGGAAAATCAACGGGGTCTGTAACCAGGGGACGATGATCTCACAACTTGCAAAGCGATCAGCACGCATGGTAGCCAGCGGTATTTTTAAGCATAAATAAATAAGGGGATATACGTTTCTAAAAAAATTGTGGTACTGCGTCAGTGGGAGAGTATAACAAGGTAATTGAGTATTATTAACTCAGTTAATAACGAAAATTGAACACCGTAAAGAGTTTAAAAGCTGACTTTTCGAGCGTTAACTCTTCGTCAGAGCAATAGACGAAGGGCAAAAGCTCAAAAGGTCAGCTTTTAAACTCTTTACGGTGGCCAATTTACATTATCAACTCAGTTGATAATACTAAATTACCCTGGTATTATCAAGTAGCTTAGGACCTTCGATGGCGTTCCTGGTGTTTTCAGCGACTTTTCGAAGATAGGGAATGCTTTCTTCATCACATGTAGTGTATAATTTCACTATCAGTTGGAATTGTATTCTATTGAGTGTGACTGATGATTTCAGTTTGGGAAAATGAGCCAAAATGGAAAGATTAACGACAGCAAACGAATTCGAGTTAAGAATTCAACGGTCGATTGAAGATTATACACGTAAGAACAGTGAGTCAATAATAATACGCCAGAATAGTATGGGCTTTTCTTACAGAGCTACTCTTGAAGTCGCCAGGTATGACGACTTGCTCCACCGTTTTTTCGTAATGTTTCAGCGTCCTCTGATAGGCGTAGAAAATTGAAAGGAAAAGTCATCTTCACATTTTCGACACCTTTTTAAATCTGTAATTTTAATAACATTAATATTAACAGATACTAGGAGATCAAAGAATTTTCAAAAGAGTATAACATTTTGTTGAAAGAATTTGAATTCGGTGTTGGCCGGATAAACAAGATTCTTAGAAAAATAAACGTTTACTAATGAAAAAACGAAGAGAAATTCTTTACAACCCCTCCCTGTAGCTGTTCGGCTTGTAGTAAAGTTATTCGAAGTAGCCACAATCCCGGTTTTAATATTGAAAACATGCACACGCATGCAGATTACCTATAAACCTGTAGTTCAAGCCTGCCATAACTTCAAAACTTTGATGCACACCTCAAAAGGAGAACATGTATGTTTCAAGGTTCTCTTTAATTGGTTTAGTTAGTCAGGTAAAGTGAGTCAATTTTGCATGTGATGACAGGATCAAGATATTTTGACAACTAATTATCAAAGTTAGCCTACTTGGAATGATAACCCTCATGTTCACATTAGAGCAGGTTTGTACCGATAATGTGAAAAATAACCTTCTTATTAAAAGAAAGTAATGGTCGAGAATTGGTAGCAAACCACAGCCCTGGGTCTGCCAGTAAGAGAGTAATTAAAAATAGCAATTTGCTCATGCACAAAAGAACTATCCATGGTAAGAGGGAAGGCTTTCCTTTCTTTATCTAAATATGTAGAGAGGTTATCATTTTTCCATGAGCTCAGTGGACATTGAGAGTGGATGAGACTGACAGTGGCCATGTTATTTGAACAAATTTCCAAAGGAGGATAAAAAGTCGGACATGGTTAAGGCGACTCTCTTAATTTAATTTTTACCTCTAAAGTTAACGTACTAACAATCAATTTTACTTCTATGCGTCAAAATACAAGAGAATGTTCTATTGATCTTCGTACTCTAAACGCTAAAGGGGAGAAGGCAGGTCAAAGTAAAACCAGGAATTTAAATAGAAGCATCCCAATTAATTCCAGTCCTAATTAATGGAGGATCCAGATTCCCACACTTTAAAACTCACAAATCGTGCGACCAATTCCTTACATCGATTTTTAGTTTGGATATGAGCATTTGTTATAACATCGTGCACTGTTGAAAGCTTAAGCAAGTAGTTTTTAAAGCAGTTTGAATAATATCACATGTTAAAATTATATAATCATACAGTTCTAAAGCGAGGAGGTCAAGTTACTTAAGACTCGCCTGCTTCAACTTTTGACAGCTTGACCTTCAGAGAAATAGATATCGTAAACAATTATAATTAAAACAAAGATGAACGTTTGAAAGCCAAAAGGTATTGTATTATTGTATTTTTGCTTTGCAAGTTGATTAGAAATTGCAAAATAAAGAGAATTACTTGAATATGAAAGCGATCTTCGCAGTAATGAACACTACTTGAGAAGTAGTGAAAATAGAGAATTTCTTTTTAGGCCTTATTTTCACTACTGCTCAAGTAGTGTTCATTACTGCGAAGATCGCTTTCATATTCACGTCTTTATCCGCACTTTACACGTATGATTTTCATATATTCACGGTCATTTATTCATCACTTCACGGGTTTATATGGAACCAACATACTGACCAGCTCCCAGTTGGCTTTTTAGCTCAGTTGGTAGAGGACTGCACCGGTATCGCAGAGGTCATGGGTTCAAATCCCTTACAGGCCTGAATTTTTTTCAGGCCTTATTTTCACTACTGCTCAAGTAGTGTTCGTTACTGCGAAGATCGCTTTCTTATTCGCGTCTTTATCCGGAGTTCACATATATGATTTTCATATATTCACAGTCATTTAATGAGAATTACTGTTCAACTACAACCTCACCAGTTTGACTTCCCGCTAAAAACGCGGGTTGCAAATCCTTGGCCTGCGCGGCCTCACATCTTCTAGCTCAAGGCCCTCGTGTGATGCCTAACCGTGTGCCCGCGGTACACTACACTAAAGTTCGGCACTCGAGTATGCGCACTTCATTATCATCTGCCGGTGTTTCCTGACGCCTACCTTTCCCTCACTCCTCGGATTACATAATGGCTTAACTAATTCCCGCAATGCAGTTGGCTGCGCATGCTAAAGGTAGCACCTTGTGAGGTCGGTAGTACGATCGTAAGTCCAATGTTTCTGCCTTGATAGGTTACTGGGTCACTACTGTTACTTATAAGAATGCGAGCTCCGCTAATATTATAGCGAGTATTTTAGTTTCTGATAAAATGTAACGTTAGTTTTGTATTGCGTTTGGATTTGCCACGTGGTTAAATAAAATTCTCATGGTTAAAGCGTAAACAACAGGCTCCGGTTTTTCGAAGGTCCAATAACACTATCCACAGGATAAATCTCTATCCGGTGGATAACACAGTACGTTTTGCTATCACTTAGCCGCAGGATAGCGATTTATCCGTTGGATAGAGTTATCCACCCGGCCCTTTCTACAACTGGGCCCAGATGGGGGATTTTTTGTTTTGCAACCACTGTTTGCTAACGTCTCCCAAATTTATTCATTCCAAGATGTAGGTGTTGCTATATTCACGTTTTTTGCGTCTAAAAAGGGAACAGATTCACCAACCAAGATACCATCACTAATGAGGAAGTGCTTTATCTTGCACACGGAGAGGTGACAAGTTTTCTTTCTGCGATTCTTATTCCAAGCTTACTATAAATGATTCTCTCAAAGATAATCGAACCGAATCCAATCTTGAAATAGGCCATTAAAAATTATACCAATTAAAAGCTGGAAGGGTAACTGAGGGGTTGAGTTAGAGCGACAAGGTTCTACTCATGGATTTGTTGTCAATGTATATATATGTATATTCTTTTTAGGAAAGTTCATTATCGGTTGTATAGTTCAAACCAACAACAGGCTCGACTTTTAATATAGGTAGGGATCACTGGTGTTAAAACTAATCTTGTGTTTAATTTTCATTTTAACTTCGGAAGAAAATAACGTTTCGTTGCATTACTGTGCTAAAAACAACGGAAACTGAAACACAATCGGCATCTAAGCCTTGTTAATAACAGAAATTATCCGTTGTTACGTACGAAGCATTTTTCACTCAACCTCATTGTGCTCAGTGGCACAAAAGAGTGGCCTTAGAAAGGTTCTTCCAAATTTCAATTTAAAATTCTTTGTCAAAGACGATCGTCTTGCCTAATATGCGTCATGGTGAAATTATAAGAGCTTGTATGGAAATATATACACCCGCTCTTGGAAATAAAAAAATACAGTCAAATTCTCAATAAAAATACTTCACCTTACTTCCACAGTGCACTGCTTGTTGTCTGACCGATTACTTTGCTGAAACGGGGCCATTTTAGCAAGTTAACCATTTCTTGGTTTCCTACTCTTAAGATAAGATAGCAAGGCTGCACACTCCATTTCCAAACGCCCGATCCGAAAAGCGAAAAATGTCTGAGCGGCCACAAATTGAACGCAGAACCCAAGTACATATACTGTAGTTTCATTTCAATTCCCTACCAGCTCAATCCTTCCCGTGAGACCGACGCAAAACGGCAGTTTGCTTCCAAAATTTCCATTTTTCACGTTTCTTGTGAACCGTGTACACATTCACCACGACACACGACCAATGAATCCAGACTGGTAACCCTGCCTCATTTGCAAACTGAGCCCAACCTAGGACCACACGGTCACTTGGCATCAACAAATCAAAATCAATAAAACTCTTGAAGCGGTCAGACATTTAAGTCCTAATTTGAGATCAGATAACTTTAAACTCACACATTTTTCGTTTGATCGGCTCGACGACGATAGATAGATAGATAAGGTTTACAAACGCGAAATTTCCAGCTTACTAAGTTACAACTAATTAATTAATTTCCTAATTAAAAATTGTTACAGAATGACAAAATTACAAGCATGCGTCGAATTCCTATGTAAAATAAGAGACAAGTTAATATCTAATAATCACCTACGATAAACGTAACTTAAGAGAAAGCTATTCTTGCATCTTTCAGTTTTACAACTCAGATGAATAAATGTTCTTTGTTCTCTCAGATAGTAGCCGGGTTGGTATTTGCTTGGAAGTAGTTTATTAAGACTGTGAGATTGATTTGCACATATTTCATTGAACAACTTTGCTGCGATTGCCTCTCTTCTATCATACAGCGTTAAAAGTCCAGATATTTCCAGAGCCTTGGCATACGAAAGCTCGGGATAAATAATCTTCATAGCACGTTTTTGAAGTCTTTCTAGGTCTTCGCTTAAATAACTTGGTAAAGCGCGATGGAAAACTGGGCTGCCGTACTCCAGAGTAGACCGAATGCATGTAATGTAAAATAGAAGAAGCTCTTTTGTGGCGACAAGCGATCTCTTCAACTGTCTTAGAAAATATAACCTTGTAGAAACCTTCCTAACTAGCTGTAACACATGGGCATTCCATTTTAAATCACTACTTTTATTGAGTCCTAATAATTTCATACTTTTCACGGTCTCAAGGGTCTGACGGTTAACCCAGATAGGATCAAATTCTGGTTCGTTTTTTGCGAAGCTAATCCTAAGCTCTTTACATTTCCTTTCGTTTAACTGAAAACCATCTTCCCTTGCTTGTATTGCGAGATCGTCTACCATTTGCTGAATACAGTTCTCTTGGCCTTTAACCTCTGAAATTGTGGTATCATCAACATATTTGTAACGAATGTAACGCCATTCGGAGAAGTAATCCTCGGCCAGTTTAACTCTCTGTCTTCTATCCGATAAAAAGTCAACAATCCAGCATAATATGTGGTTCGGAATATCGTAATCTAAGAGTTTACGCACTAAGATGTTGAGATCAATTAGATCGAACGCTTTACGGAAATCAAATAGAACCACCCTAATCACGGCCGAATTCCCATCGGAGCTGACGTGCCAGTTATGGATCATGCTAACAAGTGCGTGCGTAGTGCATGATTTAGGTATTGTCCCATATTGTCTTTTGTCGATTTTCTTTAACACGGCAGGTATCACAAATTATTGAACAATGTAATCTTCTGCGATCTTGGAAAGGATGGGCGTAAGGGAGATAGGGCGAAGGTGCTTATTGATATCTTGGATAGGTCTTTGCTTGGGGACAGGGACGATATCTGCCTCTTTCCAAGATAAGGGCAAACGGCCTTCACGAAGGGAGGCATTCATGATATCCATGATGGATGGCGCCAAAAGATCCGCATTCTCCTTTAAGAGCCATCCGGGGATACCGTCCGGTCCTTGTGCCTTAGCTGGATTAATAGAGCATAACTTTCTAAAGATAGAAAACGCTGATATTGGTGAGAAATCATCATTCATAGTTCTGCTCGAAGACACAAAATTGTCTCCCCTAAATAGATTGTGGGTAAGCGGTTCAAAAACCTCCATTGGGGCCAAGAAAGCTGTGTTGATGTGGTTTGCAAGGTCAGCTGCTGATAGACTACGAGCACCTTCTAAGTGATGAACGGACTTTAGGACATTATCACGTGACCCCTCCATTCCACTAAGTTTCTTGATTTCGCCCCACCACTTAGCTGGGGAACATCCTTTTAGATGTTGCACTTTACACTCGTAATACTTCGTACGACATCTTTTACGTTCTCGGTTAATAAGATTTCTCAGATGGTTAAACTCCGCTCAGTCTCCTCGGTTTAAGGCCACTTGTCGCTTTCGAATCAAGGTCTTAACGGTTGAATTTATCCATGGTGGTTCTGTTCGGTGGAAAATTTTGGGCTTCATCGGCGGGTAAGATAGAATCAAGGCCAGTTTTGATGATCGTTTGTAACATCGACACCTTTCCTTCGCAAGTGGTCATAGCTCTGATCATCGCCGCAGTAACATCGACTTCATATAAATACGTTTGCATTGCAACACGATTACTTGGTCGTAAGTCCCTTGAAATAACAGTTTGTATTGTTTGCGATGTTTTAACCCTTTGCTTTGGCTGTACTTCAACTGAGCTATGATCTGAAAGACCAAAAGCGGGACGTTCAACCGGGGTGTCGTAGTAATCCTGGAGGTTGGTAAGAATCTTGTCGAGAGTGTTTTGCCCACGAGTAGGAAAATGCACAATCTGCTTCAGTTTGAAGTTTGATTTGAGCCTTGGATCGTTCAGATGGTTAAGGTCACCGAGTACTAGAAAACCGCAATTTTAGTATTTAGACTCCAATTCCATTAAACACTTAGTCAAATAGTCCAACATCATAGAATTTGTTGCTTTTGGTGGATGATAAACAACACCAGCAATAATACTTGAGATGCCCCTTGGGAGACGAGTCGGGCGCATTTTAATCCACAATACCTCAAAAGAACATTTTTCGTCCTCGGGATCCTCCAGAACAGTAAAAGGGATTGATGATTTTATATACATGCACACCTATAGCCTATGATAGCCGATAGCCTCTGTCTTTGCAATTTCTGAGGAAAGGAGCAACTTGCAGTGAAACTGCCCGACGACTTTTCAGCAAAAAATCATCGCGCCTCGTAATACAGCTGATTCTTTCGTGAAAATTTTGCTTTTTGTTTGCTGAGGGGATTACTCCAGAGGGACGAAACTCAAGGGAACTAACCGAGGGGAACCTTCGCCGCACTTAGTGCAAAGAAATAAAATGTTCGGGCCACAGAAACGAACACAGCATTTATTCTTAACAAAGATTTCGCCATAGAAAACAAAACACAAACTAACCATTCAGCAAAGGGAGTTTTTTGTTTTTTGATGCACGTGGTTCTCTTTCGTAGGACTGAATCGTACTCGCAACTTCCATTTCTTCTCTACCTCTTCTTTACTTTACTTGAGTAAGATGAATCACATTTCTCGGTAGAGCTTGCTGAAGGTAGGTATACATAGCTTTTATTTCAAGAGTATTTCAACGCCGAATGATACAAAATTACGAGAGACGTGAGAGATTCGTAAGTGTCAAGAGACGGTTTTCACAGTTTTCTACTTCATCACTCGCTTATTCGTTACCAGTCCACGGGACACTTTCAGACAAAATAGGAGCACTTTAGGGCCCGGAAAAACCGATTTTTGAATTCTTTGAAATTTTTCTTCTATCAGAATTGCTTTTTACGTGTGATAAGCTAAATATTTGCGTAAAAAAAATTCGTCTTGAAGGCACTTTAAGAAAGTTTGTGAATCGGCAAAAACGATAAATAAGAATGACACGTCCCAAAATGGACGCTAGTAATGTCTAATTACTGAACAAATATATATCCCATGACTGCGACATTTCTGTTTCCGTTGTCTGCTGTGTGTGCTGCCACGTTTCCACAGGTGTTGGCACCCGGCGCTGTACCAAAACCGATTCTAGAATCACAGCTTTCGCAGTCATTTTGGTCGTTACCAAGGATGCCAATTCTTGCCTTGGGTTGGTTAGCTCGCGGGCTGATTGTATTAAACCCTTCTTTATTACAATTAAGTTGCAAGGAGCCCTCGGAACCGAGAAGCGACTTCCATGCATCACGACCAAGTGACGTATTACGATATTCCCCGTCGGCAATCAATGAGTGCAAAGATTCAGCCGTCTTGTTCATCAACATAAAGTTTACTTGTCCGCCAGTTTTCATACCAAGGCAGATCTTAGTAAAGTTTGTTTTCCAGTAAGTCGGTAGCTTGGTCTCTTGGTCATCTAACCCTGTCATCCCCGCCTTAATGTTCAATCCGGTCTTATTGCTCCAGATCTCAGAATCATAATTGAAGGTGTTCTGCACAATAATGGTAATATTGTAAGTTAAAAAAAATAGGTTTTGTAATGGAAGATTACACGAGTTTCCATCTTTCGATTATCATTTCACCTTAGATCCATTTATCTTCATAACCAGTGTCCAACCACCGTCTCCACACAAACCAAGACTCGTCGTGTGACAGTAAACTAAAATTTTGGTTGATCCAAACTTCAGAGGGAAGGATTGGTTAATGACAGGACTGAAAAATAAGAACGTTTCCTTTAATAGAAATCCCTATCTTTGGTGTGATAAATAGGATCCAAAGGTGATTTTAATAACTTTTCAGAGACAATGAAGAAGTGAGCTATAAGCATTTACTTACCCAAAGTTCCGTTGCGAAGTGCAATGTTTAATATTTTGTCGATTTCTCAAATGTTTCCATTAACTATTGTGTTTCGTTCACCTCGAGAGTCCAACGAGCAATGGCTTGCCATAAGTTCGATAACATATTTAGAGATAGCACAAGTTGTTACTGAGTTTTAAGTCCCCTTAAAAGATTGAGATCATGGCGCTGGAGATTGATTTGCCCTCAGATTGCAAATTAACTTGTTCGTCCACCTATGCTATCGCTGTCAACTTAAGTTGCACTCTTCAAAACATTTCGAAAGACGTTGAGAGAATGATTATAAACTACAGCGAATCTGAGGAATGCAACATATTAATTTTTCTAAGGTAGAAAAGCACCGAAATAGGAAGCAGTAACCAGACAAGGATGAAGAGGCGAATAATGTCTGTCAAAACGCTATGCTTAACTGCCATCATGCATCCATGGCGTTGTGAAAGTCTGGAAAGATTAATGCTATCACTTTTACGTATTGCTTCGAACACTACTTACAAGCCCTTTTCTTTGTTGTCGTCGTTAATCTCCTTACAGTTCTCAGCAGCTTGGACAAATTGAACACATCAGAAAGTTGATTAGACGCTTAACTAAGTATGTATATTGATGCCTAAATACTGATATTTTTTTACAAGTCTTTCATTTAATTCGCGTCAATGTATTTTGCAAGTGTCGAGACTGTAATCATGATAACTGCGAAGCTAAAGCTCAGATCAAAATTACCGTGAATTTTTTTCAAAATTCACGTGCACCCGAAACTCAATTTTTACTAAATACGAAATAAGTGATATTTGCACTGACCTTATAAAGGAAAAGATATAGCGTCACAGAGGTAAAAACGGTCATCCCCGATAAATATTTTATCGTTCAACAAAAATTGTAGCTTTATGGTAATAAATAAGAATAATGCTGCCATTATATTCTACCCCATTTTCTGCTAATTATTAACTTAGCAGTTTACCCTACCCACAGCTATAGAGGAAAAAAATGATAATGCGGTTTTCTGTAGAAATGATATTACCTTTTTCACATTTTTCTCCAACAAAACCTGGAGCACAAGCACATATGAATTTGCACCTCTCGTTCGCTAGATAGCAAGTCCCTCCGTTTTTGCACGGGTTAGAACAGCAGGGATACTTGAAAAAGGGGAAAGTACCATGTATTTTTAGTCTTTTCTATACATGAAAGTCATTAACAATAGCCTCATAGCATTTAGACGTTTTCCATTTGTTTTTTACGCTATTATACTTTCACATCATATGGCAAACCTTTCTTAAAGTTTCGTTGATCTCTGTGACGTGTGTGTTTGTTCTATTCAGTGCAGACTTGAGCTGATTCAAATATGAATCGAGCTTTTCTACCTGAAAGAAAAAGATGAAAGATGAAATGTAAGGAAAATCTCGTTCGTTCGTTCATTTAGCTGATTGGGTGTTACTTGCTTTGTCGCTTTGATTATTACGTGGGCTTTCTGTGGTAGACTGCGTTACAAATTTGGTTGAGTGTCGGTGTAGTCAGAAATGGAAATTAACCACGCGCTTGTGTTTGTCAATTAATTTAAGCCCTTTTGACTTGGAGTTACTCTGACTCGGATGGATGACCGCATATAATATCTCACGTTGTTTACTTTTTTTCCTGTCTTAATTTTTTGATTTTATTCCTGAATCTTGAAGAGTCACCACTAGATTTGTTATATTCCACGTAAAACCAGATTCACTGCAAATAACGACCAATGCATCCCGCGTCAACACCTCCAGGAGTCTTGTTCCGTGACGAATTCTAAAATCTCTACAATCACTAATATAATGTAATGACTTCAAACCTCATTAACAAAGGATGAATTGACGGCTGCTAATGTTTTCCTTGTTTCTTTTTCAGACGTCATGAGTAATTTCTTTGAATTGTCCAAATCGTTTCGAACAGAGCTAAGTTCTGCATCAGTCTATGCAGAGAAAATACAAAACTTATTTAGTAAGTAAAGATTTCGAAGGTTAAACTTACACGTCTGGAACTTGATCAATCTCATCGAGTACTTGATTGAATGATGATCCGATCAACGTAAGCCGAGAAAATTAGCCCTACAACTTACTTATCTTTGATCGTCTAGCTGGTAAAAGGAAAAGTCTTTAAAAGTTAAATGGAACAGTCTTATCCCCGTTATTGGAAAGAACTTCAATATTAAATTCAATATTTAAAAAAAACTCGCATTCAAACAAAGATTGCATCACTTTGATCACACTTTACTTTTCTGTTGTTTATTGTTTCAATACATTAAAAAAAAAGCCTTTTGAATTCGTTACGGTATAATACGGCAATATCCGGAAACATTAATCATAGGCGAGAAATTCTCAATATTGCTCACGATTATGAAAAGAGTCGGTGCAGTAGATCTCACTCAGATATCGGAGCTTCAAAAATACTAAAAAGTCTCATCATAATTGCTCACTACGCTGTTAGATGCAAAAGTAGAACTCAAAACCACCGCTTGTATGGACCGATAATGCCAACATTCATTCCAAAGTGACATTTGATACGAATCCGTCTCACCTCCAGTAAAGTGCCGTTAACTTCGTTAACGTCAACGTTTGTCCTTTTTAAGTAAGTCGTCAACTGAGACAAGGCAGCATCAAGGATATTCAGCTGAGTAAAGAAAAATTGTGAACGATATTTATTAGGTATGGCATTGGTTCGTTTCGAAGGAATAACCCTTACCCAGACTTTTCTCTAAATACTTTCATCCTTTTAAAACCTTAAGAAAATCAACATGTCAGCCAAATCCGAAGGGAAACTTTTTAATTTCCTTTAGCAGAAAGCTTCAAATCCCAGTTTCATTTTCAAAGTTGCACAGCACATTATTTTAGGGTCCGTGACGCAGAAAATCGCAGTAAATTAATTTTTCTAAAAATTTAAGAAGTCAAAAGGGAAAAGCAAAGATGAGCGATTTATCTTCTTCTTCCGGCAATGACACATACTGCCCTGGCATTCAGATCATGAGTTTCCAAAAACTATATATTAAATCAACAGCTTAGACAAACCAACCTATATCACACGAGTAAAGAAGTGAAATAAATCTTAGAATACTGACCTTTAGTGTCTTAGTTGTGTTAACTGCATCCAAGGCTACTTTTGCATCTGCATCAGAAGCCATTAGTTGAATCCTTGTGCTGTTCGCATCATTTCGTATGGTGTCTAACCATGCCTTGGTCTGAGGGAAGAAGACTCGTGCATTAATCTGAATAACTATGGATTCACCATACGTATGGAGTCATCATTTGTGATTCACCAATTCCGATTCAACTCAAATTGCTCTTCATTTTTGTGAATATTTCATTAACAGTAGACTTAATTTGGAAAAAAGTAAATTCAATTCATCCTCTCTTTCATACTGTTCTTTTCCTTTTAGAACTTACGAAAATTCTATCTTTCTACAACTGAGAAAAGAAATTTCGAACATTTTTCATGGTTTTCGGTCTAGTGTTTCAGACTTTGAACAAATTACCGCGAGTGTGGTCAAGGAAACAACAAAATGCTCTTCTTTACAAGAAAAATTTCTAATGAGTGATGAAGAAGCCATTTCCATAAAATAATCATGTATCTTACATTTATCATTATATATGATTATTAAATGGTAATTTTTTACCATTGCATGTATGTTTCAAATCATCTCACATCTTAAAATTGTTGACACTTCTAAAACTGTTGACTTTCATATCTTTAAATTTCTGTAAAGATTTTACAAGTTCATATGGCATGCAAGATAATGTAAACTCCTGTTAAAAAATGATAAGCTGTGTAAATTCAAGACAAATTGAGGTAAGTGTAATCTTGCAGCTCACCTGCGAGTGGAACGTATGGTTGCCTAAGCATTTGAATCGTTTCATCTTTTTTGTGTGTGAATAAGTTCCTCTACCTTTTCACTTAGGTTGTTGTGTTCTTCTTGAAGGTAATCCAAGGATAAACGGGTACTGTTTAACTCGGCCTCTTTCTCTATCTAAAAACACACAGCGAAATTTACAATAACAACTTTCATGAACTTGGCAGTTTGCAACGCATTCGTCGTTTAAGTACTTCTTATTAACCGAGTTTGAGGTCCGCACTGTAAAGTACGGACCGCTGTTTTTTGGCCGTATGGAAAAAATGGCGCTCCGTAATTTGGAATGGATAGAGGTGAGATGAATCAATTTGTCTAAATGTGAACTTTTTTTCATTCTATTTACAGGCTACTCTGGGAAAGCTGAGACAAATTTTCCGACATCATTAAATTTTACAAGTGCGGATGGTTTGTTGCTTCTAAACAAATTTTGTCCGAGGTGGTAAAATCTTTAAACGTGCGGCCGACTAAATTTTTCCTGACAAAGCCGCGTATTACCAGGAAGGCGATAATTTGTTGGAGAACTCGCGTATATTTAAAACTTTCAAACGACTTCAGATGAATCCTGACTATAGGAGTTTAATATCCATTGGCAAATTTCGCCGGCTGGTCTTTTGAGCAGATCAGGCGCTGACGGAATTTGACAGCTTGAAATACGGGTACAACAGAAGAGACAAAAATTTGTCCATTGATATTCTTGCGACAATTCTAGTTTTCTTTGCTAGTAAAGGTAAGATAGACCCTAAGGTGGGATTTTTTGGCAGTTACATTACACGTCTCGCTCGTGTCAGCCTCGTTTTCTTGCTGTGAACGATTCTCCCTGTGAGGCTCTTGTCTCACTAATTCCTGCTCTTTCTAGGCTAAAATGTCGGGTCTACTTATGCTAGGTTAAAACTATGGCCAGATTCAGGCTCTATTGCGGCCAAACAATTTTGTGCGGGATTTTTTAAAAAAACAAAAGATTGTCTTGGAGAGACAATGCCGTCCAACTATTAACAAAGAGACATAGTTTGACGCTACTGGTTTGCAGATTTAATGAATGTAACCGAAGAAGTTACGATTCATAGACCCAACGTTTCGACACTCCTGTCTAGTGCCTTCATCAGGGGTGATCTAAACGCTGCAACAAGAGGTCCTTTTATGTGATCACTAATTAGCGGCCTTTTTTCTGACAAGGTGTAAATAGGCGTCAGGAAGCAAACCGCCATCGTCACGATTTAAAGGAACGTGGGCGGAGTTAATATGCCAAGCCTCCAAGATCACCCCTGATGAAGGCACTAGACAGGAGTGTCGAAATGTTGGGTCTATGAATCGTAACTTCTTCGGTTACATTCATTAAATCTGCAAACCAGAGTAGCGTCAAACTATGTCTGATTGTCCAACTGGTTGCCGTGTTAACTTTAATATATATTAACAAAGAATTGAAAAACAAAAAGGCCCCGCATCCCCAGGGGAAACTCGAGAGCTAGTGAAGACCTAAGGTTAATTTTTCATCGCAAATCACTATTTAAAATTTTTGTTCAATGCCTCTCACCAAATCTCGCTGAAGGCGCGTCATGTTCACTTCCAAGGAACTAATCTTGATTACATCAGCAGACAGCTTTTCAACGGACGTAGTGAGTGCTGAAAAAAATAAAAGATTTCTTTCAGGCAATTCGTTTGAAATCGAATGAAAGAAGAGCTATGAAATTGCCAATCAAAAATATCTTCGTCAGGAAAAATGAATTCGCCTAAATTTGAATCAAAATCGATTCCTCCTCGATTCAAAAGTTACAGCATTTATCCAAAATTGTTATTACTAGTATTATCATTATTATCAGCATTGTTATATATTTATTGTCTATAGTCAGGCCACCCGGTGCGAAGAGTTTAAAAACGAATCATCAGTTTTTCATAGAGGATTATGTGATCAGAAAGGACTGGTGTGCAAAAAATATTACTTGCGGATATTTTGCGAGTTCCGCAGTATTTTTCCGAGCCCTGTAAGGATGATGAAATACAACAGCGACGATTAAATGTTAAACCATTGAGTGGATTTTTTATCCCACTACCATTTCATTTTGTAGTCTTTTGACTTATAATTTTAGAACTAGTTTGCAGACTGCGTGACATACGATTGTTGGACCATTGAAATGTGTTTTATGACTAACGAAAAAACTCTGATGCACTTAGTCGCTTTAATGGTCAAGCCTGAGAAAAGTAATAAAACCAAATTTTGGATGTTTTAGTGCGGCCATTTTGTTGCTTCGCTTCCAAATTATTATACTAACATATGTCTACTTGCTAACCTTCAGTTTTGGAGCAATTACATTTTTCACCGAAATTCCCCCACAGCGACAGCAAACTCAGAATAATGGCGACGATGGAAAGTAAACACGCAAAAAAGAACAAGGGCAAATATCTCCCGTTCGATCGCCTTGCCGGGTGTGGTTTCTCATGCGTTTCGTAAAGTGCGCTCCCTGGATCACTTGCTGCTCCAAAATTGGCCTCTTTTAAACTAATTTGTTTTAGTCCCAGCGACTCATTCGTGGCAGAATCGTCTCCGACATAACCTTTGTTTATAACGATTTTTCGAGATGAAGTGGGCATTGCGATAAAGTGCAAGTCACTCTCAGCCAAACCGAAAGGTGAAATCAGATCACACCCTGAATAGGTGTTATTTTGTATATCACATCTCCAAGTTAAATCACAACTAAGCGCAAGCGAGGCGTGACAGCCTTCGGATTAAATTCGTCCGGTTAACAAGCTAAATTGATAATATCGCCAGAGCAGTCAACCTGAACTTGCTGTTAAATTTGGTCATCCTTCGATCTGACTAGGCTTGTTGTGATGTTCGGTCAACGAACTCTATTTCAGCCTTTTTTAGACGGTTGGTTTCAAGATTTCGCAAAATTTTAAATTTGATTAATGGGTTCTCAGAAAGACGTCGTCAGTTCGGCTTAAACAAAAAAACAATCAACAGTGTAAGGATGGATTAACTCTTTTGTTATTATCTCTAATCAATCCATTTATCGGATGTGATTGAAGAAATGACTAATTTTTGAATGAATTTTTTTTTTCGTTTGCCCACCCGATTTTAGTCGTTGTAAACCATTTCACTCATCATGAGAAGACCTGTAATTTTTTTTTTCGTGATTGAAAAAAAAAAGAGAACAACAGTGTGTTGAAGGATTAACTCTTTTGTTCTTGTCTTTAAACATTCCATTCATCGGACGTGATTAAATTTTTGGTTTTGCTTTTCGTTTAGCATATTGTCTTGACTTCAGTCTTATGCACGTGTGCATTACTTGTATTTTTTTAAGCCCTCTAAAACGTCACTTTTCGATTTGATAAGAGGGCATGTTTTGAAGCCTTTTCGAATGTCAAAATAAACAGGGCAAGATCGGGCGATTTTGAAGTGCTTATGAAAGGCATTTGTCAATACATCGACTGTCACTAAATCATCATACAGTGAGCAAATGAACAACTTTGAGTTGTCAAATTTTGATTTGATATGAGGACGTGTTTTGAAGCCCTCTTATGTCAAAGTTTCAGGGTTGGGTGATTCTTAAGACTCGACTGAAGGCGATCCAAGCGCCAATAGCTTAAATTAACCATTAGCTTGCTTTATTAAATTCGGTCTCAAAATATGTTTTTCTGATCAAAATTGCACATGATTTAAAAGCCTTTCAGCGGAAAACTAGTTTAAACAATGGAATTAATAGCTGTGTTTTACATAGAATTAGTAAAATTTCTACGTAAAGACTTGTGAATCAAGTATTATCATGAAACATTCATGACAGAAAACAACTGTTTTGCTGTAGAGATCCATTCATTCTGTTCATCTCACAATTTGGGACGGTGAAGTCAAAGTTGGAGTGTGAGAGCATTGGAAGGATGTTGGCCCCGATGGGACCTCAATTGTAAGTTTGTACGCGAGTTAATGAAGTTTGACACTCGCTGTGTTCCCCTATCGTAATTATCAAGAAAAAAACCGCTTGGCGGTAAAATCGATGATGTCAGTTGTTTGGTCACTAGCTGTTTTGTATGATGTAAGGTAATACAACTCAACTCGTACACAATTTGTATTCTGATTGTTTCCTGACAGTTTTAATAAAGTTCACAGGGAGGCAAAGAGTCAATGCGTGAGGCGAGATCAAGCTAAACATTTCTACGTGACTAAGTGACAATTGAATTTACAGAAAGGCAAGTGACCTGAAATTTAAAGTTTTTCCTTCACAACCATGACACTTAAAAAAGTAGTCTAATGGGCACGTGAATTTGTCTAACCCATCCATTCTAGAGGCGATATCTTCTACAAGTAAAATTGCAAGGTGTTGCTCTATGTCTCGTTTTTAGCGTCCACTAAGATAATTTTTTTTCACGACTCATGAACCTTGTACATAGGGTATGAATCTTTGAACCTGTAAACGTTTGAACATAGTGTATCTAGTTTGTGGCTTCGCTCACCGTTTGATAGTAGACAATCATACTTCGAATCCTAATGAGGGTTCACGCTCGTCACAAATGTATAACTCTTTTTGATCGACCTAACCAAAGAGTAGCCTCAGATCGATTAAGTAAGCTGCAACAAATTCATCTTAGTTCTACAAGACTATGCAGGTTTACATTATCGATTGCACCGAGAGAAAGAATTTCAGCTATGAATGTACGAACAACGTGTAACCTTAACTACGCTTTATGCGAGGACATCAACAAGAAGTATGGGTCACCTTTTGCTCAGAAGAATACCACTCTCTGGAGCTTAAGAAACGTTTTGAATCGGCAAAAACGACAAATGTGTGCAAACCGTCATGAAAAAAAATTGACGCTAACGAGAACTCATGTATAGTTACTGAACAAATATATATCCCATGGCTATAACATTTTTGTCTCCATTGTCTGCTTGCAATGCTGCCACATTTCCACAGGTGTTGGAACCCGGGGCTGTACCAAAACCGATTCTTGAATCACAGCTATTGCAGTCATTTTGGTCGTTACCAAGGATGCCAATTCTTGCCCTAGGGCGCACAGCAGACGGTGTGCGTGCATTAAACCCTTCTTTATTGCAATTCAGTTGTAAGGAGCCGTTGGAACCAAGAAGCGACTTCCATGCATCACGACCAAGCGACGTATTACGATATTCCCCGTCAGCAATTAATGAGTGCAAAGATTCAGCCGTCTTGTTAATCAAGATAAATTTTAATTCTTCGCCATTTTTCATACCAAGGCAGATCTTGGTAAAGTTTGTCTTCCAGTAAGTCGGTAGCTTAGTCTCTTGCTCATCAAACCCTGTCATCCCCCCCTGAATGTTCAATCCGGTCTCATTGCTCCAGATCTCAGAGTCATAATGGAAGGTGTTCTACAGAATGAGGATAGCATTATCAATTAACAACTAGACTTTGCGATAAGAGATTACCCAATGTCAATTTATCAATATTTTCATTTTTTTTCATACGTTCGTTAGTTCCATTAATTTAAAACAATTTTTGTTCATTGCTCAAAAACTGATACTATATCGTCTGTAGGCGAACCTCCGAGAAAATAAATCATTGTGCGCCGATGAAATTTATAAATCACCCGTTAGACAATTGAGTTTCTAGCAAGATGATCTAGAAGATGCAACATCTGTGATAACCATTTGTGTAGGGTACAGAGACATCTCAGAAGCTTCTTATTTGTTAATGGCGAGAATAAAATCTAAAACGATTGTTATTCTAACTTGAAACCCAAAATTGCCAAAAGAGTGACTTAAATCTCGTATATATTTATCAAACTATTCACAAGCGGCTTTCTTTTAAATTGATCAATACAAATACATAAAAAGTGTAAACCTTAGCCGAGGAAAAAAACAAAACATTCCATTGTGTAGTAAATTCCTGTAATAGTTTTCTTCCGGGTTCCCTTTTTCTTTTTTCTTTTTGCTTATTTATTGATTCGTTTTGGCCTCTGTTCAATTTATTAGTATAATGATTGAAAACTTGAATAAATTTTTTGCACCTTAGATCCATTGATCTTCATAACCAGTGTCCAACCACCGTCTCCACAAGGACCAAGACTCGTCACGTGACAATAGACTGAAATTATATCTGATCCAAGCTTCAGAGGGAAGGATTGGTTACTGACAGAGCTAGAAAAAGACGAATTTTGCTTTGAAAAGATATTGCTCTCAGAGGTATATTGTGGAGAATTTAAACTCGTACGAATTGCATTGAACACTACTTACATGCCCTTATCATCACTGTCATCGTTGATCTCCTTGCAGCTCTCAGCAGCTCAGGCAAAGTGAACATACCAGAAAGATTTATTAGACTCGAAACTTAAGATGCATAATGATGCGTATACTTTAAGATTTGAGAGATAGCCTTACTTATTTAAGGATGGCCGGAAATGGTTGTCTAGAAACTGCTTTAGTGATGCTTATCTAGATAAACATTTGCTAGCAGCCAGAGGGCGGAGGTGCCCATTGAGATTCACATGTGTACCAGTTAGTAATTAACACGTGCATAAAGTTGGCTGACTTCATATAGGAAGGGAAAAAGCGTAAGAAACTGTCGTTCTCATGATTCTATTATCAACTGAAGAAAGTTATAGCTTTGCAATCATACCTTTGAAAATTGCTACCATCATATTACACTACATTTTTATGAATAACTAGTTTGCCTAGTTTACCTTACGCACATCTTTAAGCCAGAAAAAGTAGTTGAGCAATTTGTTGTAGAATTAATCTTACCTTTCTCACATATTTCTCCAACGAAACCTGAAGCACAAGCACAAATGAATTTGCTCCTCTTGTTTCCTGGATAGCAGGTCGCTCCATTCTTGCATGGGTTGGAATAGCAGGGAAACTTGAAAAAGTGAGGAAAAGTTGCTATAGAGAGCTCCTAATAACAATTATGAATAATGACAGATTTCTTCAGCGCCATATTCATTGGCTCATGGCGCTTTACAACACGTTGTGAGGGACTCTGGCTAGACTGAATTGAGTAGATTAAAATTTTTGAAGGAAATTTGGGCAGATGCCCCCATTTTTAGAATTAATACAAGACCACAAATCGGGGAGCTACATCCCCTACTCCTTGCTGACCAGTACAGGGAAGATGCAGGAGACGAGACCTACGGATTTTCATTCTTATCCGAGAAGACTAGCAAGTCTAAATGTCATTTCAAAGGAAGCACATTCTCCTCAGCTAAATTTAAGATGCTGGGTGTTGTTCCAGTCTGGGGCTTCAACCTTCGACCTTCCGCACGGCAGCCCAGTCCGGCACTTTACAATACTGGCCAGGCGGCGGTTGCAACAAGTTTATTGCATTGTTGTATTTTGACATTATGACAAACCTTTCTCAAAGTCTCCTTCAGCTCCATGACGTCAGAGTTAGTTCGATTCAGTGTAGAATTTAGCTGATACAGAAACGTGCCGAGCTTTTCCAGCTGAAAGAATAAGAAGACTGTACAGTCTATGAGAAGAGATTCTGTTGGAATTTGTATTCTTACTTTGATCGGCTGATTGGTAACTTACTTTGGTTGTTCGATCGTTGTTTGCTCTATTTGCCGGTTGGACGTCACGTACTTTTTTTTTATTAATTATCTCGCGATGAATTCTTAGATTTTTAACCAACACCGAGATTAAAAGAAAAAAAAATTGCACCTCATACGCAAAGGATGTGTTGACGGCTTTTAGTATCTGTCTTGTGTCATTGTCAGACGTCATGAGTTGGAACTTTGATTGGTCCAAGTCTTTTCGTAGAGAGCTGACTCCTGAATCAGTCTATGCAGGGGAAAGACAAACTAATTGTTTCATCTTTTAAGAATTAGCGATTATGTAATACCCATGTAACGTTAGAACATATGGGAATCTAATGTCAACAAATGCATAAAAACACACTGAAGAAGGATCTAACTGTCAATCGTTCGCCGAGTTGGATATAATCTCGAATCGCGCGCATCAATTTTTGAAAAGAATGAGGTTAAAAAAAATTAGATCAGAGTGAAACAGCGCCGACAACAAATTAACAAAAGATTGAAAACCAAAGAGGTGCTATCTCAACAACCGAAGCGCGAGAGTCCACAAACGCTACAGTAGAGCTTAATGCAATCTATTTCTGAAACATGAATTAAATACTCCTCACCGAATCTCGCTGAAGGCTGGTTATTTTCTCTTCCAAGGATTTTATCTTGCCTACATCAGTTATCAGTTTGTCAACGGACGCAGACAACGCTAAAAGAAAGAAAATTATCAAGCACTCCCTCTGGGAAGTTCATTTAATTTAGCACAAATGAAGAGATATCTAATGAATTAGTTGCCAGGAATCGGATCCTTGTGTTTGCGGCAAAAGTTTTGGGATCGCCACGGGGCAAACATTGCAACTCACTAGAAAAAAATGCATGCATGTACAAGGAAAGCGTAAGTTTTTGTTTGAACAACCATGATCTATGTGGTAAAATCTACCTACTAACTTTTCTCCATGCGCAATAGTTATTGTGATATTGACAACGTGTAATGATCTCGGTTTATTGATATATTTTATAATATATTTCTCTGTAATTCTGAAAAAAACCTTACACTTCCCCTCGTATAAACATCATCTACATCCACTTATGATAAAAGTGCGATGAAAAAAGCGTTGATCTCTCTTTAAAATCGTTTTCGAACGTCGAAACAACCTTTCGCCATATATTTCCTTCTAGCAACTTGCAATGCTTGCCCAATGACCATCCCAAAAATCTTTGCGCAAACACAAGGATCCGAATACTGGCAACTCGTTCATTTTCACTCAAAAAGAGCATGCAATTCATTCAATTTATTTCTAAAGAAGAGATACAAGAATTTAAGTTTTCATTCAAAATATCTTCGTAATGGAATACAAATTTTCCTAAATTTGAACCAAATTTTATTCCTCTTCGATTCAAAATTTTAGAAATGCATTTGATATCATTATGCCTAACGCCTGTACCGCTAATTAAAGATTTCAGACTTCCTCTAGACTTTCATTTCCGAGAGAAATTAACTTCGATAAAATTAACCATTGAAAGGCTTCTCATTAGAACCAATTGTTTCCCTTTTTTCACCTTACATTTTTTTCGTTCAGTTATGCAATTTTGCCCGGATTGAACGATCGAATGTGATTTGAAGCGAGTTGTGCGAAATCATCGTCACGCAATATCAGAAGCCGTTGTGATTTGAAGCCCAAGTTTTAGTAAACACGAAAAAGGAGATAAGAAATGTTTAATTATGTCACCTTCTGGTATCAGATGTAACCAGTGAGGCTCTGCAAAAGGTGAACGGACTCTGAAAAACCAAGTTCGTTTTGACCTTCCCGCTCATAACAGACTGAAGGAAAGTATAATCGTCCTAATACTCGATGTCTACGCTGCACGAGAAAAACGAGCGAGTCAAAAAAATCATTATCTATCCGAAAGAGTTCACACCTCTAAAAATTATTTCATGTCAAATTTTGCCCATCGTTATGGTTTGAACCTTATTTAGGACAAAGGCCCTATTTTTCCCTAGCCTCGAGGACTTTTTCATTGGATGTTTATGTCAAGCTCAGAAGCTAAAGCTCAACTGCCTCAAATGACCCAAACGGCTCAAATGACCCAATCGTTGTCAGTACTCTGAATATTAAACAAGCTATTCACTGGCGTTTTCATGAGGCAGGATCAAGAGCAGGAAATAATGATCACGATCGATGAACATGTTGTTTTCATGGCGTTCCAGAAAACAAACTGTTCATTAGCGTTTCCATGGAGCAAGAATATAATGGACGAACATCATGTTTTCTTTACGTTCACGTTCGTGTGTGAAAACACTTGGAGAATTCAGCGCTCGTACGCTCACGAAAACTACAAAAAAAAAATGCAAGCTGTTTACTACTGTTTCCATAGAGCAGGAAAACAATGGACAAGCAACACGTTTTCATGGCATTCGCCGTTAGTAATTCTGTGGGGAAAATGCTTGGAAAATGCAACGTTCGCGCGCTTTGGAAAACTATAGAAAAACGTTCAGGAAAACTAGCTGTACACTAGCGTTTTCGTGGAGCGGGAAAACAATCAACAAACATCATGTTTTCATTGCATTCACCGTTGATAACTCTGTGGGAAAACGCTTGGAAAATGCAGCGTTCGCGCGCTCGGGAAAACTATGGAAAAACGTTCAGGAAAACAAGCTGTACACTAGCGTTTTCGTGGAGCAGGAAAACAATAGAAAAACATCATGTTTTCATGGCATTCACCGTTAGTAATTCTGTGTGGAAAATGCTTGGAAAATGCAGCGTTTGCGCTTGGGAAAACTATGGAAAAACGTCCAGGAAAACAAGCTATACACTAGCGTATTCGTGGAGCAGGAAAACTATCGACAAATATCATGTTTTCATGACATTAACCGTCAGTAATTCTGTGGGAAAACACGTGGAAAATGAAGCGTTCGCGCACACAGGAAAACTACGGAAAAACTTTCAAGAAAACAGGCTATTCATTGGCATTTTCCTGGTGCAGGGTAACATGTGATGAACTTCGTGTTTTTCTTGAGTTTTGTCGAGGGTGAACGGTAAATTTGCCATCCGTTTTCAGATATCAGAAAACATTAGTATGATGTCGAATTTTTCAGTCTTTTACCATTTCGGAAAATTAACGATGAACAATGGTTTTTGTGCCTTGAACGTGTTGATTTTAGGCGAAATATTTTCGGTCAAGCAACTTTTGCCAAACAGTAGTATCCTTTGACCTTTTTTGTGGCCCAAGAGAATTTAGGATAAAATCTGGGATGATTTTACAGTTTAAATATGAACACGACACGAGACTAAAAAATCCTCATTGATGTAACAAGAAATTAGCTTTTGACTGACATTTTTTTTCTTTACTAACCTTCAGTTCCGCAGCAATCACAGCTTTTGCCGAGTTTACCCCATACCAGCAGCAAAGTCAGTAAAAGGGCAGCGGTGGAAACCAAACACGCAAAAAGAATTAAGCCCAAATATCCCTCGTTTGACCGCCTTGCTGGGTGTGGTTTCCTGTCGAGCGTTTCGTAAATTGGATCATTTGCAGCTCTAAAATTTGCGATGTTTTCTTTTGAATTTTCTCTGATTTGTTTCAGTCGTGTCGGTTTTTCAGTGCCAAGATAGTCTACGATGTAACCTTCGTTTAAAGCGGGTTTTCCAAAGGAAGAAGTCATCGCTATGAAGTGCGACTCAGTCTTCAGACAAACTGAAAAATGACTTAAAGCACTGGACAGGTTTGATTATAAATTTGCCTATCACGCCTTCACCTTAACTTGACCTTGAACTAATTGGCCCCAAAGTCAAGGGGCTGTGTTACACTGAAAGTCTGGGCATTATGTTCATTTAGGTTTGACATTTGTAGCTGTCAAATTACCATTGTTCCCCATCGCAATTGGCATGACAGCAGAGTGCACGACGGTAAAAGTCGACGATGTCATGATCCTTTCATCACGTACTGTTGTCTATGATGTTAAAAAATTACAAATCAACATGTAGACAATTTGTGCTCCGATTGTTTCCTTCATTAGAGTTCTACAGTGTCTTGCTTACGCGTTGTTGTGTACGTTTCCAGGTAATTACAACTCAACATGTAGACAATTTTGCTCTGATTGTTTCCTGAGGGCTTTCACTCTCATCGGAAACAATATTTTTTTAATTCTGCCCGTCTAAGGCATTAAAAAAAGTATGAAAGCTAACCCTCACGTGCGTTATCTTTAGATCGACCAAACACATACATGACATTTTTCCCGGGAATAGGTGTTTTCTATCTGGAAAAGTAGTTTTAATTTACTATGAAGACAATTAGAGCTCTAATTAATAGCTGAGGGTTTCAACAAATTTCAGGGCCTTCTCTCTCTTCGAAAACACGCTCTGGAAGTTTCTACACTGTCAGTCTAAAGGAATAGATAAGGATAAAAGCTAACTCTCACGCACGTAACAGCAAATCAACAGAACGCAAACACAAACAATTTCCAGGAAGGATTGCTTTCTAGACATAAATATCATAAAAAGTCCATGTAAAAATTCAGTACTTAAAATAAAAAGATCTTTTAAAGAAAAGGAAAACGAAAGGTTGACGTTTACCCATTAAATATTGGGTTTCAATGATACATAGGACATGTACTCAACCCTCTACTCAGTATGTACACTGAGTCAGAAACACAAAAATACGGAGTATTCAGATGAAATTATGCACAGAATGGGAGGAGTGTTAATAATGCAGTTCGAAGCAAGGAGTGTCCATAAAGTTAAGTTGTTTAACAAAAAATCCTCAGGAGTTCGATGCCATCAAGAAATTGTATCCTGGAAGCTTATATTATGAAACTGATTAGGTCCGTGAAGAAGTCAAACGCATCGTTGCTGCAAGTCACAAATTGCACGCCACAAAGTTCATTTTCCACTTTAATTGATACATCTGTTTTGATATCGCAAGGGTTAGGGTGAGGTTTACAATGACAATTGATAGCCGAATGAAAGGTGAATGAACATTGATAGCTGAGTGTTCGAAACAGGCAAGAATTGTTAATCGTGGTAGTTTTAGTCATTTTTCATAAATTCTTCATCGAACCTGTTTGAAAAGAACTGGTATTTTGTCTTCCTACATTGAGAGATTCTTGGGCTTTTCGCTGTTGGTTGTGTCCCGTTTGGACAGGAAACTAGTAACATAGATTGAAAGGCCGCTCAGTGACCTTTCAATATTCTGGACCGATGGCATGTCTGTACTGCACTACGTAAACAACGTATTGTAATTTCGTCGTTCAAACTCTGCACTTTGGGGCCGGATTTATGTAAGGTCTAAGCGCTTACTGACTATTTTTCGTGTGATTCATATTTATTTATTTCGTTCTTTGTGTTTTTTTTTGATACCTCCTCGTTAGCTTTTTTTTTATTAAGTTTGTTAGCGTTTTTCTTCGTCACTTACACCTTTTCACACGTTTCTCAAACCGCACGTTATTTCTCAGTCCTCTTGTATTTAAAGCCAGTAGATTCTTTTATAATCAATTTCTACGTCAGTTAACCTAAAGTCGCGCTTAGCGCAGTTCCCTGTTTTAGCAGTCAATTTTTTTGCATATACATATTTAGCGTTATCAAGGTAAGTATTTTTCCGTTTCGCTTCGTTTGTATTCTTTTTTTGTTTGTAATTTGTTTGTCTAAATTTGCTAACTTAACTTTCATTTATGTTTTTAGTTTCAACCTACCACTACTGCTGCAATCTAATATACAGCATTATATCGGAGTAAGCTTCAGCCCACCATGGGGAGCTAAGAATGTTGTATTGATTTTTTGCATCCAGAATGTACTGAACTCCTGGGTCATGATTTGTTCATATAGAGCTCCGTACCCTTTACTCGTACTATATACACTTACGTTTACTGCAGTAGATAACCTGGATTCGAAATAATGACTCCTGAGACTAATTGGAGATACCAGCACAAAAAGCATTTCAGGTTCAAATTCTTACATATAACTGTATTGCTTTTGATATAGTTTACGAGGAGTGACAACGATACGCCCTGGCGCTTAAGGCAAAGAGCTTCTGACTAAGCCAATTATTTCGGAAGCAGTAAGTTATCAATGCAGTGTCTATTAAAATTTTTTTCATTTTTTTGCAAGAAGATCTTCATGGGGTTAACCCTCCTATAATTCTACAATTGTAATTTACACTTGTGCACTGACTCGAGATACACGTAAAAATCCAGTGTGGAATATTGTTTTATTAAATCCTTGTATTTACAAGTCGGACTTTACCCGTGTAAATTACACGTGTAAAAGCTCCAAGTGCCCCTGATGTATCTAAGTCATACTTTTATAGCAGTGCTGATTGTAGAATACGAAGTTTCAATTTATCCAGATGCTTCCATCTGACCCAAGTGTAGTCCATTTGCCAGCTCTTCCGAAAAAAACGCATGTTTTAACTAGTTCATACACATGCCATGGTGTTCACGGAGCTCACTTTGAAAACTTCGTCAGAAAACATTACAAACTGCTACGAGTGGCTCACATTAAGAAAAACAAAACCAAGCTACCATTTCGCATTTTTCTCGTCGTAAAGATCATTCCGGCGTCTAATATGTTTGTAACATACTTTAATGAGTTTACATCAGTGCATCACAAAACGATAAGAAAAATAACAAATAAAACTTAAATGAAACGCATTAAGAGATACACAAAAAGAGCACGAAAAATGAGAAATGTTGTTTGGAAACGGTAAAACCGATGCAATACCGAAACTGAAAATTGCTTTGTGTAAACATGCTTACCGGCAAGAATTCACTGAACGCAAATCAAGAAGATAGCAAACGACACCTGACTAAGCCGTCAAGGTCAAGATTTTCATGCCCTTTGCATTAGACAAAGTGAATTTTCTTCTTTTTCTCTTGTTAAGATTATAGACTGATACGGAACTGAGATAAATTACTACATTAATTACATGCATCATCTGATCAAATACTTGTTCCTGGGCCTGCACTATCGGAAAAAGATTGTTTTGGAACATTAATTACGAAGGTATCGTCCGTTACGGGGACAGCCCTAAAATAAAAAAAAGAACGAACATAAAACACGTATTCCGCGAATAAACAAATGCTAGACTTATCTACAAATGATCTTTACCAACTCGAAAAACTAAGCGATTAACTTCAAAACCGAGCCTGTGTTTACACATTAAATTTCTATACAACTGTAAGTAGATTTCACCCACAGATTCCATTTGATTTGAGTTGCGGTACAGTTTCTGAACTGATCATGCAATCTCAAGAGAGCTCGCTGAAAGGGAAGCATGTTTCAGAAACCATATAATTTTTATCTCCACTTGAAAAAAAAATATGTATGAAGAGAGTAGAGTAACCCAACCCCTCGAAAATTGTCTTCAACCATACTACAAAATGAGACCATAGACGCCGCCATTTTAAATCGGCTTAACAGCTTGGCCGTTCTTATTCCTCCTCGGTGATCTACTTTAACAATTGGATGCTGTACTAAGAGGTATCCTTGACTCCAGTAACCTTGACTCAAATAACAAGTTTTACCATGACCGAGCAACACATTTGGCGAACGGTTCAATGACTCTTCGGAATCTCGAAACGTGGTAGAAAGTAAATTTTTATACTTTCTTTCTGATTTTCTTTCCATTGCCTCAAATTCCTTTCCCTTAAATTATCCTCTTGGCATAGCTTTCACAATTTAAGAAGCTAAGGGCAAATTTCTTTCGCTCACCTTTTGACAATTCCCAACATAAAAGAGGAAACATCCTTACTTTGGTATATAGGAGCAGTGTGGTCCCCCTACTTTACTCCAGTAATTGTCACAGTAAAAGCACTCACATCCCATCTGGGGATTTTCGCCATGATCAAAAGCAAACTGACCAAAGATCACGTTCCGGACAAACTTTATATCCATTTCAAAAGTGGGCATCATATTCTTGATTGGAAAGGTTTTTGTGTCAAGGGAAATCAACTGAGTAAAACAAAGAGATTTCAGTTAAAATAAAGGAGGATTAAAACAACCAATCCTACTTAGGAAAGTGGCGTTGGAAATTACCACAATAAGGCATTGTAGGAGTCCAGGATAAACATCATCATCGTCATCATAACAACGATTCCGGCAACGAGAGCTCTTTTGACCAGACACAATAAAAGTTTTGTTCTTGTCGTGGCAGAGAGTAACCACGAGTTTAAATGGGCGTTTAAATATGGACCAAGAAGTGTGACGATGAAAATGTGATATTGCTTAAAAACGACTATTTTTTTAAGATTCAGAAAGATACCGTCATAAATTGAAATCGATTCTTATTAAATATGTTTTCAACCAATCTGCTTTATTTTTCCAGAATACTTACATGTCTTTTGAAATCATTTTGTTTTTCCAATTCTCTCGTAACCTCGACCGAGCGAGAGATTGAGGCCACAATCTGAATCACGTCTTCAAATGAAGGGTTGACATGTTCCCTTGACAATTCTTTTATAACTTTAAGTCTTTCCTTGTCTCTTTTCACTTTCTTTGGATCAACAGGTCGTGGTAGAATGACTGACTTTGCCAGCGGTACACCTTCTGATAAAGATGTGTGAAGTCGCAGTGAAAAAAATTTACGGATTATGCGTCGACGCTTGATACACCTCAAGTCACGTTCCTTGTTCATTGCCTCATCCGATATAATTGACTAAAAACAGAAAAAAAACTTGAATAGGAGAAAATTAGCAAGTTACCATGTGGAAAGGTTTTAAGTTATGTTGTGGGAGCAGGGAAAAAATCAAGTCTGACCTGCAAAAGAGGCATTTGTCAGACGTTTTTTAAAAGAGTTTTGGAAAATGTACGTGACGTACGAATAGATTAGCGATCCTTTTCCGTGCATGACTACCCCTTGCGCACACCAAGTGTTTGGCTAAGCTCCGTTGGAAAACGCCAAAAAGATTACACCTGCTCCACAGGTTGCAATCGGACATTAAGAGTGTTCGTTGCCATTTTGTCGTAGTTACCTTCCATCTAACTTTCACTGTTCGTGCCCCCCTCCTTCGAATACTCTTTCAAGAGATACTCTCAAGAAAAAAAAAGCGGCTTTATATATCACCACCATTTCCGCACACTTTGGATGCATTCCGAAAGTTTATGCGGTTACCTTTGCCAGTAAAACACTCTCCTCCAAGGATTTTACTGTCATCTTAGTTCCCTCTTTAATCACTCTTCTCTTCTCCCTGTTTCTGTTGAGAACCTGTTTATTCTTGACCAGGATCTGGGACCGATCCTTGTTGAGGTCTCTATGCAAATCGTCAGAATTTTGACCGAACGTCAGATTTGTGATTGATCGGCGATCCTCCAAAGCTTTGTGTTCACCAATCAGAGACTTTCCTGAGTGAATCATTTAAAGTCAGACGAATTACCACCTCACTATCGGGAGTCAATTGTTATGCCCCAATTAACGGACCTGTCTTAATTTAATTACCGTATTTTGCTCTTAGATTCCCGTGTTTCTAAATCCGTCGAATAAGATGGAGGGCTTGTCTGAGCAGGAGGCAGGGGTGGTTCGCCTGTAGATCATACCCAGCGTGTTATTACCATAGAGATGATTATAAACTAACATTTCATTGACTCAATAAATAAAACAACTACTTGCATTTAAAGAGCTGCATCGAGCAGTCAAAAGGTTGATGTACCGGTGGTCCTTTTCAGAGAAGACATACGTGTAATATAAATATGTTATTTTTTGTCGCGAGCGAAAGACAAAGAAAAGAATCTTAGTCTCCTGCGATAATTCAAACCTCAGACTTACGGATTTCGAAATTCGAACATCTATTGGTCACGCTGCTTCTTTTTATGAAGCGTTACATTTCAATCACCTGATCGCTCTTTAGCATTGTCTTCATCTCTTTCTGTCGTCAAATCGTCCCTAACGTAGATCACTTCAGCGGATGAACCCTCATTTTCTGAAGACAACAACGGCACCTTGCAATCGTCGTCATCGTTGATTGTGATGATGACTTCATTGCTGGCAGCTACTGGTGTCTTGCAGGACTCAGAGGAGGAGTTAGAGCCACCTGTAGAGCCACCTGTAGAGCCATTTGTAACAATTCTTGTCAGTTGACGAGAGGCTGCTATATCACAAATAGTAGAAATCAAACTAACGAGATTGTATGAGTTCTTTTAAGAATGTAGTTTATTACCCCAAGATTGTCTTATTTCGATCCATCATTCTGGGAGTTAGCTTTCAATCAGATTATTTTACCTGAAATGGTGGACGATTGAGGCGGAGCCGCCAGGTCTCGTTCTGTTTCAGCTGTAATCTTCGCATCACTTGATGAGGAAGATCCAGAGGATTGCAGCATCCAAGGCTTCAGTTTAAAATCCTTATGAGAGTCGAGGAGGGTTATATATTCCACAGAACAGCCACTTGTTGGGGTGGAGTGCGGCGTACCGATGGAAGAACACAGTGATGGAGCAGACAGGGATGATAACGAGGTCGGCTGCGAAGAATCGGAGGGCTCCGCATTTAATTGCTCGACTCGGCTGCGAGTACCTGTAGTAAAAGTGGACATTACAATTAAACAAAGAGTTATTGCTAAAGTTTTTTTTAGATCCAAAATTGAATTTATCGAGCTTTGCTTTATTTCTTTTTTTTTTTTTTTTTTTCTTACCTTTAAGTATACCTTTTAGCGGCGGATGTTGGGAAACTTCCAAATTTAATCGTACCCTTTTACCTGGGCGATCTGTAGCAAGAATAAGGAGTTATACACTGAGCAAAGTCTACGTTAATATTATTTAATTTAGATGGGAGACTTTCTCAGATGTGCTTGGTTGTGCTTTTACTTCATATCACTTATCGCTTCGCTACACTTGACTTTACCACTCTGATTTCAGCTGTTTGTACACCAAAGAAAACACATACTCATAGGCTGTGATCAAGAAATTTTCACCTATTTTCTTTGAATTGTCTGATAAAAGATTCCCGACATGACGAGTAAAGTCGGATTTTACGGTAAAAAATGAGTGTTGGTTGTACTCGTTTTCCTATCTGCGAACAAACCCTATGGTAAAAAAATGAAATTATCTTGTCCACATCTAATGCAAATAGGGTGATTTTTTTTCCGTTTGCTGTTTGTTTATACGCTGTCTTTCTCACTTTCTTTATAATCCTGAAGTTTTAGGCTTTTTCATTTAAGACTAACATTCGGTTCACCTTCCTCATCTTCCTCATCTTCCTCCTCGTTCCATCCTTTAGATTTTCTTTCATTCCTGTCGTGCTTGATGTTCCACTTCGAGTCTGATGACATACCTTGTTCGAGACTGCCTCGATCTCGTCTAATTCCCTTCCTAAAACTTCTCCTGTAAAAGTTTTACTGACAGTCACTTTCAAAAGTCACTAGCGAACAAACTGGAATGAATATTCCAGTCCACGAACAGAGTTTCCGTAAACCAGCCACAAGTCTGGGCTGACTAACTTAAAGTAATATTTAAGCTATTTCGTTTTTTATGTATGATGTTTAACTAAGATGTGGTCCAACTGATGAAAGATGAAAATATTGCTTACCAGACGCGATAAAACACAGCCCCAATCGCCATAAACAGAAACATCCCTCCTATAAGTCCTACAACAGCCATCGAGGACCCATCATCCGCTGGATTTTTAGTCTGAGATTGCGATTCCAGTCTTCCTTTCCTCCTATATTTTCTTCTTCGTTTTTTATCTTCATGGTGAGGCTCGCTTTCATAATCCACAGCCAACCTCCACCGGGGTTCAGCAGACGCCATATTTGTGGGCTCGATATTTCTCTTCGTTTCTTGTAAGGTAGATGTGCCACGCGGTTCGAGTCCGTTACCGTTTGTCCTGGGATGATGATCAGGTAAGTGTGATTCCTTTTCATCTCGAACGGAAGATTTCTTTCTGGTTTCCCCTGGGGTGTCGTCTTTGGGATTATCTTGTTATTTAAACGAGAAATTTAAGACTTTTTCAAGATTGAACTTAGACAACCAATATCTAATATCAGGTTGAGAAGAACCTGTACTTAAAGTGAGATCAGACTGCTAAGTCTAATCTGGGTCAATGTCAAGATTGAGGTCATTTCTCAGAAATCAAGCTTGCCCTATGATTTGCCCGCGTCATCTTTGAGTAGCAGAGCAACGGATACCGGTGAAATCGACATTAAGTGTCCCCGTAGAATACAGATTGATGAACCAAATCCAGCATTAACTATGCTTTTCACTTCTCAGTTGAATCCCCACCTCTTCATAAAATTGTATTCATTGTGAAAATAGGAATAGCATACTTCCTCTGTCCATTCGATCTAGGATCTTATTCCTTCCTATCCCCACTTCCTTCCCCCCCCCCCCTTAAAAAAAATCTTGCAATGAACATTCTAGTGCACCTTCATTTGCATTGAAGTCGACTTCCCTGTTCTTACCAAATATTGATAGGATCTCGCCCGTATCAACATAAGCAAAGCAAGAGCGGTTACAGATAAAACCATTATCAGCCTCGAAAACAAGAAATCTTTTGCATTGACTTTGATATTAGAACCTGACCCGCGTTCTGATGCAAACACGCATGCGCCAACTTTGACAGCAAAACACGCACAAAATTGAAGTAAAGCATGATCCTGATGTGGTTTTCTCTGTTTATCTGATCGCTATTTGAGCTGAGACCCGAAGTCATTTCATCACTGTAGAAAGAACTTTTAAGTTACTGGATCATTTCTAAAAGATAATTTAACTTCAGTCTAAAGATAAGAGCCCATAGGTGGAACGTCATGTTTCCTTACAATTTCTGTTGTTCTCGCAAAATTCCTTTGCTGCTGCAATAGCACAGATAATTCACTTTATATCTCTCTCCCACCCAAACAATAGTCACAATGAGCGTTAGGAAAGATTTATCTACTTTAACTCGCATTGAAAGAAGTTGTTTTTCCAGTTTCTTAATAATCATCAACTATATCTTACCCGTACCAGGTGCTTTCTGAGAAGCCGCAATGTCTCGTCCTCGCTTGATGGCTTGCGTTAAAAGTGATTTCAACTTAAAGTTTGATGGAAATTTTTTATCGCTACCGGGGTACTCTAAGACGTCTTCATTGGCAGCTCTTCTCATCATAATTTCCTCCCAGTTAGCATGATTGTTATTCGCTGCCGATTCCATAGACTTTATATCTTCTATATCATCGTTAATGACCTTTGCATCGTCTACAGTTCTGCGAGGCGTCCCTCTGGTGGTGGCCGATGTGAGGATGCGCCCTCCGTGGAAGGTCGAGTGGGGCCTGGGGGCCGGAGTTAAATCATCTTTGCTCAAAGGTATTAAAAACCCTGAAACTTCAAAGCGAATCCAGAGGCGTTATGACACGTTTTCCTTACACATTCTGGTTATTGCTGATGCTTTTCCTTTGAAATGCTTTTCGTTTTTATTTTCTCATCAAATTATAATAGCTTGCCTGTCAGTCAAACCGAAAAACGCCTGATTGTGCTGACGCAAAATTAAGCCGTTACGCCAGAAACATAAACGCGAACAAGCAGAACACGCGCAAATTAAAATAGAGGTTCTCCTTACCTTCGTTAAAGCTGAAACAAATCAGTAAACAAAAGAGAATACTGATATAAACTCTTTCCTTCTTCATAATGGACACTGAGTTAACCATTCGGCAAACGCAGCATTCTCGCAAAGAAGAAATGAACAACTTGGCTTGTTTGTCGTCATAGAGACTAATTACACTCATAGGTGACGTGTAATGATCGAGCGCGCGCCTGAACTGAATACCTCTATATATTCACGTGGCCTTGTCAATCATTCAAAATTGTAAAGGAAAGAGAAAGATACCGCAGGATAACGTGAGAAATACTTGGATTTTGAAGAAACTGATATCAAAGTGCAAGACATTACAACAGTTTGAAAGTTTTTATGCTACGTCATCCAAAAGCTTTTTTTTCCTTTAAGTCAGAAGCCTGAAAATTAGAAGCTTTTAATGACTCCACGATAATTCCATTTCTGGTGTGAAAAAGCGACACTGATAAAACACATACACTCGATTTAAATCAAGTGAGTGTGTTTCAAAGACATATTTAGTGAATACTCATGATGGTCTGTGACTTATTTCATCTTCGAATGGTAAAGCATTGGAGGGTGGTGTACGAAAGTCTGAAGTTCGAATCCTCATGGGGACTTAATTTTTCTCCTGTATGCTACATATGACCGAGCTCATAATTTAGCATCTTTATTATTATGACATACATATGACGGACATCATAATTTAGTATCTTTATTATTAGCTCATGTATTACACCGAGATTTCTTCGAGCTTCAAAGGTGCTTAAATTTTGAATAAGCGCCCGGGCGCTTATTTGACGAAATACGGTATTTGCGTTTCGTTTGAGCTCTCAGAGGTTTCTCTAGCAGGATGGGGCAGAAAAAATCCTACCAATTTTGAAACCTTGTGGCCAAACTGGACGGGAACTATACAGCTGAGAGTCTCTTTATGTGACATCCAAAACCAAGATTCGCCGACCTAAATGTGGGTACACGTCAGTATTATCCAAATTAAACTGCGTCTCGTGTGCGTTTCCATGGTCTTGTCGACAAAAGGTACGTGACTGTTGTATATTCAAAGGCACAAATGAAAGTCAAGTAACCATTTTTCTCGGTCCATAAAAAAGCAAGAAAGAACTCGGCTAATATCCAACCATGTGAATAAAGGGAGTAAGTTTCTAAAGAAACTGTGACGCTACATCAGTGGGAGAGTATAGCAGGGTAATAAACAGAGTAATTTTGTATTATCAACAGAGTTGAAAACGGCCACCGTAAAGAATTTAAAGGCTGACGTTTCGAGCGTTAGTCCTTCGTCAGAACGATTGGAGGAATTATGAGTTGTGTGTGGGTTTATATGCAGAAGTGGAGATACGCTATTGGTAAATTGCTTTTCCTTTTAACGAAAAAAGCCAGAGAGAAGTCCAAAAAAAGGTCAAACATAGTACAATTTGGCAGATGGCGTGACAGCTTTAGATTAGCTCTATGCTCTATTTAACAAATAGATTCCAAGTTGCCGTGCGTCTGTTCAGTAATAGATCACAGATGACGTCAAAATGTGGTGAGAACCAAAATAGTGGCACACGAGGTGCAGCCTCGTGGTGAGAACAGTGTGTCACTGTTCTCACCACATTTTGACTTCATCTGTGATCTATTACTGAACAGACGCACGGAAACTTGGAATCTATTTGTTTTATATAATAAAGAATTAAAAAAAGTCTTAATGATGACGTCATCTATAGGTCTGTCCTCCAATAGATCATAAGTGAGAATCAATCAGAATGCGTGCGTATTTGAGCTTATTATATAAACTCACATAGAGCACGCTCTTTCAACCAATGACAAAGCAAACCGATAACGTTTTCCTTCTCCGATTTCTTACAGGTGTTTCTTTGCCCGCCATGCTGCTATATCATGGAAAGCATGAAACAGAAGAACAGTGTTTGCGATAATGTGGAAAGCTGTAGATCAGCAAGCGTTGCAAAGGGAGACAGTACTTCTACGATAGACAGATTCCTTTTGTTTGCTTTTGTTTGCTCATTTATTGCATAATTGTGATTTGACTCAAAAGATCTTAACGTTTAGGATTAGTGGGAGGTTGTCACGCAAATCATGCATTGTCAAACGTATCATTCAGGTCATCGGTTAGGGTTACTAGTAAACCCACTAGGTGGTTATAATTCCCCGGTATCTAAGTATTGATATTGAAACTCAGCGATCTCTACAACTTGATTAAACAGTGCATGGAAAAAGGGGTAAGTTTCTAAAGAAACTGTGGTGCTGCGTCGGTAGGAGAGTATAGCAGGTAATTTAGTGTTAACAACTGAGTTGAAAACGTAAATTAGCCACCGTAAAGGGTAAAAAAGCTGACGTTTCGAGCGTTAGCCCTTCGTCAGAGCGATTGACGAAGGGCTAACGCTCGAAACGTCAGCTTTTTTACCCTTTACGGTGGCTAGTTTACGTTTTCAACTCAGTTGTTAACACTAAATTACCTGCTTAACAATTATGAGTTTCTTATTAAGCGCCAAGATGGCTGTCAGTGTCGTTCATGTATTTACTTTGTATTCTAGCGTTTTCTGATTATCCTTCGCCTATAGATAAATTATTTTGTTCATCACATATTCCTCGAGGATATCCATGGGTTTCTATCCGATGGTTTCCTTCCTGGTTATTTCAGACGTGAATTTATATGATATTACATAAAATAGAAGTAGATGAAGTAGGGAAAACACTCGACTGCGTCTCGTGTTTCCCTTAAACTTCTTTCGTGCTTCAGCAGCTTCCTGAGTGCTTTACAACAAAACAGAGCACAGTCGAGGCTTTTTTATTTGTTAAATTGTATATCGTCCACCATCATCTGTGCCCTTGCCAACTTTTATCGTGAATTTTCCCTCCTGCTTGAAGAAATGGCCACAGCATCAGATGAGCTTTACAATTTTCGGTGATTTTAATCGTGTCTAAAATTTGTAGCTAGATTATAGAGGCTCAAGAAGGTACATGAGTAGAGCCTGGGTATGTAGAGAGGGTAGTAATGAGGTCAGCTTTAAAACCGTCGCGTGAAACCGACGGCATTAAGGATATGATTGTCGACTTTCACTGATAAAGAAAAGAAACAGTCGTCAAAAATCCGCTTTGACGAGAACACTCTTTACCGTAAAAAAAAAAATAATTTGGTATAATTACAAACTACTGAACAAAAATGTACCCCATGGCCTTGATATGCGCGTTACCATTATCTGTCTGCAAGACAGCCTCGTTTCCGCATGAATTTGAATCATCATGCTTTCCTCCTGATCCAAAACCGATTCTAGAATCACAACTCACGCAATTATCTTCGTTATTACCTATTATTCCTATTCTCGCTTTCGCTAACCTAATATTGGTAGAAACAACGTTGAACCCTTCCTTGTTACAATTCAACTGCATGGAGGAGTTTATCCCAATCAGCGATTTCCACGTGTCACGACCCAGCGAGGTATCACGATATTGTCCGTCTGCTATCAGGGAGTAGAGGGAGTCAGCTTGTTGGTTGATGAAGATGAAGTTGATCTGCTGACCGATCTTCATACCCAGACAGATTTTGGTAAAAGACGTTTTGGAGTAGGTCGGTAGCTTAGTTTCAATGTTATCAAACCCAGTTATGCCCCCTGGAAAATTGTATTCTGCCTCACTGCTCCAAAGTTCGGAGTTATAGTGAAAGGTATTCTGGAATATATAAAGAGACAAATGCTTCATAACTTCTCCAACGCCAGGCCACTACATGTACAAGCTCTAAGGTAAGAAACCATGAAAACTATTTACGGCAAAGAGGTTGGAAATGGTTTGGCCATGTGCTACGGATGACGCATGCAAGAACCGAAATGATATAGACTAAAGAAGGAGGAAGGAAAAAGGGGCCGTCCGCGAACAAATCAGAGGAGAATGGTACTAGAAGAGACTCGGAGTGTTGGTATTGGTTTTCGGAACGCTGCAAGATTAGCCCAGGACGAAGCGATTTAGAAGGACCTGTTAAGGCCACTGTTACATGCCACTGAGAGCAATGAGCCAGTTGAATGTAAAATGCTACATGAGTGACAACGAATAATTTCTGTTTTTTTACAGGGCTGAAATACTATTTTTTTAGGTGATTTATCTTTCCGATAGTGTTTCGGTTTGCTTTGTTGTAGGAATGAATGAATTTTTCTAACACCGGTGATGCCCATACTTAAAGTCAAAGCTGTTACGATCTTAAACTATTCAACGAATATTGAGCTGTATTGATTACGAAGTCCTGAGTATCACCTTGTTACCGTCGATCTTCATGGCCAGCGTCCATCCACCACCTCCACATGCTCCGAGGCCCGTCATATGGCAGTACATGTAAACCATCCCTGATCCAATCTGCAACATGTATGCTTGGTCACCAGTAGCACTAGAGAAAGAAGAAGAGTTTCAAGCATATCAAACGTAATCACCTCACCTTCAGTCACGTAAAAGAAGCTAACAAAGAAGTCATGACTAAAGTATCCTTTGTCTCACCGCGTAGTTTCAAACAATGATATTGTCCTCTACAAATGGACAGCGAAAAAATTTATCAATCGTCGGAAACTACATTCCAAAGTGGATTCCTCTCAAGTAATTTATTCACTTGTGCGAAACATGGTAGCGTAATGATGGAAGCTTAAAAAAATTGTTGGAGGAGGGAATAACCTGCGATTGACTCAATTCTTGAAATAGAAATACTCCTGGTTTGTTCACGTAACGGAAACAGGGATAAGCTCTGCACGGATGAGGCACTGGGCACGAGTGCTACATTTCCCCTTATTTTTATATATTTTTTCACTTACTTGTTTTTCTCGTGCAGTTCTTTACAAGAAGGTAGTCCTTGAATAGAAAATAAACAGAATGAAAACATTAGTGAACGATAGAGAATAACACATGGTGGGATGGATAGATAAAGTTATTATTACATTAACACGAACTTACCTGTACAGTTGCGTCCATCCCCAGTGAGTCCAATCTTGCAAATGCAGTCAAAGGAGCCGGCGGTGTTTACACAGTGCGCAAATTCGTGGCAATCATCGCTGCCCAAACTGCATTCATCAATATCTGTTTGCAAAAGGGCACAATTTTAGCAAAAGGAAAGCGAATACTGGCTGCTTTAACCGCTGTGCAAACATTTCTTTAAAAATCACACTTGGTAGTGCAAGCCATTGATGCGGAGCACGTGCAGAGGAAACATAACTAGTGATATTTATAAAAGCACGAATATGTATCTACACTGTATATGGATAAATGAATAAATTTTTAGAAAATAAAAAAAATGATTCTTTGAAACGCGGATGAAATACAAGCACAAGAATTATCCTCACAGTTGAGCTACAATCAATTAAAGAAACTGATGAAAGAAGGCCTGAACAAATTCAGGCTTCGATGGGATTCAAACCCGATCCTCCAAGTATCTTAGATCGCTTCTCTACTTGAAAATAGATAATTAAGATAACGAGATAAAACCATAAAATCTAAACATCTGTATGGACGACTTAGGAATGAACAATTGTTTGGCATTGTGTGTGCTTACTGTTACCGTTTTCACAGTGTTCACCAGTGTAGCCACTCTGACAAAGGCAAAGGTATTTCTTGTTTGTAAATCCATTCAAGCAGGTCGCATTATGGAAACATGGGTTACTGGAACACAGATTCTGATGAACAAACAACCTTCAGGAGTTAGTTATAACGAGTTTACAAGACAAACAAGGATAAGCTCACCAAATGGCCAATACGGATAACGGACGGGCAAGTGAAGCAATACGAGTTGAAAGAAGACATTATATCAGAAAAAGCAAACAGAATACAACAAACAACTGAGACCCGAGTTAGTAACTCCTTTATAACACAAAACTAGAATAAATCTCTCTGTTAGATATTAGAACCCTCATAACTCTCCTCTTCCTAAACCACCAACTTAAGGCGCTTCGTATCTTCTTTCCATATACCTTAGTACCAATGAAGGTAAAACCTTCTCGTGGCCTTAAGTCTTCCGGGTGCCTTGAGTGATCGGAATCGCTCAACTGACAAACCACGTGGTCACCATGCACTGATTGACCGATGTTGAATGAGTCACATATGTTGTCCATCAAACACAGTCCTTTACAAGAATTGCGCGTTCCCACGGTTAATGTAACATTTTTGATCACGTGACCTTTTAGGGCGTGAGCATCGATTGGTTTGGTGAACGAGAGACGTCGACATAGATCTGCAAATTAGTTAACAGATATAAGAAGCGTTGAGATCATTGGAGGTGTTCGCTTCCACCGAAGGTCATTTTCGCACGGTTGCTAAGGCCGCGGAACAAAAGATTGACGGTACCATCTGCGAATGTTTCGGAAGTGGTCCAAAGTTAAAGTAAAGAATAAAGAATTTTAAAAAGCATTTTAAGCCATTAATTTATGTTTGCTTGACGCAAAATACCCTGCTAAGCTTATCTGAAATTCAGTAAATATATATTCCGAAAAAAAAAATCTTTTTAGCAAGTCTCGATCGAGGCCAATTATTTGAACAAAAAATTAAACCAACGAGGAAAAAAGCGTTACTAACCTTGCTTGGCGACCGTATTGAAGCAACGCCGGGCCTCTAGTTTGATTATCAAGAATATTATGATAAAAGCACGGGCTTTCATGTCCGGCTAACTCTCACTTTTTTTCTCTGCTGAACAGGATATTTTTGTCAGTTAATTTGAAGGCTTGTGCAACTCTTTATTTCACTTCCGTTCCTCTTTATCTCTCCGCTCACTTTCACTCGTTTATTTAGCCCTCACATGCGTTGAAATCTTCCCGTATACAGTAGAAAAAAATATATCAATTAAAAATTTTACATTTAGGACTTAAAATGGCTGAATGTAGCAACTAAAAGCACCCTTGAGTGACTTAGAATAAGGTCAAATCACTATCTCCAACTGATGGAAACTGACGTTCCACCAATGAGCGCGGGAGAAATTTTCCAGTAATTGTAGATTATCTAATGATCTCCACAGGAAGTCTCTGAGCATGTTTTTCTGTAGATTAATTGACTTATTATTCCTTTTGACAGCGCTTTCAAAACATTTGCTATCAATAGAACCACGCACAATCTACACGAAATTTGCATTTAAATGCAAAAAATCAATTTCGCTCAAAAAACGAAATTTAATTTTAAAAATGAAGGGAACACCGATGCAGGCTCGCATCTGTGTAGAGGTACTGTGGCCGAGTCATAACCAAATTGAAAATTATTTCTGCAACTCGATCCCTAATTCATATCATTTTCATGTAAAATTTTATAAACACCGTCGACTTGCCTACGCCTAAAACTTAATTTTTGGTTTAAAATTTTCCTTTGGACATCAAAGCCACCACCAACTTGTCAAAATCACAAATGCAATGACAGCGGGAAAAAGGCTTTTAACTTCACAATGAACAATTATATTTCATATTTTCAAACAACTTTATACTTTCAAGATAAACAACTAGAAAATTATTAGGTAATTGGTTGGGTGCGAGTTGGTCTGTTGCTATTGAGAGCGGCTGATAAGTAAATCGTTCCTTATCATTAAATTCAGTGGATTTCAAATGAGAACACTTGCAAGGTGCGACGTCTAAAATCAGTAATATTCACAAATGGAACGGATTTTTCAAATCATAACTAGTTGCAGTAGAACTCTTTATATCTAGAGAATCTCTTATTAAGTTTTTAAATTGCCTGCGGGTTCGAGCTCGCGCATTAAGCTAGATCCATGCTGTTTTAAATTAACTCTGACTAATGACATGGTTCAAAGAAGCATCTCTGAACGCAAATCATTCATTGTGATGCAATTGTGACGCAATTGTGTGTGCACAGCAGGTGACAAATTTTGTAAGTACAATGCACTTCAAAAGGTCACTGGTTGATTCAAAATCATTCCAACGAAACAGCTGCAATATTTGAAAATGCCTGAAAGAGGTTGACAACTGAAAAAAAATACGCAGCTCTCTTCATTGTTTTGTTTTCGATTCTGTTTTTTTTTTTTTTTTTTTTCAAACAAGCTGCTTTGTGGATAAAAGCCAGACTAAGAGATAATATTTTAATTCCCTTCATCATGACCTACTGGATATAAATTAAACAGAGAAAGTTCCCGAGCCTCACAGGAGGCAAAAGATTTTTCGTTTTCGCTACCAGTCCATTTCACTTTAAGCTCTATCGACAACTATGCTTTAGGACTGAAGCTTACTCGGTACTGATAGGCGAAGAATGATCTCTCGCTCATCAAACATTGGGTCTCCACGTTCCCACAGATTTAGCAGTGGCCCTTTCTTCTTTGGAAAATAGGTCAAACTTATTCTATAGCTTGATTTGCAAATACTTGCATGCCACAGTGATATGTTTTCTTTTGCTGCCATGAAAACGACATCGGCAATACAATGGAGGTCTGATATACATTATTATTGATTTTTAGCACTGTTTGCCACAGGCTTTCCGCCAAGGGAGACAGTTTTGAAAATGTTTTAATTCCTAAAAGATTTCATTCTTTTTATTTAGTGGGTGGCTAACTATTGCTAATCCAATGTATCTGCATTATTTCCTATAATTATTATGTAACCTGCATGCTTTCCTATAACTAGCATGTAATGATCGTTTTTATCCACTGCAGCGCAGCTTATAAACGATCCTGACAAGTTCAGGGCCTTGGAAGAGGACATAACTAGTCTGGGATGAGGCTTAGCGAGGAATATACATATTTTGCAGTTCCAGAGGCGATTAGAGTTAAAACAATATTAAACAATGGGCAATGGGAATAGACTTCCCGGCGTTAGTTACATAATGACTCCTTTACAAGTTTTTATGATGTGATAATTTTCAATCAGCAATATTTTTCCGTTATTTCATGAAGGATGCTTTCAAAGCACGTGTGTTCACTTTCTTGGGGGGGGGGGGGAAGCAAATATATATGATTTTGAGGTTAATCAGTTAGGGCCATTTTTAGGATCAGTGCAAATTCTTTGGGTAAAAAACTCTCCAAAAATGTCTTTGACCCCTTCCCCCTAAGAGTGGCTAGCATCTAATTTCTCACAATATCACCCCTGAATCACACATTAAGGTCATGAAAATAAAGGAAAGGATCACCAACTTAAGAGGCTCTTGATTCTTAAACAAATTCTCCTCGTCAGCACCCTAACAAATGTACAGAGAACAGTATGGAGAATATGTATACTGATGTAAGGGTGTCAGTTGAAGATTAACCTGCGGTCATAAAAAGCCTCTATGACAAACTCCCCACCCCAATCACCTCAATAAAGATACAGAGCTCAATATTGGCGATTAAGTAAGAAAAATGGTCAAAATATGGTCCAAAAGAATGGTCAAAAAAAAATCTTTCAAAAGTGGTCCAACAGTCCATGTTTTATCCTGTACAACTTCAGCTCCTTTAGTTCAATTTTTGGAATTTATTCTTTGTCTCACGCTCGTGATAAGATGAAAAACATTTTTCTTAATATCAATACGATATCAAGAAGACGATGACGAAAATGAAGAAAAATATCAATTAGGAAATTATAAGTTGATTGGATACCAAATTCTCCGAATTAACATCACATGAATTGTATGAGAGACAGAAAGAAGAACTACTTATGAGATCTAGGGAGTGAAAGGGTTAAAAATTAACCAAAAAACCCTCCCAGGGCCCCAACTAACACCCAATCGACTAAATTGAACTAACGAGCTTACATTGCTAAGCAACGTGCAAACTTGCCAGGCAACCGGCCACTAAGAGGCCAAATGAAAAGTGAAATTAAAAAAAAACCTTCAAAATGACACAAAATACAAAAAAGACTAGACACCGACCAAATCAACGACAACTGAAACCAAAAAATTAAAAAAGGAAGGTAGCAACCAACAATTACCGATTTTTTCATCCAAATGGAAATAGAAATTTCGTACGGACAGTTCACATGCAAACCATAAATTGCTAACATGGGGCTAAACAAACGTTGCATTACTTTCCTTGATCTCCTCCTTCCCCCCCCTAAGGGGTGCAAGTATTCCTGGCTAAGCACTTCAACTTTAAGACTGGGACTCATGGGATCTCTAATCATGTTGTCATTTTAGCTTCAAAAGCTGGACTCCTCTCTGAAGCAGTTGACCTCTGCACTAAATATAACAAGCAACAAGCAACAAGCACATTTCCTTGTGAATCAGTAACGAGAATTGGTGTTACATCAAGATAAAAAGCTCTATCTGATAAGCCTGAGTTCTCTCTTTACATGTTTGCTGGATAATGTATGAATAGTACAAGGAGGAGTCACATGTCAATCACTTCTATGAGTTAAAGGGTGTATAAAATGCTGGGGGTAATTTTGCGATGGATAAGCAGCTCATCCATGGGGAACGCCCAGTCATGCGTCCTTCCTTAGTATAAGTTTCAGTAAAGTGACTTCATCTTTCTCTACTTGAAGGTCTTGCCATTCATGTTGTCGTCCGAAGCGAAGGTTGCGAAGATAACGCGCCAGGCGTATGTGGCAAAGCTTACATCCAAGTGAATGGAGCGGAATACTCCCAACAACGGAGAGGACATAATGTCGTTGTTGTGCAGGGAGCAACAGGTAAGGTGTCCACGCACAATATATGGGATCAATCGTGCAACTGCGTACCAACGCCTCCCTTAAACCAGCGATCGTCAACTGATAACAAGTTAGGGTTAACGTTTGGTTAGAGGAGAGGTAGGTGCCCAGTTGCTCAGATACTAACATTGATCCAATGTTGGTGATAAAAGAGAGGTTTGTCTGTTTTAGAACATTGAACTTCTAAAGTCTTATTTTGGTTCGGCATTTATCTTCCATTTTTAATTTAATTCAATTTCGTTCAGGTCAAGTGTTACCCAGCCGTGCATTCGACACCCATGGAAGTCAGTCCGAAGGCGTTCGCCTCAGGGACTATCTCAATGCCATAAGAGGAAAGTATGTAGCCTGCTGCATGGGTTCACTCATCGAAGCAGAGCGCGGCAATAAGACAGCGCGATCGTGGCAGCGGACTCAAAAAGAGAGAGAGACTGGTTCGGGTCGGGTCGAGAGTTAACCTAGATGTCTGTTTTTCTCTTGAGCCAACAAAAGACATATGTAGTTTTTATTACCCTTTTTGAATTGAAAGTGCATTGCGATTGTCGAAACATTTCAGGAATGCACATCACACCATCATACTCTTGCCATGACCTAGAAAAACTTCATCTGCGTGTTTTTATTCACCTGCATATTAAATCATGTAAGGAACCAATGATTTAGTGATAGCCTGGGAAAGGGAAGGGGTTGGAGAATTTTAAGGGGGGGGGATAAGTCATCGCAAACAGAGTATAAAGGGGTCTATAGAAAATTGACTGTCAACTAACTGCCCATGAGGGGAAATCATAAGGATATTACAGAGCGGGGGAGGGGGTCAGGCTAATATTATCGTGGCATAACCAAAATCCCCCCCAAACTACCCCTCCTCTCGAAGGCTAATGACCAGTCCCTAAACTGGAATCATTTTTTTTATTATTTTGGACTTAGTTTACAAGCCTCTTTTAATAAACCAGTCAAATGCTTATTCAGTTTTAAGTTACATCGTTTTGGTGGCCATTGGAGACGAGGGTTCGTTACATGTATCACCAGCAATCGACGCTCTTAAGAGATTGGGCGCAAGTGATCCCGACGTCATAGTGAAGTTGAGGGAGTCGTATGCTCTTATTGGCTTCGCAGGAGACAACAAACCATCTTGGATTGAACAAAAAAGTGCCACAAAAGCAAATGGACCCAGTATTATATCTTCTAGAATTCTCCTAAAATTATGTAAGTTGAGGCATTTTACACCGCAAACTTTACTTGAAATAAGGTAATGATCTATTTCAAGTTTCAAAAAACAAATATTTTTTCTAAATTCAAGAAGCATACAACTGATTTTCTGGAATGTGTATACATGTATTCATGCATTTTTGCTGTAATATCCGCCGTAAATACCATCATCTTGTGCGAGAATTAAATCGGTCCCAGAAATAACACATAGCTACAACGTACAAGATTAAAAGGGCCGGTTATTTATACGAGGTCAAACCCAAATCACGGTTTTAAGCAATCAGTGGGCCTTACGCTCTCTCTTTTAAAGAGGGTTGATTTAACGAAATAAATGTCCTTCCACTGTTAACTTTTGGCCATTTTGACACTGTTCACAAAATTAAATGTCAGATAATAGGTTCAGAAAACTTGAGTAATGTTCAGAACGCGGTTTTAATAAACAATGGCTAAACTTTGTTTAAATAGCTGGCCCAAAGCATCCTGCTGGCTGGAAAAACGGAGAATGGGTTGCGGCGGACTTTTTTAATATTTTCAATTTCTTGTTTTATTTTTTGTCATGTCATTCCTCAAACCTCTCTTTTTGGTCACCCTTTAAATATGACGTCAGCCCAGTTTTTCTGCCATTGTCGCCAAATTCTTCCAAATTGGCAGGAGATTCGATCAAAAAAAGCTGATCATTGGTGGTTTACCACTGTCTGTTTAGCCTACGGCCAAACTCCCACGTTTGGGATTCCTGTGGGCTTTCGCACGACGCAAAATGAATTTATAATTTTCTGAGTTTATCCACGAACGTAGCATTATGACAATGGTCAGGACTAACAGACAAATTACAGAGGAATCAGCAAAGGTTATTGCAAACAACACTCTTTTTTATGCCCAGAATGCTGGAAATTACATTCCCAAGCCTCTTACGGCTCTTTTTCAGGCACATCTTCCATAACACCACCAGCGGCCACTTATGAAAAAAAAGTTGTCAAAGCCCCTTCACTGTAGACAGTTATTCCCACACTGTAAAGTTTGGAGAACCTCATCTCAGTAAATATCTTCATCGTCATTTTTGATGCCAAGAACCAACAAAATAAGTAGAATTGGAATTAAATTCATGGGACATATTTACTTCCTTAAAAATATGAGATATATTTTTCCCTTAACCCAGATTCTAGGAGCTGCATGGAACTATATGAATACAATACGTATAAGAACAAGTAAGTAGCGTTTATTCACCCAAAAGTGTTGAAAATCTCTAGGTGAGGTGCAATTCGATGTTACGCTTTAATTTCGTTGCCTTTCAACTAACCAAAACTAAGCTTTGTATGGGAGAGCAGGTTCACAAGCAAACCAGTTTTGTTGGTAGTACCTGAGCCATTTTATTCCTAAGATCTTATTAGTAATTCACCTTCCTGAATGCCATTTGTTAGCTTGGAGAATTTGATATTGGATCAGATAATAATCCCCTGATTGATATTTTTTTTAATTCTCGTCTGCTTGATGTTGTGTTGATATTGTAAGGAGAAATTCTGTCAGTCTTAGGCACTTCTTGAAGTAAACGCGTTAGATCAATTTTAAGCCTTCATATTTGACAAATTTACTTTGAGGTAAATGATACAGCCATCATTTTATTGAAATCATTTCTACTTAGAATAACTGCATTCGTGGTTCATCCTCTTCTCTTCCTGAAAAGTGTCTGTTTTTCATCAGCTTGGCCAAAATACTGTATTAAATTGGAAAGGGGATACCCTTTGATCTTTTACTCTTTCATTGTGCTTTATTAACTTTTAAAAGTACAGTTTTTAACTTTTTCGAAAGCAATGTTAGTGACTAAGCCTATCCTTTGAAGCTTGGATCAGGCATTTATCCAGTTTACTGTCAGATGACTACTATGCTCAATGCATGTGGAAGCGGCGGTTGGACTCTGGTTATGAAGATGAATGGTTCTAAGGTGAATATTCATAAATAAAATCACCGTTTGGGATCGAGTGTCCTAAAACCAAAGCCAAGTATTCACAAATGCCAATCAAAATAAAGGAAACTACCTTTAAGGATCAATGAGAACTTAAAGTCCAAACAACAAAACTGTCTAAAGCGCGGGAAAAAGCGGGCGTGATTGGTTTTGTTTTTGAATCTGATTGGTTGAGAGAAAGGCGCAAGTTTTCTGGACCAATAACAAAGCAAAGTAAAGCAAAGCAAAATAAAGTAAACTTTCGACATCCACTTGAGAACCGCTCTAAATACTTAAAAGCGATGTAGCTTGTTAAGCATTAAGTAGCTATGCATCCTTTTCTTCCCCAAAAAAGATCGGTTTGATGAATGTGGAATTATCAGAGTCTTGGAGATTTTGGAAACTATGACTTTCAAGACTATATTTTCTGGGTTTAGTCTCCTACGCACGGTTTCTGACAGCAGCAGACTTCATCAGGTAGTTTTCAGAGATAAGATTAAAAATATCGGTCATATACTGATTTTAAATAGCGTGCCTATTTCAACCTCTGCACGAGTTAGGAGGCAAGCGAAAAGTACTCTCAATGTTTGCCAAAGGTGTTGTTAGATGTTAGAGTGAGTGATGTGTTACCCGCTTTTTCACACTTAAATTCTTTTTATTTTAAGTTCATTACCCGCGTAAGTGAGAATTTTTTTACCTAAATAAACAAACAAGCTGAGAAATTGACAAGATAAGAAAGTAAGAGTACAAACAAGATAAAAGCTTTGTTAACGAGTTTTGTAGAACTGTTTTCGATTTACACCGGCTTTCATCGAGAGCATAAAAGTCTATGATATAATGGGCGATCTGTGCAAAATAAATGAGTTACTGCACAGGTTGTTTTGAAGAGTATCTTTATAAGATCTTATCATCTCTATTTTTTCCTGCCTATGGTTTTAAAACTATACCGGAAGCTTTAAAAATTATCGTATTACCTGCACCTTCCTATAACCCGCACTAACAACTGTTTGAGGAAAAATTAACAGATTACCTGCGGGTAATCGGCCGGAAATTACGATAAGGGGCTATGTGTGAAAACTACCTGAACACGTCTGCTGTTCAAACGCGATTAAAAAAAGTTTTAAAAATTTAAGAGCTTGCATTGCTTCCAACTAGTTTAAGTTATCATTAAAAAAAAAAATTTTTAGAAAAAAACCTCAAAAAAGGAACGATCAAAACCTTTTGGAGGGTGGTGGGGGAGGGGGGGTGTTAGGGCTTCCATACTCCTGGATACCGATCCAAGCACCCTAGCAGTCACCCAACTGATTGACTCTTTACACCCTAACATCAGTATGCATGTTTTTTATACTTTTCTCCATGCTTTCCCTGAGTTGTTGACAAGGAGAATTTTTTTAACAATTAACAACTTCTTTAATGGGTGATCATTAAAGAAGATCATCCTTTATTCTCGTGACCTCGATGCTTGATTAAGTGGTGATATTGTAAGGAGAATATAGAAGTTAGTCATTCCCAGGAGTTAAGGGGTTCAGCCTCCTCATCCTGGATACTGATTATTGAAGCTTAGTTGCCACGCAACTGATTAGAAAATGTCACGGAAAACAATTGATTGTCTCTTCTCGGAGCCCACAATACACTCGTCGTGAGGTAAAACTCATGATAATCCTCTTTTTTTTTACATCAAAGCCGCCATTGCAGAAAACTGTTGTAAATTGATAATGTCATTATTTTCCAGGACACCTTCCAATATGATTCCGATCTCTGGAGTAATATGGTGGAGTTTGACAGTTTTGCGGGGATGACAGGATTTGACGAGCAGGAAACCAAGCTACCAACTTACTGGAACACAAGTTTCAGCTCGATATGCCTCGGCATGAAGAACGGCAATGAAACCAACTTCATCTTGATCGATAAGCCGGCTGAATCTCTATACTCTTTGATAGCGGATGGGCAATACCGTAGCACTTCACTTGGTCGCAACGCATGGAAGTCGCTGATTGGTGCAGAGGCCTCTTTGCAAAACAACTGCAATGCAGAAGGGTTCAACCTACACCCGAATTCAAACAATTCGAAGGCGAGAATTGGTTTGATTGCCAATAATGAAGGAGACTGTGGGACCTGTGAATCTAGAATTGGCTTTGGTTGCGCAGGCACGGTTCCAAATACATGTGGAAATAGGGCCGCTCATGATGCAGACAATGGAGAAAAAAAATATCAAAGTGATGGGTTACATCTTTGTTCGGTGAAAAGCATTTTATTTGATAATCAGGGTACACGCTTTCTATAGCTGCATATATCACCAACTA